AGTACCCACCTGACTGCCCACCTCTCCAAGTTCGCTGGTACTACGCTGTCGACGTAATTAAGCTCTTGCCACCCCCCCCCCCCCCTCACACTGCAACTAACCCCCGCCCCAGGTCCCAAAACGAAAACCATTCCAGCCCAACGAGCCCGCCGCAGCAGGTGCACCAGCAAAGCCGCCCAAGCTCCCTTCCAAGTTCGTCTCCTTCGCCGCGCGTGACTCGCGCGCAATCGAGGCGGCGTTCCAGAAGCTCTCCGAGGAAGAAGATGCAATTGACAAGGAGTCCTCGGCATACAGCCGGCATCTCGAGGACAGTTCTCATAAGGTCAAGCTGGAAGAGAGTGTTCAGGTACCCGTAAACGAGGATTACTTATTCGATGTGGATATCAAGAAGCGAGAGTTGGCGCCCGTATATTGGCTTGGTCCAGCGTATGATGTGAGGCGGGGTACTTGGTTCTTCCAAGGTAGGTAGCTGACTGGTTAGCTAAGAAACCATAAATGAGTTTCTAGCTAACAGGGACGGCGCGTAGAGGGCAATTCGCTCCGGCCATGCGACGAGAACTTGGCGACGCAGATAGAGGAGGGGTATCTGCGAATCAAGCCGTTCCGTAACAACCCTGCGAAGCCAGACCCGCTAACGTCGCAGCTTGCGAAGAAGGTCCTGGATAACCTTGCACCCCCGGAAGACCCCCAACGCCCTGTAACACCGAACAAAGACCAACCGGCACTTGCGGCAGCTCCACTGCCTCAATGGAGATTGTTTGGCGCTCACCTGAATAGCTTCGTGGTTTATGTTGATCCTAATACGGCACTACTGAGGAGCGATGACTTCTATGGAAAGCTTTCGTCGACGGTTTTGGGGAGCCAGAAGCTTGTGAGGGGCTACTCGGAGGGTGTCAGGATAGAAAAGAAGGATTCGGGTAGGCCTATGACGCCGGTACAGGGGGAAAAGGAGAAAAAGGAGAAGGAAGAGATGGAAAAGAAGTACAAACGGAGATCCATGCCGCCTCCTAGAACTCCGTCTCCAGGCACCGAGGGTGATATTTCCGAACAAACTCACCGCAGTGAGCTCGAACGGAGAATGTCCTCCCTTGTCATTGGTGAAGGGACAGGGAAAGGAAAGACACAGGACGAGATGCTGGAAACGGAGATGAAGGAAGACTACACGGCCGACGAGGAAATTGATGATCCAGAGCGAGAAATCGAGCACTTGTTACTGGTGACACATGGAATTGGACAGAAGCTGTCTATGCGCATGGAAAGTGTAAACTTTGTGCACGATGTCAATGTGTTTCGCAAGACGCTGAAAAGTGTATACTCAGTCTCACCAGATCTACAAGTTCTCAACGACGAAGTTGAAGAGAAGAAGAAGAACTGCAAGGTACAATGTCTCCCCGTATGCTGGCGCCACCTCCTCGACTTCCCTAAACAATCACTGCGCACCAACCGTCAAGAAACCGATCTCTCCTCCGGCTCTACAGGCTATGAAGACGAGTACCCATCACTAGCGGACATAACCGTCGAGGGTGTCCCTGCAGTCCGCTCTCTCATGACCGACCTCGCCCTCGATGTCCTGCTATACCAATCCGCAACGTATAGAGAGCACATCATCCAAACCGTCCTCACCGAGTGCAACCGCATTTACAAACTCTTCAAGCAGCGCAACCCCTCTTTCAAAGGCAAAGTCTCCCTCGTCGGCCACTCCCTCGGCTCTGCAATTCTATTCGACATCCTCTGTCGCCAGCCCCTCACAAATGATACCCGCCCTGCGATGGCCTCGGGGAAGCCAGACGTCATCCTAGATTTCCCTGTCGAATCCTTCTTCTGTCTTGGATCCCCAATCGGCCTTTTTCAAATGCTCAAGGGGCGCACCATCGCTTCGAGAAAGTTCTACGATGGTGACCTTATTCCGGAAACGATAGGTGACGAACCGGAGAACTACCACGCTTCTGCCTCAGCAGTAGTGCCACACTATCATGGAGGCTCCCTATTCCCAGTGAGCTCCCCAAAATGTCAACAGCTATTCAATATTTTCCACCCCACAGACCCAATCTCATATCGCATCGAACCCCTCGTTTCCAAGGCTATGGCGTCATTGAAGCCGCAGCCTCTCCCATACACCAAGCGTGGCATCTTCTCGTCCGGCCAGCTCGTTGGTGGCATCAGTGGTATTGGACAGAGCGTCTCCCGTAGCGTCAGCAACATGTGGACGTCCCTGTCATCTGGAATTGCTTCAAGTATCTTAAATCGTTCACTAGGCTTTAATGACACAAACCTTCCGCAATCAACGTCCAGCATCAAGGTCACTGATACAGACAAGAAGCCACCGTCAGTACCAGGCGAGGATGGCCAGCAGCATCCGCCGACGCTAATTGACGATGAGATCGAGACATTGTATGCAGGGTTCCAAAAGAGACGGAAGTCGGCGGTAGAAGGGGAAGAGGGTGAAGGTGAGGAAGAGAGATTAGAGGCCGAGGAGAAAGCAGCACAGCTGAAGGGAGAGGAGGCCAAGGTGAGAGCGTTGAATGCAACGGGGAGGATCGATTTTGCGATTCAGGAGTGAGTTTTCTTATCAATTTCCGAGTTCCGATGAGCAGTGCGTTTAATAAAAGAACGGGACAGGGGCGTGTTTGATATAAGCTTGATTGCAAGCATTGCAAGTCATCTCAGTTATTGGGGTGACGAAGACGTAAACCATTTTGTCATCTCACAGCTCCTGTCAAGGCAGCGAGTCATGAAGAAGGCAGCAGGGAACTTGAAAGGAAAGCAGTGGAGCAGTGTCAGGATTGACGAGTAAATTCATGGACCGAGGTACAAGCTTATTGGGGAGTCTTCCCTTTCCATATACTTTTTATTTTCGTTCTGAGGGGTAGGTACATACTCGATAAAACTTTAAGAGCTAGCTAGACATTTGTTTGAGCGGGGAACTAGCAAGATATCATCCTGATACACACCGCAATTGATGATGCTGTTGATCATGAGTTCTCACTCGTGGTAGTGGGAGGAAGGATTAAGAGGCTATAAACGGCGGTGAAGCTAAGAATCCAGTGAATAATCTTCGTTAGCAATATTTCTATCCATGACCCCGTTTCGCAGGATTGGGCTTTCGATTGCCGCTTCCAATAGTCCTAAAAACGGCTGAGGGAGCCGCACCCGACGCCGGTCTATCAGACACGGATTTCTAACCGAGGATATGTGCGAATGATTCAGATCAGGGATGAGTTTTACAATTAATCCTTACAGCAATGCCCTTGGATAAGGCCCAACTGTACCGGGCTAAATTTAAAAAGGAAACTTGAACCCAACTGAAAGTAAAAAAAAATATTTAGTCGTGATCAGCTGATTGACACATTTTGATAACGTAATGTGGGTTACAATAATATTTTGTAATCACAGAAAATCACTCGGGCACACGTGTTCGTGGAACCCCCATCTATGAGATTCCCACTTCTTCCACTGCCCCACATACATGTATGTATGAACAACGGGCCTATATTTTGACGTGGCACTGTCGATGAATTACCGCAATACGTGATGCTAGTGGTCTTTTTCGGATAAAAATACTCGGGGTTTGTGTCTCGTAGGTACACTTTGAGAAGTCTTGCAGTAGATCTTTCTGACAGAAAGGGAACAGATGTCTGAATTGAGAAATAAATATCAATACAGAATTCATGAATGACACCCGCTGTCAGGTCTCTTTCTGCCTAAGAGCTGGAGGTTAAACTGAAAGGGGGGTGGGGGGGGGGGGGGGGGAGGGGAATGAAAAATCCATAGCCGTGCCGCACAACCCATTTGACCTTTCACTGCATTTATTCTACTTATCATCGTAAGGCGAATGAATGTCTCTCCAGCTCTCATCCCCTCCACTTAACCGTCGACGCCTAGTAACATGGAAAAACGCGTGAAAATTGTTAATCGTGAAGTAAGACCTCATGAAATCTTCATAGTACCACGTTTCTCCATGAATATTATCCGTAACTCTGTTTCTCCCACGTCTTGGGGGTAATCTGTGATGCCTATTTTCCGAAAGTAGAGGTCGGTCATAAAGCATAAGCCCATTACTATCTGTGGGGTCTGGTCTAAACTTGAAGTTCCGGAGGTATTTCCAGAGTACCTGCACCTGTTTTGGCTGTAGCGGTCTGTAGTCATTTCTAAAGATAACTAGTGGCCCGTTTCCTAGCAGTCCATCTCCCTGCACTATGGGGAGACCTTCTGGCCCTTCGGATGAGAAGATAAGCGATTTAACGGGGCATGCGTGGGAATACGGTGGGCATTCCAAGGGCGAATCAAACGGACAGTATATTCGGAGCTGAAGACCCAAACCAGGAGTCGGGAAGGAGCAGTGGTTCCCCGGGACTAAAACGGAGCTTTGAAACATGTAGGGTTGGTACTTTTTGCTTCTACTAGCATTGGCTTCGTGATTCGGGCCTTTGCGGAAAACTCCAACTCCCATGATGTACTTGGGAGGAGTCGGGTTGGCGTCGAGGATGAAAGATGAATTGAGGGTATCCATGAGGATGAGATGGCGGGTCAAACGTGATGAAATGGAATGGTAGTGGTCCCTGTTCTTAAGCGGGACGGTAGATGTGGCTGGCAAGGCCACAGATGCCTTTGGGATGTGCGAGTGATATTGCATGAGCATGATTACATACGGCAAATGTTTAAAAAGTGTTCGCTTAACCAGCCTTTCTTCATGGCCCCGACCTGTCATTATGCCACAGAAGATACTTGTCACTAGAAGGTACCGGCGAGTACCGTTTATCAGCTGTTCTACCGATATCTTTAACACTAATCGCACACATATCTTCGGGGTTTTGACCGTTGCCTACATGTAATTAAATGCAACTATATGTATATGTAGGTAGGTTTTTTGGTCGCTAACGGCGGATGCGCGGAGGTTTTGGGAGCTCAAGACTAGGAATAAGGCTATCCAGGTGAGCCTCTTACACAATACATGTAGTTTAGTGGCTATGGGTCACTGCATATATTGTTTGCCTACAGTACTAGGGGTGCGGGTTGTAACTATAGTATTGTCTTGAACGAAGTCTATAATCCCTGTGAGTGTGGTCAAAGGACCAATGGAAGATTGCTTCTCAACTCACGCGATTGGAGACGGTCTCTGTGAGACATACATACTCGTACATGTATGTGTAATCTTCAGCTTATCTGTAAGGGGATTTATAGTCAGGATCTCGGGGTGGTATGTGTTGTAAGGATTTAGATTGAGAATACCCTATGTACGTACATGTATGTAGTAAACGCACCACCGTTGCAACATTTGACAAGCTGCCAAGTCGGAGCAAACAATTATTCAGTCAGGGACGGTAAGTCTGGGATGCGGCTCTCTTAGTATCAATTACATGAATCTGGCCTAGCAGCCGATATTACCAAGCATATTCGCGAGACATAACCCCATTAGAGATCTCCAGTCGGTTTCAGCTTTCATCATGTACGTGCATGTACATTTGTCTTGGCGGTTTTTGTATGGGAAAAATATAGGCATTAGAGCGTATTTGACAACTGGCGATTTCGACAGTTCGGCTTGGACAGTTCGGCTTCGACAGTTGCGGGTCGCAAAATTGACATTATACTTCACGAACTCTCAAATTATTTACCATTATCAGTGGTGACGAGATCGAGACATAAGGCCTTTTGCGTATTGATAGAGTCTAGCTCCAAGTTCCGGTACCCTGTGCCGATACCCTCATCAATCAAAATTGACCTTTTACTGAACGCCTTAGTAATGAAAGTTGCAACCGACTATTTGTTCCCAGCAACAACTCGAGAACCGGTGACCACCCCGTTCAATGGCAAACTTACCTATAGTACACATTTTTAAGGACGGCTGACGAGATTTGCCCCCGTCTTAATGTTTGTTGAATCTATGATTGGATCACCTCGCTGGCGGGTCGGGGGTTCTCGCTGTTGACCCTATCTGGGCCAAAAGAAAACCCTCATCCAGTAAATTTGCCCTGTGCCAAAAGGGCACCCGAATCTTAGCCTAGTTTCTTCTAGTGTCACAGTGACATCATTGGATTTCATCACTAAAATATTGGATGACTTTTGAAAAGTTAACTTGCGCATTTCATCTACTTCAAGTGAGCTTTTCCCTTTCCCGCGGAAAATGGAAATCTACCCAACCTTTAGTCTGGATCTTAACTTTTGATCTTGCTCCAGGTACCTTATCTATCCCGCCATAAATTTCTGCCCTGCCCCACATTCTGGTTAGCGGAGACTTAAGGAAGTGACCTTAAGGGCCTATCTCACTAAGATGGTCAAAGTCCCTACCTCAATTCTTCGGATCTGCAATGAAGCTCCGCAGACCTTAGTGCAGAAGGAATCACTGTCGAAAACCTCGCCTTCAAAAAGCTTAAATGATCCCGAACCTTGTTCAAAAATTTCAGAACACAGTATGATCAGTTCAAAGACATCCGAGAACCTAAACCCTCTGACCGAATCCTCCGAGTTCTCTTTATCTAAAGAACTGGTGGGACTTCTTCCGGAGAACTTCCGGCCCAAATCAAACGATGAATTCAAGTGGAAATCAACTCAGACTTTCAAGATATTTACCCATGATAACCTGCCGCCTTACGAGACAACATTGATGGCCATTGAAGGGTTATTTCAAATACAATCGGCCTCTCTGCACTTACAATTCATCCACGAAGATGAGGCAAGAGAGCTACTGAAAAATGCGTACTCTGGAAGCTCTTCTTCATCAGACCTATGTGAGCTCTTTGCTGCAGCTGCAGTGGGATCTCAATGGGAAGAGCGAGTTCCTACCGAGACCATAAATTGCTATTTCAATACCACCAAGGCACATTTGGATGATTGTTTGGAGGAGGATGATTTGAGAGGGATGAGGATACTTGGACTATGCTCATTGTTTTTGATGTCTGAGAAGCGAATATCAAGTTATAGCTATATTGGTTAGTTTTCACAAGTGGTGGATTAAGTGTTGCTTTTCTAAATCAAGCGAACAGGAAATGCCCTGCAGATTGGATACTCGAGAGGTCTTCAATACACCCAAAAGCCTGAGAACATACCACTCAAGTGCTGGGTCGGACTTAGAAGGTTATGGAGAACCTTGGTATTTTTCGAAAGGTTTAATTCGCTTTCCTAGTCTCGAGCTTAAAGGACCTTCTGACAGTGTTTTTTTCAGCTGGATAGCCGCATCTTTAGGTCGTATCCCAGTCTACAGCCTTAGATGCAACAATGTCGATCTTTCTGAATCGGTACGATCCATAAAAGCCTGCCCCGCTTTTACCTATATTGATTTATTTATGTAGGAAAAGGCACTTGATAACCAAGGGACTGTCAAGCGCAATGCTATTCAAGTTGAGCTTCTCAAGATTGGGATATTAAACGCCAAAATTCTCAAGGGCGTATTCGCTCCTTCGACCGTGAGCCTTTCAGTTGTACGGGAATTCATGCTGGAATTAGAGGGTTGGTTTGATGATCTCCCTGACTCTATGAGACTTGCAAGTATGCTTGGACCCGATGTGAGTCCAGGAGAGAGGACGACAGTATTCACGATTCACATCATGTATCTTGCGACTATCATTCTTTTAACACGAAGAGTCATGGTTGGAGTTCTGGGCGGAAAGGGTAGCTATTTGGATGGCACCCTAAAGGATTCCATGCCCTATGTCAGTGCGTGCATTTCGGCCGCGAAACAAACTGCTGGGATTCTTGCGCTTCTCTATGCTGAATGGGACGGCGGTCTTTTCAAAAAGTGCTGGTTGGCAATGTTTGACCTCCCTGGCCTACTTCTAGTGGAACTTTGATTATTAACCCGACGAGGACAGATGCTCTTCATTCAATGCAAGCGTCATCTTGCTCTTCTCTGCCGCGCATAAGAAAATGCTTGGAGAACCACGTATAAGCTACCAGAATGACCTTTTTGACGCAGCGAAATGCATTGCAGCTATTGAAGTTTCCGCAGAAATAGATGAAGTGTCTCGGTGTTATCTGAAGATTTTAGCTCCTTTCAGAGAGGCTGTTGAGGAGAGAGATAAGGTTTATTCGCCTTTTGATAGAGCATCACATCCCCCGTTCGATTGGAGACAATCGGCAGTTTCTTTTCAAGACCCAGGCCAGTATGGCTTGTATGGCACGCCTCTGCCGGAAGACTCGGAAATCACCAATGGCCTTCTGGATATGATTGGAAAGCCATACGTGTACAATCAAGGCTGTAGTGATAGATTTACCTCGCCGGAATATAAAAGCTACTTCGACGCTAGCATCGGTGTATCTCAAATCTATTCGCCCTCTAGTTCGAGCCCTCGGACGATAGAAACACCGTTTTCGGATTTTAATTCGAAGACAATCGATACGCCCTCTCTACTTGAGGTAAATGTATGTCCATCAAAAAAGAGAGGAAGACAAACCGAACTGGATGATGGGCGAGAAGGAATCTGCTGGTCAGGTAACAAACGTTCACGGTATTCTCCGAGAGCACTTGAGGCGTTTTTGAAACGTGTTGCTTGACTATTCCCGTTTCGTTCACGACCTTACTTTCTACTTTGACATATTTCCTACTTAATTTCTTAGTACTTGTTAATGCCCTCCATTCATTTTACTATTATGAAAGGTATTACACGGCTACGAAGTAGTGCTAGTACCGGCTACACCAATCATCTTATTTGTATAGAAGGATATCGAGTGATAGTAGGTGTTTAGAAGTCATCTTTTTTTTTTTTTTTTTTTTGATAATTATTAAAGTACCCGGGATATCCCCCACAGAAAGGTCGATCATTGCCATGTGGACCCGGTTGATAGATTATAGATCTTGTTATCATTTCATGGCTTCTAGTTTTATTTCTGCAGTACCGCCGTACTGCATGGTCAAAATCCGCCGATGGGTAGATGTTTTCCATGCCTCCTCCATCACATCCTGCTAGATATAGCCTTGGGGATTGTCATAGCCTACTCAATCTTGACGCGTGCACGAGCCCTTGTTGTGATCTCGGCAAGCACAACTCTCGCTGCGACCAAAGCTTGCGTTCCCTGCGTGACTTTGGCAGCTTCCTTTTTGTTGGTTCTAAAACTGGCATGGAGTCACATGCCACCAGCTCCTTATATTATTGGAAGATCCATGTGCCAGAGAGTTTTCCAGCCTTGCCTATCATATAGCTGTTATATCAGCTATATTCTGAGATCCAAAATCTTGATTTCAGCTTCTCCCGGAACTCGACGTGTAAACTGGAATCTACTGATATCGGGACTGAGGCACCCTTTCCACTGACGCCAAACCGATAGTATTGTCGCGGCGAGGATTTGTGGATACTCGCACCGGCCCAGACCAACAGCACCCACCCGCAGATGCGTACGGTGCCATTGAGGTGGGCAAGGCCATTGCGGATGATGGGAATATATGCCTCGACTTTGGCATTAGCGTTTAGTGGTATTGCATGTACCACAGGAACATCATGGAGCACTCATGAGCTAACGGACCAGTCTTTCAAAATTTCAGCATTGCCAAATCGCTCGCCTCGTTCAGCCACTGCTCTCCGTCAGTATCATCCCCCACCCTCCTGAGAACCTCTTCCTCACTGTCATTACTACTTCAAATATTACCACTGTATCAACTCACACCCTCACTCCCATTCGTGATGCAACCTTTCCAATTGATAGGGCATTTTTCACCTGCCGGTCGCTCAGGAAAGACTGGTGGTAAGACTATTAAGCCGAAAACCACGGTATATTTATTGTTACAATATAGATAAAATGGAAAAGTTCAGTGGCCGTTTATATATTCCACTCGTTTTACTTTCGCCTAGTCGTGTTCAGGAAACCACACATGCGTGTAGCGTTGTCTTATCGAGACCTTCACACGATATCACTCGGTTAGACCCCTCTCCCTTTCCTTGAGCTTTCGCCGGGAACCGCGGTTTAATTAGTACGAAGCTCTTCTCGCATGATCCGCCAAGAAAGCAAAAGTCTGTGGATGAATTAAGTACTTGACATAGTGGTTGCGTTGCATACAGTACTATGTACTTTATTCATCACAGACTTTATTTTTTCGGCGAGTAGTGCTGCGGGAAAATATATGTAGTCATTTGCAAGTGATTCCAAAATCATTGCGGTACTAGCCAAGCTATATGTAATTGTGATTAAATATGGAGTAACTCATGGCCACAAACAGTAACTCGGGAGGTCCTCAATTTTACATACATCACCATGCAGTCCACCTTATTTCTGGTATCCATAGGTGTACTGAACGGAATAAATAGGCGCAAATACAACCGCTCCAACAGATAAATATTTGAAAATGAAATGGATAAGTATTTTTGGTAATAGCAAGAAGAGCAACAGGCTAGGCCAATGATAATAAGCAACAAAACTGCTATCCCATCAAACTTTTTAAAGGAAAAAGCAAATTCTTAAACATATTGAGAGCAAGCGATAGTGAATATTAGGTGTTTAGAGGGTTTCGTAAGTAGCCATCAAACTACCCAAGAAAGTGACAATCAACCTCGAACGAACAGCAACAATGTCCTCGGGGACAAGCCTATATAAAAGAGGTTAGGTCGGTTCTTCAGCTATAAAAAACAATAAAGGCAGGGTAAATACCAGATAGTAGCACCCATCTTTCTTGCAATAGAGATACTCAGCTTCGCGTTCAGGTATGCATTCTCATCGGTCCTCCCGTCCGTGACAAGAGAGTAATCGACATAATTACTCTTCATTCCATTCAGGACGTCAAGCAAAAATACACCAGTCCCCATGCTTGGGTCCTTGAAGCTTCTGATGTTACCGGCTTTACCACCCTTACGCACCATATCATTGGCCCACTTGAGCATGTAAGAATCTGTGATCTCACTGACGCCAACCTTTTGCGCAAGGCCGTGGAGGGTGCGAGTGATATCACGTCTCATAAGCTGCCAAGTGATGGCAAGTGTCAATGTTCGTTGCCCATCCGTGATGTCTGCGCCTTGTATCCCGACAAGCGAGAATCGATTGTTCTTGCCAAGCTCCACTGCGTAGTTGGTATTTTCGACGGCCTTAAATCGCATAAGTTCTCCTCCGTGCGCTGGGGCTTTGTTCACATGACGCCAGTTGACTGAGCCTGGGATAACTTTATCATATGCTTGAAGAAGAATAGTTCCGTCCCGAAGGTCATCAAAGAGCGAGTTGACCGCCGGCTGAACATCAAGAGAGTTCAGCCATAGAGTAAAGACACGGGCTTCACGTTCGCCCTCGGCATCAAAATCTTCAACTTGAAGCATTTCCTCCTCGGTAATAGCATCGAGGCCAGGGTGAGTGTTGAAGAGGTGGGCCACAAAAGCCAAGTTAAGCTTAGGGTTACCAGCAACAAGAGATTTTGGAGTCAAGAACTTGCGGCAACCAAGTTTGTCGGCATTCTCGAGTACCTGTTCAGCGCGCTGTAGGAGATCACGAGTTTGTAGGGGGTTCCGCGAGCACTCCTCCGGGGCAAGCTGGTTTAGGAGCACAGTATAATTCTCGGCATCTGAGACGTCTTTGCTAAAGTTTGTAACCCTGTAATATGGAATACTCGTTAGATTAAAGCCAACCCCAAAAGAGGTGTAGAAATGTCTCGAACTGCATACCTCCTCTCCCATTTTGCTGCTTTAAGATGGTAGTTGAACCACCTCAGGAGAATCTGTTCTGGTGGCAGCCTCAAAAACTGTTCAAGAGTCTCATCATCCTCCAGCAACCTATAGAGCTCCGGGTGCAATTTGATATCGATTTTTCCCAAGAGACCTCTTCTAATCACTTGCCAAATCAATCCGAGAATTAAATGCTCCTTGACTTCAATAATATCACCAGATCCAATATTGACGACAGAGCATCCAATAGCCTTAGCAGAGTTGATGACAATGTTGTTGTTTTCGGTCATATGAAACTGGTTGAGCTTTTTGGTGCGTGAATTGGTACGGTTAAGAACACGCTCATCGATCGTGTCAGGGACGGAGTCATTGATAAGCTTAGCAAGCACAAGACCATCTTTACATTCATCAAACATCTGTACACCTTTTTAGTCATGGTCATCACTAAAGGGCACCGTGCTGATTTCAACAAACCTGGAATGTATCAGTGTCAAAGGGCAAACGATCGCCAATGTCTGGATCCCCCGCCAAAACAGCATTTATATGCCTTGTGAATTCTGATCTCTCATCTTCATTGATTGTGTGAGTTGAAGATCCAGTTGAGCCTCCCATCTTGATCTGTCCACCACCTTTGGACCCGGTTCTGGCATGTGAAACCTGAGGGCCAGCAGGCTTTGTTGAGTCGTTAATGCGAAGTTTGGCAATGAGCTGTGATATCGGTGTCAGTAAAAACGAACGCAAGGATCATGATTAGAGGCTCACGAGGTAGAACTACTTACATCCACAAAATCATCAAGTTCTACTCTTCTACTACTATCCAGCTCCACTTGCTTCAATGTAGCCCTGACAACATCATAAGGTTTTCGTTCGAGGTCTTGAGCAGCCTTAATCGCAGTTGCCTCATCGAGGTAACCTCGTTCCTCGGTATCTGTACGAAGAAACGTATCCTGGAGTTTCATTACACCCTCCTGCCCGAGATCGGGGTATTTCCTAGCTAGCTTGAACACATTCATTTTCGATACCTTTCTCCAGAGAGGATCTGTTGGTTATCACAGATTATGGGTTGTTGTTTGTTGTGTCAATAAGGGGAGGCGGGGTACTGATGAGGGGCTGAAAGTTTCAAGTCAGGTCGCGTCCAGAGGGATACAGATGGATGGAGCATACAATGGTTGAGAGGAACCCCAAATTTATCAGGACGGAATCCAAGGAAAGACTTACGCGGACAGGGAAAGGAACACCAAGCAAGCTTGCGCGGATTCTGAACTGAGTACGTTGCGTCGTGATGGGCGGAGTGGAAGGTGTTAATGGTGAGGTGTTAAGGGATTGTGTTCTTACGACGGGTCGGGTTGGACAGGGCAGCTCGGTGACGTTTTCCTTGCCCCTCCGGATCGTGTCACTGCTGCTTCGCCGCTCATCTCATTTTCCCAAGCCACATCCCTCTACCAGGGGGGTCTGAATCTACAGAACACTCTGCAACTGGTTTCGTGCCCATTTTTGAGATTAATGTATTCTCTACTGATTTACCGATAGGAAATCCTAATTTCAAAACCTATGAATTCGTTACACTCACCTCTTGCACCTTTGAGTCAGCTTGCCGCTTTATACGTTAAACCCCTTAGTGGGGCGGAGCGGATGACGAGATTCCAGGCTTGGCAGCTCCAGGAAACTCCCCTGTCCAGCCAGCTCCCACACTCGATGGTACTGCATGTCTTTTTGGACAGCTATATTATCGTATCGACGATATGAGTTTACAGGCGTACGAGTACCCATGTACCTACATGTCGTAGTTATATACATAGCTTGCTAACTACACGTACCTGTGTGGTACATACAGCCACTCAGCAAAAGTGTTCGTGATTTAATGTCGGTGCGCAGTGTGGCGCACCCGTAATACTTATGTTATTAAAGTTGAGATTCAAAACAAGGAAAAAATATATAATATAGTTCGTGACTATATATAAAAAGAGGATAGGTCATTGATCTTATTCTTCATTAACTTGGGCGCCATTGGTCATGGGGAAGGTCTTCTCTTGGGGGTTCTTGATGGCCCACCGCGGTTACATATGGAGAAATGTCTCACTCCGAAGTCGGAATCACGAACACTTTGTACATATAAATCCATGACAGACTACAGGGACCTAGAAGCTCAAGGCCACAGATGAGAAACTCATAATCAAATTTTATTGGGTATTTGCGCGCGCACCTTCGACATTACTATCTCACTACTTATTCGGTTATCTGTTTTTTAATTCTCCAGTCTCAAGATTGCGAAGTTACTTTGAGTTCTTTGTTGTGATTTTCCGATACATCCCTTTCAAGTTTATAGTGGTGATTGGTCTTGGACATTTTTACAACAACTTATTTAGCTAGAACGTTTTCTTTATACGTCTAGTGCTGATTTTATTTGGCCTCGTGTCCTAGCTACTATGTACATGTATCTGAGTAGCAAGTATCGAGCCTACGCGTCTAAAACTTCGGTGGGCTAGTGGGTGGTTTGGATTTCAGACATATCAAGTTCCTCAAATTTGCTTTCGATTCCATGGGCTGTGGTCTTTTACTCGCCTTTCCACCTTTCTAGTACCTTTGCAATTGGTCGGCTATCGAGTGCCCTTGGGACTAATATAGAAGCCAAGATCAGAGCGAAAGAAGCTCTGTTCTGCATGTAGCCAACGTCTGTTCTGGTTAAGGGCGATGTTCGGCCGCCTACTAGGAGCCAACGTTGTTGGAAATAAATAATAATAAAGAGTAATAAATAATGATAAAGAATAATAATACGGAAGACTGTGACTTTCTCAATTGACTTGCTTAACTATAATATAGAGGGCATTTCAAGCCCTTATTTATACAAAGATATTGTGCCTAGAACAGTCTATATATGACTACATATTGACATATATGCTAATATGAGTATTAGGACTTAGCTCCTAGGCTATCCCATCAACCGTAGCAACCGAGTTGAGGACCCGATTGGGTCCCACTTGAAATAAAGTGACCTTTCTTAAATTCACAGCAACACCAGCTTCGTGAGTACTATATTAGGAGCTCTTATTGGGATCGGTTGATAAACTTTCCCGCTTCTTTGTTATTAGTGAACAGGGCTGGATTATATCGTTTTTGTGTTTTTATCTAGGTTAGAGTTGCAAAGTACCCAATTGGGACCTCAGGCTTCTACGGTTCATGGGATAGGCTCGGAACACAATTCCAACAAACGTGGAACTGCACAACTCGAATCATAACTGGTGATGCAGTAATATCACGGCTAGAATGTCACTTAATTAAGGGGATGGGTGTCAATCGAGTTTCTCAACCAGCATCAAATTTACTGGAGAACAAAAATATTATTTGGTATAAATACAGCCAAACTATTTCTCCGTATATAGTAGTTTAAAATTCAATCCTTTCCAACCTACATATAATGAAAACTGAGGTGCAATTTATTACTTAAGCCTCTACAACTGCCATGTAATCGCCCATGACAATATATAAGACTACTCAATCAATCTAAAAACACTTCGAATCTCTAAAAAAAAAAAAAAAAAAAAAAAAAAGGGACCCCTTATGTCTGTTTGATATTGTTTTCATGTGCACGTTTTGCAGGGCCGGGGAAATGAGAAAGGAAAGCAGAAACCAGAGAGGGAATTAAAAATAGAAAGCTAGTGTCCCTGTATCAAAAATAGAAAGAACATGTGATATGACCCCCGAATTCTCCCACCCAGATACCATTTTATTTAGACAAAAAAAATCCCACTTCTCAACTTATTGCCAATTGACCGAAAAAAAAAGAATTATGAGAGTCGTAATCAAATGTCATGCTAATCGTGCCCGCACCCGCACCCGCACCCAATATATATCAAGATAGAAATGAACCCGTGGGAAAATAGGAGAAAGAAAGAAAAACATACAAAGAACTAAAACATTACCCTACCCATCTTTACAAGTATGGATACTCAAACATCTTTAGTCACTTACATACCTCCTCTTTTGCTATCACCACCACCCCATTCTTTCCTGCGTAGCCTCTCTCGCTCTCTTTCCTCCTCTGAATCGTCGCTCTCTACATACCTGCCCGTTTCTTTATCGTAGTCCAATGTACTCGCTCTGCTATCGCCTTTAACCAAACCTAAACTCTCCTCTTCCGTCTTTGCTATACCTCTGTCCTGGATACCACTTATGCTTTTTCTGCGTAGCCCGTGCAGTCTAGCGGGGAGATGAGGATGTGATAGATGCGAGTGTGTATGAGGGAGCGGAAGAGGGACATCAGAGGAGGCCCCTTCGCCATGGCTATCCCGAGAATGGGATCGCGAATGTCTGCCAAACACAGACTGGAAACTAAATTGTCTCCGCGAGGTATGATCTGCACTATCTGGTCGCAACCCTGAATCGGTACTATGAGCGCTATGTGGGGTTTGTGGGGTTGTTGGTGTAAGCATCGGTCGCACCACAGGACTATTCATATGCCCAGGTGCAGAGCGAGGGGCTCTCGGGGGAATAGCAGTGTAGTCGCTCCCGGCATCGACAGTTCTCTTCACCCCGTGTTTTGGCAGCGGAGGAGGTGATTCTGACGCGAAGTCGCGGGAGGAAAATTCCCCTTCTGAGGGTGTAATGGTCATCTGTGGCGATGATTTCGAGCCGATTTGATGATGGTAATCGCCCGAAAACTCTCTCAAAGGCAATGGGGCGGAAAGATCACTGTAAGGACGCCCTTGAGAAGGCGGCGGTAAGCCCTGATCTGTGATATCTCGGTGAGGCGAGGTGACAGCTATTACAACATCCGTCTCATCTCGGAGACTCGCCTTACTCCGTGGGCGAGGGACAAATAAGTTCCTGACTCTTCCAACAAAGCTTTGTGGGTGTATTTCTTCAGTCTCAGCCTCGATATCGTAAATTTGTCGCCTCATAGCTTCATCAACGCTCATGCTCCTCCTCCTGTTTACCACAACGGGAGAAAACTCCCCCTCTGTCCCCTCCTCCAAATCAGGCATCCTACTCATCCCTAATGGGGGTGAGGTCCGCTGGTGGTATTCCTTCTTCTTGGCCCCTCTCCCGAACTACCACTCCAGGTAACCCTCCTTTGCACACCATCCCATTCTACCATTTCCCCATCATGCAATGGTACATTTAGCATATCTTTTAACTTTTCTTCCCTAATCCTTTTCGCCTCCTCTTGCTCCATCTTCTGTCTTGCAACAGAAATACGACGGATAATTGCAGCAGTACCACGAATTGCATCTGCTTTTGGTTCTGATTCAGGCTCGGATTGCTCTGCAACCGTACGGACTTGGTCGAGGTCTCCACGAAAGATTTCAGTGTCAGGTACATTCTTGGCACTCTTGGAGAGCTGGAGGAGAACTACGCCGGCACAAATTTGAAGGAACCCCATTACAACAGTGGCGATGGAGCTAGGGGTTCCCTTAAAACCGCGGAATAGGACTGCACTTGTTACAATTGTGGAGCTAGTAAAGAAAACGTAATATGTCGGCGTTACGAGCGCAGCATTGAAGATATTTAATGCTTTCTATAATTTTTTTTTTTTGGTAAGTAGGACTTCCATGAGGTAGGGGTGAACTGCGTACATTGAGGTAAATAATCTCCACGACTAGTGTTATAATAATAAACACAAATAGGACATAAAGGAACCATTGATTGAACTGGGGTGTTCCTGAGATTTGTGTTACTACTGCAGCACCAAGCCCTTGTGTTGCAACAACACTGTATTATTTTGTCAGCACCTACTCGCCCCTCATTTGAATGTGGCTTACCTGAGGCCTCCTATCAATGAGCAGACACTAATATATACCATCATACTCTTTTGGCCGTATTTTGGTGCAATCCATATTACTATCCCTACACATCCCACTATAACAACACCTGCATACGACAGAAATCCAGGCGAGAGAATGAATCCTTTCATATCCTGGATTGTCGATACGGAAGATTGTTCGGGTGCATTTATGACGATTACTATGGAGCCCACTATGCACATGAAGCAACCTATTTTACCGATAAATGAAAGCCGCTCATTTAGGAACATAGACGAAAGAATGGCAGTTATGACGACAGACTGGATCCCAGTGAGTTAGAAAAAATTAATAGTGGCACAAGAAGAAGAGATCCTACAAGAGCACCCAAGGGCGTGACCAGGATAGCTTCAACGAAAGCGTAAGCACAGAAATTACAAATTTCTCCAATAATCACTACCATCGCGACCATATCAGTAACCTGGCTTCTTTTTTTTGGCTCCCCAAAGGGTGGAATAAAACACACTCAAGATCATTCCACTCCACCACCACCCATTTCTAAGGTATCCATATCCCTCCCCCGCCTCTTTTCCATCCTTCATGTTTGCATCTAATAGGCCTTTCTTCTTGAGCACGAATGAACATCCGATAAAGACCCCCGAGGCGACTGCGAGTGAAACTCCGACGGCTTTGTAGCTGTTGCTAGGTGTTAGTTTATGCTTGGAGGGTGATTGGAAGGGGTAGGTACACTGGCGGTCGCCCTGCCGAGGATAGCCCGCCGTGGCCTGCAGCAGCTGTTGTGGATGTTGCTGCTGCTGTCTCTGTCGTTGCACGAGCTAACAGGTATGCTATCGTTTCCGACATGATTGTGGAGTATCAGGCCCAAGCTTGGACCAAAGTTAAAAGGTGGGGAAGCTTCTAGCCCGGTTGGCTTTTTAGTATCGGTAGTATGGTTCTTATGGTGCCTTGGATGAAGTGTAGACAGGCAGAATTCCGATTCTAGAATGGCTAATAACAATAGCGATATAATTCTCGGGAAAGACTAAATGGAGTGTGATGTCGTAGAATGACCTTGTTTGTTTTTCTGCGGCTCCACACCGGGGATTTCTTCTTTATCAGGGGTGGAATTGAAAGCTGTAAAAGTACACTAATCCAGCAAACAACTCTTCGGCACAGGAAGAAGTCCAATGGAGGTTGAGAAGAGGGAATGTGGATTTGGTGGATGTAACTGGAGCCACACTACAGAAATATTTGCTGTAGGTATGTAAGTCTATTCGTACCCTGCCTCGATTCCGTTTCACACACACACACGCAGACAGAAAAATGAAATGATTTCGGAACCGGGCGTCCGTGCCTATTTTAAGGATATATTTGTTCGTGAATCTCGTTAATCGTTCCGGTATTGGTCGTTATAGTTTAGTCTAGAGAGGCGAGTGCAGCATGCAGGTTAAAGCAACGTACAGTACGTACTCTATGAGACGCAAATATTGTTGTTGCTGCTGTTGATGTCTCTATGGACCCGAAGGGAGACTCAATTGAGGAGGGGCGCTGGAGGGGACTACGGCAGGTTGACCGTTAGCGACTGAAGATCAGAGACAGAAGGATAATGGGGAGAAGCAGCTAGGGGAATAATGTAAATAATGGTCTAGTTACCTGTGCCAGTGCGATTAATTGACAGGAGGAAACAACAACAATAACAACAGAGAAAGAGGGAGGGTGTTAGAGAGGAAAGAGAGGAAACACCCAAACAAGAGCAAGCACCACTGAGAACACACAGACAGGACAGGTTTCTTGCTCAAATCTCACTGCAGCAGCCTCAGTCTAGTTTTCCAAATAACTATCCCCCGCTCCACCGCCTATTGTTTTGGTCACCCCTGTATCAGACTACTCGCCACGGCAACCGATCTTAGCCAGAAGGTTTTGCCCCATAGATACATGAATCTTGTTCCTCCACACGGTTCACACACACAAACCTGTCACGCAGGAAGCTGAAACAGCCGCCTATGCACACAACGACGTAAGGATCATCCTGGTGCACTTTATCATGTCCCACGCGTCCTTTTCCTTTATTCTTCTGGTGGAGCGAAGATAGGTATTTTGTGCGAAACCGGATTCTAGGAGACGGAGGATTTGCATCCCATACATCGTAGTTAAGAAACATGACTTCCCGATTATTAGAGTCTCACTCACCTTTACGCATCCGGATATTGACTTTTTTACTCTGCTATGCCATCCATACTACTCCGTCAGCAGTTCGCTGGATATAAAACATGACCCTCGGTCTACCGAGATATTATGTGCTCCGGTGGTACAGTGTTTTCTTTCTACATCTACGCCGCTCACTACATGATATATTTACTTCTTATTTTAGCCCTGCCGGGTTTACTCCTTTTCGGTAGAAAGCTTACCTATTCTACCTAGCTATTAACCATACGGCTGAAGTAAACAGCTTGGCTTGCTTATTTCCAAATATTTAGGGCAGGTATGTAGAGTAGACCGGTAGAGTGTATAGACCATTATTTGTTTTGGAGAGGCACATGAAAAGGAATCTCCACCGCTCCCGTGATGGGGACCCTTTAATGTCGTTTAGATTTCCGCAAAAAGAAAACGCGCGTTCCAGCGACAACCCTATATTTTATTTCCTATTTTCGGCTTGCTGCAAGGTCGTTGAACGTGCTGCTCGCGTCTGGGCACCTTGTCGCGCCTGTAAGTAATTCTGAGAGCAAATGATGGGATTACCCGGCTTAATAGTGGTCTGGTTATGCCTGGAGGCGTTTAAGGTTAAGTTTCTGGCGAGACAGTTTTTCGTACCTGCAGGAGTGCCTGATGCATGAATATGGTCCGTGGAGGATATGTACAGTACCGGAGTCTTGTCGTATGCATCCCACCCGTTTGCCCCGTTGAGAGTCTGACCAGTGCGCGGCATCAATCAAACATGTGTACCTACATCATCACCACTAGTCCAGAGTAGATGCGCGCGGCACTTGGAAGAACGAAACGGTGAGCTCCTCCTACTCTACATATCATGGAAGATATGTAGAGTACATGTAGCTATAGGATGTAGGCACACGCAATTTTCAACGGGACCGCACCAATTGCACTAGTACTTCCCATCCAACACGGTCTCTCACCTGCCAAAGCCAAACACCAGAAACCATTGCTACCGTTCCAGGTACGGATCATATCGGCCGCTATAGCTGATATATATATGTGCAAGAGTGAAAAATATATAACTACATACATGTATTCTATACAGTACTAGTAGATACGGCCACGTCAAGACCGTCTCTCTAGTAGGGGAAACTACGTGTAGAAAGGCGGACCCCGGGGCCCCGACGATTTTTCACGTTTTAGAAGACGCACATGGCCATCATAAGGTTTATTAAGCATTAATTGGGCTTTACCGAATGTTTAACGATACGAGAGTTACCCTGCCTCGGGGCTGTTGGTGGGGTACGCAATGTAGGGTTTGAGGTAAAACGGCCAGCGTTCCCGAACGCAAATCCTACCTGAGCCTACAGGGTCCAGAATAAGTTCAAATTAGTCAAGAGAAACCGGTAGACAGCTACGTAATACCGAAATACTACTAGCTATTCCCCGACGAATCCCCGCCAGCCGACATATCTACCTACATAAAGAAAATCAAAACCCACGCTTGACTCATCTCAATTTCAACTTTCGACAACCAATCTCTATCCATTGAGCGCTGTTAATATGCTTGCTCGCTCAGTACTCCGTCGCCAGGCTGTTGCCTTCAGTAAGAATGCCTCTGCTGGATTTTCTACATCAATTGCTCGCTGTGCTGGAAACCTCAGTGCTGTTCAGGACCAGGTAAGGTGTAATCCTTACCCTAGGATGTCAATTGCTTATGTCTTTTGTCCTCATAGCTCCTAAGAGCAACTTTAGCAGATTCAGATCCTGCTATCTCAAGTATTCTCGAGAAGGTCAGTACTCTAATGCCCGTTGGACATTGAACTAGACGTCTAATGCCAAACAGGAGAAAATTCGTCAAAGAGATTTTATCAACTTGATCCCCTCAGAGAACTTTACCTCTCAATCAGTTCTTGAGGCCCTCGGGTCTCCCATGCAAAACAAATACTCGGAGGGATATCCCGGTGCTAGGTACTACGGTGGAAACGAATTTATCGACGAGGCCGAAAGGCTATGTCAGCAACGTGCTTTAGAAGCCTTCAAACTTAATCCCGAGAAGTGGGGTGTCAATGTTCAAGGTACAATTCCATCATCTATTCGACAAATTCTCCTTTCGCCCGTCTAACAAAACCCAGCGCTTTCTGGAGCCCCTGCAAATCTCTATGCGTACTCTGCTCTCCTTCGCCCTCATGAACGTATCATGGGACTTGATCTTCCTCATGGTGGTCATTTATCACACGGATACCAGACTCCTTCTAAAAAGATCTCCAAAATTTCTGAGTACTTTGAGACCCTTCCATATCGTCTTGATCCGAAGACTGGTCTCATCGACTACGAAAACCTTGAAAAACTTGCAGAGCTCTATCGCCCAAAGATCATCATTGCCGGTGCATCGGCGTATTCCCGTATAATAGACTACAAGAGGATGAAAGCCATATCGACCAAATATGGTGCTTACCTTCTCTCAGATATGGCACACATTTCTGGTCTCGTTGCAGCTGGTGTGACGGATTCACCATTCTTGGACTCGGATATTGTCACCACAACTAGTCATAAATCGCTGCGTGGTCCCAGAGGCGCAATGATATTCTATCGAAAAGGTGTCCGCTCAACCAATAAGAAGGGTGAGCAAATACTGTACGATCTCGAAAATCCCATCAACGCGTCCGTTTTCCCTGGCCATCAGGGAGGCCCCCACAACCACACGATCACAGCACTTGCGGTGGCACTGAAGCAAGCTACTACTCCCGAGTTTGTGGCCTATCAAAAGCAGGTTCTTAAGAATGCAAAAGCACTGAGCAACAAGCTTCAAGCGGATGGCTACGAAGTTGTCTCTGGTGGTACTGACAATCATCTCGTTCTTGTCGACCTAAAGCCAAAGGGTATTGATGGGGCTCGTGTTGAACGTATTCTTGAACTCGTCAACGTTGCTGCCAACAAGAACACTGTTCCTGGTGATATTTCAGCGCTCAAACCTGGTGGTCTGAGATTAGGGTCACCAGCAATGACAACCAGAGGCTTTGGCGAGGAAGACTTCGAAAAGGTTGCGGTGATTGTAGATCAGGCGGTGAAGATTGCGAAGAAGATTGATGAGGGAGTAGGTGGGAAAAAGTTGCTTAAGGATTTCTTTAAGGTTGTTGGAGATGGAAGTGCGGTTGGGGAAGTGCAAGATCTCAAAAAAGAAGTTAAGGAATGGGTTGGTAGCTTTCCGCTTCCATGGAACACCTAGACCGGTTCACTTTATCTGTTCCTGTCTAGTTAGTTGGCTTGATGGTATGGTTTTTATATACTTCGATGTATGTTAACGTGATATTATCAAGTAAAACAAACATGAGAATCTCTGGAACGCTTAAAATTTGTATTAATATGCCAAGAATCATGGTATATCACTCGTGGAATTCCCCTTCACTTGAGGTCACAATAAATTCAAACAAAAAGTAGGTGTCTATTCAAGTTCATCTCTATGTAAGAAAATATTATTGGATATGTGATATCAGAGTCATAGTATCTCACTCGTGGGTAAATCTTCACTTTAACCCCTTTGAGCGAACCTATTCTCGTTCAGTAAACAGGGAGGCAGTAAACAAGACGAAAGTACAAAAGCATGTCAGAAACACATTACTCCATTGTCACAGGTAAAGCGAAGTAATTCTAGGTGCAGCAGGAGGCTGTAAAGGATCGAATATGGGGTAATATGGCAATGTGAGGTTTGACCAAGCGTACTATGAGAGCAAGAAGAATATAACGTGATTGTGAGATCACTTTGGTATAAGCTCGTGTATTAATGGAGAAAGTTCCATTGTACGGGCATGAGAATTTGACTAGGGTCTGGGAAAAGACCAGATTGATAGGTGGGAAGATGAATGAATTGATGGGAAAGAGTAATGAAGAAACAGAGCCTCCTAGTATGTCTATTATATGAGCACGTCGCCGGCTTGGGTATTGTAATTTCTGCAGTGTCCCGTAGACATCCGCTAGTAACGGAACCTCTAAATGAATAAAATATCATAAGCAGATCGATCTAATTAAACGTATCTTCTGTGAGGGTAGAATGCGTACTTGGTAAGTTTCTGGCAACAGTTAGGGTTAGGTGCAATATATACATGTAGTCGTAGTAGTAATACCGCCAAATATTAGCAAGGTATGATAATTAATAGGCAGGTAAGGGAGTGCGTGTTTTAACTAATACGACCAACGTTAACAGGGCATGTTGAACGGCGGGCAGGTATGCGGTCCAATAGCACGCACCCCAGGTTAGGTAAGTTATAACGTTACATTGGCTGCATGTAGTCGGGTATTTCGCTCCAGCCTTCATGTCACCAAGTAGTAATTAAATGCAAGTGATTTTGGTATGTGTAAATAGCGGTGGAAAGGGCCATGAGAGATGTTTGTATATCTCATGTCAAGCTTAGCAGGCCGTCAGGCTGAGTTAACGAAATGAAATGCTTGATGAGGGGTGGACCATACGATGATTATACTTTTGACTAGCCTAAGAAATACCCCGATGTCCCAATAACTCATAAATTCCTACAGCTTACGGCACTAATCGCTTTTGTACTCACCCCAGAGTGATCTGTGGTAGACACCCAGAGGTTAAATAGCCACCGCCCCCAACCTCTTTCCCACTCATCTTTTTTTTCCCATTCCCCATCACTTCTTCTCCTTCTTCTCATCCTCATCTTCCCTCTCATCCCCTTCCCATCACGATATATCTAAATTTCCATATTCTACCGTCTCTTTGGTTGAGCAATAAGCTCTTCACTATCATTTCTTCTAGCTACGATCTTCTCCCACTTTAAATCCCATTTTTTAAAAACCAAAAAAAAAAAAAAAAGAGAAAACATACGACTGTTTCAACATGCCTGAAGGGAAAAACTTTTTTAATCTTTCATCTCGGAAAGAGGCCGTTTTCGAAGAAATTGAACCTACGATTAAGCAGGTTGAGGTAAGAATCTGTCACTCCTTCATTTCATTTTTTTCCCTCGTTTTTTTTCCCTACCACTACATGTATATACGTGGTTTTTGTCTGATTTTGCTGGCTCTGTGGATTTCTTATGTTTTCCGCTCCTATTCATCATCTCTTTGTTAGAGGACTGCAATTGATTGAACCCGCTTGATCAATTGACTGCTGAAGAATTTATGCATTCATTCATGGTTTTGATGGCTACACGTCATAATCACAAAAATTCCGTATCATTTCAGCCACTGTTTTCTTGTTGAATGGTTTCTGTGTAGGATCTCCGCTGACATAACCTAATACAACAGTCCAGAGCCATGATTAATCACTCGAATTCACCCGTTAAATCGAGTCCTGCTTCCTTCCTTAAGACTCACCTGATCGAACCCGCTGCGAGTCCAAGGGTCAATGGTATGCTAGTCCCTTCTATGTTTTACTTTATCGTTTTTTTTTTCCCACTTTTCCCCCCTGTATACTTACTTTGCTCCCATCGATAAGTCTACGATGGTACTCCTCCGGGCCAGGGTAAGCCTTACTACCTCCCTGAAGGAGCCGTCATCGAATTCTTTCTTCACGACAAGCCCATCGAATTTTATGGCCAGTGTGCTTGTTTAGTGCGCAATATTGATATTCCTGGACTGTATGCTATTCGTGTGCCCGCCGAAATTGATCTATACGGTGCCATTAGTCTGAGACAGTCATTCGAGAGCCGCCTTTCTGTTAAGGCTCGCGAGGAACTTTACCTCAAGAACGGTCCCTACGTCCAGGAGCGCGAGGTTGGAGTCAACTGTGGCACTCACGATTACCCGCTTAACACCAACTACGAAATGTTTACACATGGCCAATTGCAACAACCCCAGTCTGAGCCAGGATCTATCTATGCTACTCCTACTCGTGGTGCAGAAATCGACTACTACCGCCCTACAGACCCTCAAAACTTCGCTGTGTATCCAGAGATGTTAGAAAGGTCTGACCCTTTCATTGATGCTACATCCTCAGCCGCTAGTTCCTCTCTTGTTGGAAGTGATCGGGGTGCTGGGGGTAGTAGTTTCGTTTATCGCGAGAACAATGAGTTTTACCCTTCTAATGGAGGAAGAACCTATAATGAACCTACCACGTAACATATCCCCAATCCTCAATTCTCTTCCATAAATCTTTTACATCTGCTGACATCTTCATACAGAGACCTTGATCTACAGAGTACAACTGACAGAAAGATTGACCTGCGTGTCAATAGCGGTGGCTATGGCAGGATGATGTTTCCGGTAATTTTACCCATAATTTATGAACAATCTCTCAAATGATTTTTTTCTGACGTATTCTATCACTCTGGTCAAGGCCGTCGAGAAGCCTCTTGAGCCAGTCTATGATCAGCCTATTGTTCCTGCCCATCGACTCAATTCTCAGCAGCGTGAACACTTTGATGGGATGTATGACGAAAATGACCGACGTGTTACCCATATGGCTCAGAATGTCCAGCATGGGCCGTTGGTTATGGTCCCGACAAGGCCTGCTGCTGAAAACCCTGCTAGTCTTCCGCCGCGTCACTTGAATAAGAAAACCAATGCCCTCTACAAGACCGAGATGTGCCGTAACTGGAATGAAATTGGGGAATGCCGTTATGGTCGTTCTTGCCAATTTGCTCATGGAAAGAAGGAACTCCGCATAGTTCCCCGTCATGGGCAATGGAAGACCAAAACTTGTATGGCGTGGTTGCACGGTGGTTGCACTTATGGAAGCCGCTGCTGCTATGCCCGTAAGTTCCGGAGCTTATTTCAATTGATTGTATCCCTAATATTTTACTAATTTGTTTTTTAAAGATGAAATCATTGATGGTGATGGTAATCCATTGCCAGGTGGTAATTCCGTTGATCAAGTTGCTACTCCAGCTCCCGAGAATGGAGAATCCAGATTCAGCGATTTCTTTGCCAGCCGCTGGTATGATTATGATCGACTTCTACTTTGAAACTCCCATCCCGAATCTAGCTAACTATTGATTTAATTTTTGGTAGCTGGACCTAAAAATTTTGGCCATTTTGGTATGATACACCCATTCTTCTATTCTTTTAAATCGCTAACCACGTAGTTGAATTTAGGCTACTTTAACATTATTATAATTAAAAGTTAGTAACTTTGGTTACAAAATACCCGGATTCGCTCGAAATAGTTGAGAAGGAATATAGGGCGAAACTAAAAAAAAAGGTTATAAAAGATCGGATATCATTGTATTTTTTTTGGTCTTTTACAGTGATGTTACACTCCTTTTTTTTAATTCCATTGTTTGGAATATTTCTATATATTCTTTGTAAGGGACTTGAGCAACATTAGGGGAGGATAAAAGGGACGGCCTTTTATCTGTTTAAGACTTGACATAGCGTCATAAGATTTTAGGAGATTTCTCCGCATGTCTGATGGTTCGTCGTCATACGAGTTAGTATTATAGGGGACGAAAAAATATAATGGCGGAAATTATTATCATTGTTAAAATACATCTAGTCTATGTCTATGAAATTCTTAGTCGTCAAGGCCCTCATAACACAACTACCTTTAACTATTATAAGACTAGAATGCTCTCAGGAAATCTCCAATTGCTGATCCTGGATTAGTGAAAGTCTTGTTATTGAGATACATGTATACTAAATATTACATAAGAATGGGGTAAAATACAAGGCTTTGCTGTGTTAAGATTAATGAATTAAACATGAAAACAAAAAAAAGAAATTGGAGTTTCAACGCTTTGGTCGAGTGATAGTTCATGACCTAGCACAAGGTACTTAAACTTCTCCTTCTATTTCTTTCCGCGTCATCTAGCCCGTAAATACGGTGCTATATTGTGTTGATAGTGAAGCCAAGGTCTTTACTAAAGCCATTCCACTCCATCCAGGACCACACTACCCCCCACCCCCCCAAAAGGCAAGAAAAACAGTGGCGGATAATCGCGTGGCTATGCTGACTCTAATATTTCAGATAAGATGTCTAGAATAGCGTTTTTTAGGTGTCGATAACTGAATTGGCTCCTATGGGGGGGGGGGGTTTCTATGATATGTAGCCTATGAAATTTTCTATTCATAAGACTGGTAGATATATCACGCGGCTAATGGGAGATTTGAAAGTTCTCGGGATCAATTGTTTGAAGAGCTTATGGTGGTGGTGGCGGGGTATAGGTATTCACGGAAAAAAATAGGTACGTGGGTGGTTGACTGAAGCAGATAATGCAGGGCCTTGACAGGGTTCAGTGCAGTGTTGATCGTTGTTTCTATTGGTGGTATGGTAACCGGCAAACCAAACTTACAGGTGTGGTGGGACTTGGGATCCGGGTCTAGACACAGAGGGGAGGGTCGTCTTATTGTGTGTTGGAATGGCGCAAGATACGAAACTATTGAACATCAGGAGTCGAAATTACAGCGAAATACTGTGGGGGCTTGACGGGGGTGAGCGTTACGGGGTGTGCAGACAATATTCACAGAAGGATAAATCACAGATAAGCATCGTACAACAGCTACGGGCATCTGGCTTGAAATTGGAATGTACTACCTACTCCACACAGCTTCACAGCTTTTGAATGTCCAGTACGTCTACCTGACACTCTACTAGTATTTCACTGACGTTTGTGGACGCGACTGATATTGCATGCCATACAAAAATACACTAAACTCATGATTTTGGGTGTATGCAATAATGGCCCAGTTCAAAAACGTCAGTGAAATACGAGTACTCTGTTTCTATGCATGATAAGAAACACCTGACAACACTCCCTGGTGTACTCCGTACTCGTCCCTGCAGGTGCTTCTTATTACCTATCAGATTAGAGTAGTGGGGTCCTTGTTAATGACAACCTTTTTCCCTTCAGTCTGCTTCGAAACCTGACTTCAACTAAGTTTAATTCTCTGTTAGCAGTGCTTTCTTAGTATGTAACTACTTACATATAGTTGCGGTCTCTCAAAATTTGTCAGGCGGCCAAGCCTAGAAGCTCTCTGGACATAAACATTAGCTTCAACCAATCCATGACTGGGAAAAAAAAAGGATTTTTCCCCTCCCCCACAAACGGTAGGGTCTGCATGCTCCTATCAAGTGCGCAGATCATCCGTTTTATTAACAAATCCATGGAGCGCCAAGGCTTTATGCAGGGTGCCGCATTAACAGATATCAGAGTCTCTTCTGATTTGCTGCCTCTTCAGGGCCACATTTCAGCAATACAGTGACCCAAATATAAAGAGTGCCCATATGAAGGAAGTCGGCTTTTGCCTTTAACCACTACACATAGATAATCAGTCAGTCCACAATGCCATCTTCCCACGCCCTCAAACATGCATCCGACGTGACAACGTTTGTCACCGACCAAGCTCTCTACACAAAGACCCTCTGTGGTGCTCACAATGCCAAACCTATCCATCCTCTCTGGTTCTCCCAGGTTTGTGGGGGATCTAATACCGGAGCATCACTCCTTCAATTGCCCTCAGAGCTACTGGATCACATCACAGAGCTTCTATCCATCGCCGATCTGGCTTCAATGGCGCTCGTAAATACTGCTTGTCGGCAACTGGCGCGGTCACGGCAGTTTGCGAATATACATCTTTCCTACACGACACCGGAAGCTTCGGGAATACGGAACGTACTTGCTGATGAATCGGCGGCTCGAATGGAAAATCCTATGATATCAAGTCCCACGCTGGGCGTTTGTGTGAGAAGCTTAACCGTAGCCTCCGTTATACTAATGGATTCATTCTTTGTGAGGTGGTGGAAGTTAGAGGACCTGCCGTCGCTGTTCATGCCAGAGGTGTCACGGGAAAGAGCGATTGAGTTGGTGGCAAATAATTACTTCGACGTTTATGTGAGAAATCTGAGCGATGCGCTGAGATATGTGTTGCCGAATCTAGAGATATTAAGGTGGGAGGATAAGGTCTGTATTACTCCGGAGCTGATGAATGCTATTACTGCTTCCGGTGTAAGGGAGCTAGAGATGGCAGGGGTGTTTGTGGACCGGGAGTTTGTGGTGGATGAACGGCCAAGGTGGGGGCTGAGGGGACTGGTGATGGATATTCAAAGAGCGAAGGGCTGCAGAAACGTTAATACGGCGCCACTGTGTATGAGCATCTTGAAGGCTGCAGCCCAAACATTGGAAGAATTGGAGTGGGTGAATGGCGAAGTAACGAGATTTGATGCTGCTGAATTCGATCCTCCTTTACGATTCCCGCAGCTCCGTAGCTTGGTACTTCAGAATACAGAGATCGATAGTGAGCTTTTAGAAGCACTCATATCAGAAAACAATCCGCAGCTACGACTTCGTATTCTCACCGTAGCTTCTTCTTCGGCATCCGAATACCTATCCCGCCGCGGGCATATAGACACTTTGCAAGTCTACCACACCCTCGCCCCCCTCTCTCCGTCAGATGCTGTCTTCATTGGCGCCAATTCGCAGCTGCATAAACTCACTGCACCGTGTGCCAGTGATTCCTTGGTCCTAGGCACCCTTCTCCCCACGCTCACAGATTTTCGACACTTGACAAATCTGTATCTCGTCTGGGACTCCAAAACGATTGACATACGGGCCCTGGAGAGTATAGGCGGCGTCAAATCATTGACTCATCTCTGGCTCTCTGCGGGAACGCAAAGCGGCAATATCCACGATTGGGTGGCTCCTCACGACGCAATGGTGACTGCATTCTGTCAGTTACAGAAACTACGGGTATTGGTATTTACAAGAGATACCTACGAGCAACCACTCGCTGGGGAGCCTCCAGAGAAGTACTATATTCTCCGCCAGCATCCTGATGGTGTTGAAGGGGACGAGGGAACACCAGGCTTCCAGCAGCGATCGGAGGCGGCGTGGGAATTGTGGCATGTCGAGGAGATGCGTAGGGTGGCGAGTGACTATGCAGATGTGTTGGAGAGATTGGAGTTGGTGTTTTTAGGCCAGTTGGAGGCTAATGTAAGGCAGGAGTGGTGGAAAGAGCCGGGAAAGAGAATTGATGATTGGTGTTTTGGGAAGGCTAAGAGCAGGGCCTGGGTGCCGAGTGGGAGAGATAAATCGATTATGTAGAGTGTTTGTATAGACGTTCAGCGATCTCTTGATGTGAGTATATACATGTATCTACTAGATCTAGTTTTGGATAGGTTCAAATGCAATGCTGTAGAAGAGGACGAGATCGAGAGGTGACAGTGCAGTCAGTGGCTTTGTTGATTGGTTTGTAGACTTGGAGGTGCTGCTAGTTCTATCGTCGTGGGTTGTAGAAGTCAAAGTGCTAAAGAAGACAAACGCGACGTATCCCCGTTTGAAAAGCCATATATTCCACTCATGCACCAGAAACCGTCCGAGTGACTGTCTATGATCCACTTACATAATGGGTTGTTACATTCATGTCGCAACCAAAAAAAAAGTTCAATTGTCCGATCTACTGGTACGAATTTGCTATCCCACAACCACAAACCCCCAAGGTCCTCATCCACAGCAATCCCTTACCTAAAATGGCCTCTTCTTCTTCCTCCACAGCCCTCTGCACATCCTGCACCGAGCCGCTTATCATCTCGGTCGAAGATGAAGACACCCCCGACCAGAGCGCCGGCATAATCGATGACATCGAGCTCCCCTGTGGCCACCACTACCACTGGTACTGCTACTATTCTTGCCTTATACAATTCTATAACCCGTGCTAAGTAGGGCTTTCCCAGGTCCTGCTTCGCAGAAGAATACACAAGCGGCGACTCCGCACGAAGCCAATGCCCGTCTTGCAGCACCTCCACGCTCGACTCCGCAACTGGTAAACTCCTTGTGACCTACCGCAATGAGGGCGGTATCCAGACCGGGCTTGACCTCGGTGCGCTTCTCGACGAGGAGGAGTTTTACGATGAGAACCCGGAGCTGAAGAAAGTCAGGGCCTTTTAGAGTTCTGCGCTGAAGGTAAATTTTGAGAGAGTGCAGTTAGTGGGAGTCGTTGGGCAAAAGCTAATGGTGTTTAGGTGATGTGGAGAGCGTTCTGGAAATGATCGAGATGGACGCAGAGCTGCTGGACGCACAGGACTTTGAGACGGGACAGACGGGACTGCATGTCGCCGTGCAGAACCAGCGCGAGGATGTGATACAGCTGCTGCTGGAGAAGGGTGTTGACCGAGCGGTGCTAGACAACGCCGGGAGGAACTACTACCAGTTGGCAGTAGAGCTGGGTGCAGATGAGGTCCAACTGCAGAGGTTAAAGGGTAGGTAATCTACATAATATATAGACAACTATTGGGCGCATCAGCGTAACTCGGGAAAATGGTGATATAACGGATTGGCTGCAACAACCACATATAAAGGTCGATGACCTATAGCGAAAGTCCGGGTGTAATTGGTGCCATGGACCTTACTGAATTATAGGGATTGTGATATAACAGGGTTAGGGTTCATCGCCATGGTTTCTCCCAATTGAAGGGGTAAACAAAACGGCCTCATACCTAGCATCTACATTCCAATGTGCAGTGTCTACTCTGCATACATGTAGTCAAATAATGTCCCGACACGATACCCGTCTACTGAGTACTTGCAGGAGAGTTTGTTCTTGACGATATGCCATACTATTTATTCTTGCTGCCCGGCCTCTCCCCCCCGGTAAAGCTTCCTTATTATTAAGACCGTGCACCCCGGCCAGCTGAGGCGCTTTTTCCCCATTCATTTGCCACTTCTGCCTGCGCCCCCGTCAACACGGATCTACAGGGGACAGCTTGCGATAAGTTTTGACACAATTGGAGAGATCTCGAGGAGTAACTAATTACTTCAATCTCTCTTTTTTCTCCTGAGCTGCCCAGCGAACGAGTGCATACTTTACAGCCAGGCGCACAGCTGCTACACACATACAATACACTACCAGTGCGGTACTCACTACCTACATACATACCACTTACCACTTACCACTTACCACTACTATATCGCTATCCAACGCCGTAATCTCCGTCGCTCTAATCAGGTTAAGCATAAGCTCCCGCCCAGAGCAGCACCCAAGGTTCCAGCTAGCTAGCCAGAAAGCCAGAAAGCCAGAAAGCCCTGCAGTGGCCGCGATCACCCCGACCGCTGCCTGCCAGGAACAGCACCCGTTAATAATTAGTTAGTCGGTTACTAGCAGCTAGTTAGGCGAGGCTGGGCGTTCTTACTCTGCTCTACACTCTCTGCTGCTGCAGCAGCATACCTGTCGAGTCGATAGTAACAACTTGCCTCTCCTGCCTCCATACCTCACCACCACCACCCATTCTCTCCTCCACCCCTATCACCAACAACAAAAAAATATGGAGTCGGCAGACACAACACCTACGCCAGCTGACTTTCCATCTACGCCAACTGAGATCCCAAGTACACCTCCACTGACACCACAGCTCGAAGATGCTCCGAAAAGCAGTTCACTCCCGATCAAAGAGGAGGAGAAAGGGCCAGCAATAGTAGTAGTGGGGGAAAAAGAAGAAAAAGAAGAAAAATTTGAGGAAGAAGGGGGAGCTCTAGAAACAGCTTCAGGTACAACTAGCTCAGCAACAATCGCAGAGGCTGCAACACACGTCCTCGACTTCCTACAACATGCCACGCCAGAAACACTCGGCGGAGTGATGCTAGGGTCCACCGTCGTGCTCTACGTGATATTCGGGAGCTTTGGTCTGCTGTTTGTCGGGGTGATTGGCGGTGTGGTGCTCCACGCGAGCCTGGAGAACATGAGGGCGTCCGGGAAGAAGGGACATCGAGTGGATGTGCTGGAATGGCTGGATAAGCGGATGGCAGGCGTGAAGGGGGACGGCGCGCTGGCTTCCCCTCCTCCGGGAAGTGAGAATAGGAGCGAAAAGTCCACAGGTGGTCATAAGGTGTGTGCGGATAAAGCCGGCTTTTTGTTTTTTCTTGAAGGGCGCGGATCATGACTGACTGGTGTGTGCGTTAAAAGAGATTTGCAAGGTCACAGCGGGTTGTGGATTTCTCGAGTCTTCCGCCAGAGACGGGGGCAGCATTCACGGATTTGGCGGATGCGGTGACGAGGGATTATGTGAGGTCTGCTGCAATTGCTATTTCCCTCTCTTTTTCGAACGATTGTAACTGACCCTCCCGCAGGTGGTGGTTCTCCCCAATTCTTCCTACAGACGAGAGTTTCCCCATGGCGTGTCGGCAGACGCTTGTCCAGACTCTCTACAACATGCACTCTCATCTTTCTCAAAAGTGTGCAAAAGACACCTTTCTCCTGTTCCTTGTTAGCACGTCAAACACATTCATCGTGTTTTTCCGGGAGCTCGCCCAAACCGCCCAAACCTCAATCGGGACCTATGTTGAAGAGTACCCCTCCAGCGCCCTGGCCCAGCTCGTTGACCGCAGGGAGCAGAAGCGAAAGCTCAAGATGGCCGCAGACGACATCGTCACGAGTTTCGTTCCTGCCGATGCAACATCATGCGATCCGATCAGGACGTTCCTGACTGAGATCATTGCGGGTGTAGTGCTCGAGAAGCTGGTGGATAAGTTTTCTTCTGCAGAGTGGATAAATAGCACAATTGTCTATCTTCTTGAGAAGGAAACGCAGCCAGAGATCCTGCAAAAAATTGATATTGGAGAGGCGACATTGGCGGTCAATGATACACGTGTTTCAGCTGCGGCGGAGGCGCAGAAGGCGAAGCGAATCTCGCGCGCGGAAGAGGAGATGGAGCGTGCGATGCGGGAGGCACAAGAGCTCAATGCGATGATTGCAGAGGAAGAGGCAAAACGTGTATCCGGAGATTTTGGCCCAGGAAGAGATGCAAATGGAAACACGAGTGGAAGTACAAGTTCGAACGGCAGTTCAATTAATCTCAACAGTGACAATGCTTCTATACGTTCTTCCTCTGACAATGGAAGCTCTCGTCCGCCCACGATCGTAGAGGAACCAATTTCACCATCCGCTGAGCCCGGAACGTTCACATCGTTCGACCAGTTGCTCTCTCCGAGTCCAACCCCATCATCACCCGTACAGCCAATTGACCCTCTCTACAGAGCCAACGTCACTATCTCAGACCTCACTCCTCCCTCCGAGACAAAAGTTTTCGACCCGTTCTCTGGTGGTGCTTTCACTGCCCCTGCCGATAGACCGCTCCGGTCAAAACCTACTTCCGCCGTATACCTTATCCAGATTGAGCCCGGTGTCTCGACTGTGCCTGGGTGGATCCTAACAAGGAAGTTCACAGACTTCGAAACGCTTCACGAAGTGCTACGCAGGATCTCCAACATCAGCGGTCTCGAGTCATTCACGCATTCACACTCGGAGCTCCCCACATGGCGTGGCGGTACAAAAGAGGCGCTTCGGAACCAGCTGGAGCGGTATATCAATGATGCGCTGAAGGAGAGGGTACTCGCGGAAAGTGAAGGTATGAAGCGTTTCCTCGAGAAGGACAGCGAAGCCAGTAACGGTGGCAATAAGGCGCCTTCTCCGGGCGGCGCTTTTGGAGGACTGGGGAAGAATTGGCCGAACCCGCAGGCATTTGCAAAGATGGGTGGTGGAATGCTGGATGCGCTCACAAAGGCACCACAAGGAGCGGCAGAGGGTGGGAAGAGCTTATTTGGCGGCGTTTTCATGAAACGTGCCCTTAATGGTGAGAACAGACGGCAGACACTTGATGTGTCGAGTCTGCGGCAGCTAGGGCGGAGCGATACATCATTACAGATTGAGAACGAAGCTCCGGTGAAGCCAGAAGAGGAGGAACCAGTGGTAAAAGTGAATAATAGGCAGAGCTTCCCAGCAAGAAGGAGTAGCCTGATGGGTATGGGTCGTGTGCAGAAGACAGAGAAGGAGGGGTATATACAACTCGAGATACCATCTGTGGATGGCGATGGGCCTGGATTTGTCTCGCTGCCTCCACCACCGAGCGATATGCCTGACGACTATGATAGCGATGCCGCTCCTGCCCGGACCCGTTCCGGGAGTGCAGCATCCTCACTGCTCAGGCCCGAACCGGAGACAACAACCTCCCGAACCCGCGCTGCGTCTGCCGCTGCGGCCTTCCTGGTACCTACTCAAGCACCGCTGTCACCAGTACCACCCTCTCCGCCCTTAATATGTACAACTCCACCGCCGATGGATCCCCCCACTTCTCCAACCCCGCCTGCTCCGTCCGCCCCAGCTACATCATCGAAACCCAAACCCGCAACAGAACCACTAACGGAATCCGAGACGATTTTCGCCGTCGAGATCTTCTTTGCGATCATTAGCGAGCTCTACACGCTCTCCTCCGCCTGGCTTTTCCGCCGCTCCCTCCTTAACGTTGCTAAGAACATTCTTCTGCGGCCTGGCAACGCCACACTAGAGAGCATCCGTGTACTCATCCAAGAAACCGTTATCGACGCCAATACAGCCGACGCTGCGATCGCAGGTTATGTCAAGAAGATCACCAAGAACGGGTTTCCAACAAAAGAGGAGCGCGCTGCGTGGCCACCTGTGGTTGAGATGTCCGATGACGAGAAGTCAGAGTTGAGGGAGAAGGCCAGGAGACTAGTGGGCGAACGAGGTATGCCAGAGGCTCTGAAAGGGCTTATGGGAGCGGGTGCAAGTAGGGAGTGCTGGGGTGTGGTGTTTGATGCGTTGCAGGAGCGAGGTGTGGCAAGAGGTGTGGTGACGGGGCTGGTGGTAGAGGGGGTCAGGGGCGTGTGCCATTAGTCTGGGCCTGAGAGTAACTGGGGATGATGTAGGACTAATTGTTTTTGTTTCTTTATTGTGGCTGCATGGTTTGACGGTTCGGTGTTTTTTTTCTTGTTTTTTTTTACTTTTTTCTTTTTATTTCCGCCTTTATACATCTTCTTGTTTTATAGATGCAAGCCTCTTTTATCTTCTTATCTTCTATCTCGGGTGTCATACATACTTATATACTGTACCTTGACTTAGTTGCCTATTCCTTGCTCTCTCTCTTGGTGGATTTGTGTGCTTATTGGGTTTTGGCGGTGGGGTTTCTGCTTTTTTCCTTCTTTTGTTCTTTGGTTAGTCGGCGTGTGGGAGTGAGTACGGGCGGGTTGTAAAACGGTGGATTGTGTAAAATGTGAAGAATTTCTTTATTTTATTTTCAGGGGGAAAAAAATTCAAGCGAGTGATTGTGGGTGATTGAGTGCATGAGTGATATTGTGTGATCAGGATGTAGTTATCGTTGAGCGCGTTTGTTCATCTTGCTATTGACACTCTCTGGCAGGCACTTCGCTTTCTGAAAATTGCTCATCATGGAAGCTTTTTTTTTCCCCACCAGGCGGCTGGGTCTTCTACACCCCCTTCCGATTTCAATGCCCTCTTTAGTGCCTCCCAAGACGAGTGATATTTCATGAGTTTACATGAGCAAAGCATTGGAATATCCTCTGTTATTTCAATAATATCCACGGTAAAACGTTCACAAAACTTGTCCTCTGAATAACCAGCGTGCTTCATATCTGTCCTGCGGGGTGATTCCACCCCAAGCTAATTGTGCCTTATCCGCGAAAGAAACCATTCTTAGCGTCCTCTTCGTGCATTTACTGGGCCATGTGGGGCGAAACTCATGCCTAGATACATGGGTTGATGGGCTGATGGGGTGGCCAGCCATAGTTGTGTATACGAACGTGCGCCGTGCGAGACAGGCGGAGCAGGGAGCGCGGCTAGGCGTGGGACCCTTCTTGACATACTTTCCTGTCAGGTATCTATATATCCACGCGCCTCTAATTTCCACTATGAGTTTTCTCATGGTGTATCTTTTCTTGGGAGGGGGGGGGGGGGGGGGCAGAGGGCAATTCGATAGGGTAGAGCTAAGATATGGTGTATCGGCGGGATTGGCTTTTAACGACGGGGGACCGGGGCTGCGGTTGGGCGCAGGTTTGGGGGGAGGGGCGCCTATCCTGATGTTTCTGATGGCGATTGAGATAGTTAAGTGCATCAAGTGTCGGGAAGGTTGATGGGTCGCCTGGTATTATTGGACTCAAGTCCCGCGCGTTAACTAATGGAGAATGAATGCCAAGGACCATCGAGTGATACGTTGTGACCATGCAACGCTCCGTAAATGCGCAAATAACTCACCGGTGTGTTACGCTGCCCACCGGTCCCCAACGACATTTTTCACCGTCCTTCATGTGCAGAGTTTTGAAAGGTATGTATGCACTACATCTTTGCAGACAGAGCGTTAAATTCTTTTGAAGGCAACCCCATAGCCAGCGGTCTGGCATGTGCCGCAACCCCCAACGACATCATACCGTAACTAGTGCATGTGCGTATAAACCACCGCACCATATAAACACACCAAACTCCCATCCCATGCAACCCCACTAAAAACAAAATAAATACCAACCCATTACATGTATGTACGCCATTTTCAAAGCAATCACAAAGAAGAAAAAAAAAAAAAAGTACGTTCCCTGGTTATCTGTATAATCGCGCATCATCGTCCAGGACCAGAACCTCGTCTTTTGGCCTGCCCGACGACAACCCCACATGCCACGTTCCGTCACCACAAGGATCTATATAATACCTAAGCCCCGGTTTCGACCGCGAACACTCCTTCTCCAGCACCTTGTCCGGGTATGCACTCGCATTCTCGCCCAAGTCTACCTTCATCGCCCCAGCTAGATCTGCCACCGCCCTAAAAGGCCCCAACTTCCTGCCCGCGCTACACAGCTGGCCCTTCCGGTTTGCATGTACCCACAAAGCATATATGGTGTAGGTCCACAGCATCTGCAACACGATGGTGCCCCGGAATATCACCGTGGAGACACCGTACTGGTACTTTTCGGTGGCGATGCACCGGTGCCGGCTCGGGTTGCTGGTGAAGGCCATGTCGTAGGCCTCACCGCGGAATTGGTAGCCGAATTGGGTATGAAGGGGCTCGAAACCGACACGATAGACGACATCACCGACGCGGTACTCGTGGCCAATTCCTTCATCTGTTGGGTGAATGTCAGTTATAAGCACATAGAGAGAGATAGTGATAGTAGGGAATATAGTGGATACTTACACTCCGTATGGTTTTCACCTGAGATTTCGGCCCATTTCTCGAGGGAGAAGGTTGCATTATCTTCCATCCCGATGCGGGAGCCATCGAGAACGATTTGTGCATCCCGCATCTCGTACAGAAATGTATCATGGGTAACGAGGTTCCCGTCGTTGAGGATGAACCAGCCTTCAGCGCGGGTGCTATAACCTGTCATTGCAGCCATCAAAGTGGGGAATATCAGCACATATGCCGTCACCAGAAAGATCAACGTCATCCTCCCACGGTGCTCCCATCTAGTCGCTATACGCTTTAATATAGCCAACAGCGTAAGGAAAGTGCTTCCGTTCATTGTGAGCGTGATAAAAAGCTCATAGGATACCTCGTCCGACTCCATCATTTGCGATAACGTATCCAGTATCGCTCTGTATGATGCCCAACACAGTAGCGCCTGTCCACCATGGCCCACAACAACGTCGAAAGCAACATCCACCCACTTTGCCGCCGTAAAGGATAATACACCAATCGAGTAATTAATGCCAAATATCGGGGCGCTGTTTTCATCGAGGCGGCATGTCTTCTCGTCGTCAGTTGTGGTGAACCATAGCACAAGCCAAGCAATAGGAAGTGCGGCCGATAGGAGGAATGTAGGGAAGAACATCCACCCCGCCTTTTTCCTACGTGTGCTGGCATCACGCTTGGGGAGGGTCCGGGGCCGTAGGTGAACTCGGGGCTTTTTCTTCTGCGTGGGCCAGAAGTCGTCCGTGTGATAGCTGGGGACTCGTGAGATGGTTGAGGATAGGCGTTCATCTTTCAGGCTCAGGTCTGTAAAGTTTGGGTATGAGTTGTGACTGGCCATATGGTCGGATACAAGAAGCTATCCTTATGGCTTAAGGGAAAACCGTTAGTAAATAGTAATCATACATTCCCATCTCAGGTTTAATTCAATTTACTTACCTTGCGCGGGTAGAGATCTTCAAAAGCACAATTATATATGCGAGGCTCCACGAGCCCGAGCGAAAGCTAGGGGGAAAACAAATCCAGTTGTTTCTTTTCTGCGTGTTTTCTCTCAAGACACAGTTCTGCATCTTGGGGTCGTATGGTCTTTTTTTGCCAATGTATGTTCCCTTAAGGCCTTCAAGTAGTTTGGCACCTTTCCCCAGGCCCATTTCCGGTAAGGACGACGAATGTTTGTAACCCCGGTAGAGCATGTCGTGAATAACGTGCACCGAGCGACATGATGGGCGGCTTTATATCATACTCCAGTCCCCCATTCTTTATTACGTGTGACTTAATAGCCCACACCATAGTTATGAGTAGTTACATAATTAGCCCATATATGGGTGATTCCCCGGACATCGTGAAATATCTGGGGAGAATACCGGTACACCGATATCATGACAACGAGGATGTATTTTTTCGCCCATGTGCACATCTACAACAATGTTTCAGCATGCTTTCTTGATGAATTTTTGCTGTCTGGGTTTTGAAGATTCACAGGCTTTTAAGACCACTCGAAGTCAAGATCACTCGAAAGACAGGTCGTCGTCGTCGGTGTGCTGCATGAGCCTCGCCGTTTCGGCCACTCTTGCTAAATATAGAATCGGTAGGATGGGTGTGGCAAAGCTGATTTGTTATGCACGGGTTGCCGTAAAATAGTTGAAAAACACACTAAAACATGCGAATTCTAAATCCCAGGAGGTTTATGATCGAGATTGAGATTGCGATTGAGATTGTTGGTATTCACTAACGAACCCTAACCCATCCATTGTCTAAGGCTGTACCGGGTGTTGAGGGTAAGTGATCAGAATCTGATAAGTGAATGTTACGGTGAATAGGTGTATTTGTCTTATCAGATTCTGATCACTTTTCGCTACACCCTAGTACTATTCAGTGGGGGCTGTTCAAATCTGATTAGATCGCAGATTTGCGTAGCAACGTAAAACAGAGAGTGTCAAATCCGAAAATTGACACTTTAAAAATGACAGTTTCGGAAGACAAAATTGACAGTTCCCCTCAGTAACCTAATTAACCACACCAGGAAGGTATGATGGGGGAAACTGGGTAGATAAATAATTCTTCACGCTTACTGTGAAATATGCAGGCGGGATATATACTGCACTCAGTATAGTAAAAATCCCCAGGCATATCCTACATCCCCACCTTGGAAAATTGATGGTTTCGGCAACCACTTTTTAATGTGGCGAAGTGTGAATTGTCGGTTTTGACACTTGGTAAAAACTCTCTAATGAAACGAAGACGGTAAACGGTTGGTTGGGGTTTGGAGGTCGGAGCGGACTACTAGTGGGTAGACGCATTACTACAAACGTTCCATTTCTCCACTAAGCAAACCCCGACACTACGACCACGATACTCAAATACTTAAATTATATCACAGATACAGCGCCAGCAGGAAAGAAAAGCTTTTATGGAATCCATCTCAGATGAAATACTCCCCGAGATGCCCGGGGCAACTGGTTATTTGTTAGCTTTATTACCTTTCTGGCCTATCATTAAAGCTATAACTAGATGTAGTGGTACAGAGCTCCCCCCTCGCTAATATATTTTTAGTTTAAATACTCATTGAACCAAGCAACGGCCTGCATGAACGCCTGTTCCTTTGCGAATTTGTGGATAGGGTTCTTCATATCACCCCTCGCGGCAAATCCGTGCTCAACACCACCATACAAGTTGATCTGGAAAGTTGCGCCAATCTCGATCAACTTCGCCTCTGATTGATGGCGTAGCTCTGTGGTGAATATGGTGTCGGTTTCTATATTTCGGGTTTGACGGTTAGTACAGTATTTCACACTGAAAGGGCATGGGGCCGTACGAGCTGCGGCAATTGAGAGAGGCTTCTTGATGGCGGCAACCTCTTCAATGGTTACGAATGATGGGTGCGCGTTGTATCCTAATAACATTTAGTAATTGACTGGTTTATGGGGATGGATGATAATACCAGCATCGATGCGGCCATCCAATAATCTGGTGACGTATTTAGCGCCAAAGCAGTATCCAACGGCTCCGATCTTCTTAGGATCTGTATATCATCCCCCTTATTAGTACTCGTAGCTTCATAGCGTTTCCGAACACGACCAATATTGCATCACGTACAAAAAGGTGGATTTGGCGCTTTTTTGTATGGTATGCAATAGCAGTCGTGTCCGGAAACGTCATGAATTTACGAGTAGAAATTCCAACTTATTTTTGTCACTCTGACACATACTGAACTGCTTTTTCATCTCTGCAAGCACTTTATCAACGATTGGCTGAACAAACTCGGGCTGATGACTTGGCTTTTCCAACCATGCTTGCAAACTGAACCCTTCAGGGCGGTTCTCCGGGGTCGTTATCCAAAATGTCAGGCATCACAACTAAGTATCCGTTGGCGGCGAACTGATCGGCAATGCTATTTTGACACTCCATATGCATATAAATTGAGCTGTTCGAAGGCATAATAAAATTTGAGTGGTTTGAGGGATCAGGAGAAGTTTACAGTTGAGGATTGATGTAGATTCCCATCACATCAGTAAGCAAGAGTATTGCTTTATCGGTATTCTTTGATTCAGGATAGGCAAAATAGGTATTCACTATTGTCTCTGTTACTTTCAGTCAGTGTGAATTGATCTTTTTGGCACCAACCTCCAGCGAATTCCTTCTCCCCTATCCACGCTGTTAGTAATTTTTATCGTAACTTTATCATTCCTGAGTACTGACCTCCAGCGGGTGTCCCCTCATGAAGAACTCCTCGAATACAACATTCTCCTGGGCGATTGGAAGCCATTTCTTCAGTTTTTGGTGTTTGGTGCGCCGTGAAGGAGAGATAATAATCAGAGCTGACGAATATCACAAGCAGATTCAAGTTTCACGGTATTTATGCCTTCACGGAACGAACGGAACCTTCGCGATTCTCCGTAACTCCGCTAGCTTCATGCTTAGCTTCTTGATATCCCCTCGCCTGCTCCCGGGAATCCTAGTGTCGTTAGTTCTTAGGCCCATGATAGCGCCGTGATAGACATAATTTTAACGACAAGTAGTTTAACCTTTCCAGTTAGCCACGTTCTGTTTATTGAGCCACAAGTCGCCACACCCTAGAAACAGAGATGACAAATTAGACTTGCTTAATAATTGTGCAGAGCCTCAATGCTTGGCTTACGCCATCACAATTATCACTCACACGATGGCCCCCCGTCTACCGTTGATAAAAACCGAAGCTTTCATGCATGAAATCCGGAAGACCCTTCGGAGGCCCGAAAATCCGCTTCCGTGAAGTCAAAGAATGCCTCATCTATGCATACAAATTACTCATTTTCACTCGAATTTTCAACCTCCCCCCACTATTTCCAATCACAAGGCCTTTCCCCGCTCAAATAAGCCGATTATCCTTGTCTAAGATATCATGTCAGGCAGCATGCTAGCAGTCTCGCCGAAATACAGGTCTGGGTGGACCATAATGATACAAGAAATAGTACTTAAGAGACCCTGCGTCGGTGTCCCCTTCAGGTCCACTGTCTGTTGGAGAAACCAGTTGGAGAGGCCACCTCAACAAAAAGAATAATATTATAACACATCACAACAGTCATGGCCCATATTCGCACGCAAAGATTGCGTGAGGATGGGAGAATGTCGTCCTCATCCTCTATCGATTCACTTGCTACAAACTCTAGCGAATCCGAAGCTGGGCTTCTTGGTAATTTGACATCTAGCATTAGCGATCACCACAACCATCATGAACACACTCCCGAGAACATATCAACAGAAAATTTCAGCAACAGCCAGATATTAGAGAATGCAAAGCTCGGTGTTAAGTCCTCAAGAGTTAATGGCAAAGGCCATGATGAGCATAGAAGAGCCTCGATTCCAGTCCACTTGGAAAAAGTGAAAAATGGAGGGAGGGGAAGCTACCTGCTCAAGATGGATGATGATTTGCGAGAGCTGCTATCCCAATCTCGCTCTGCTGCAGGCGCAGATGGAAAAAAGAGAAGGGCAAAATTCACAGATGTATGGTTACACTACTTTAATTCTATGGTTGTTACGGGCTTAGTAGACGCATCAATACTAACCGAACAAATAGCTAGTCTTCACAAAACGATTTACCACATTCGACCGCCAAAACCCCGAGGCTTCGGGATCTCCCTTTCACGGCTTCTACATCCTATTCTGGTAAAGAATACCCTAACCCTGTAAGATACCTGCATAGTAGTTTCATACTAACTTTATTCAGGATGAGTATTGGTATGTTGATGGTGAAGGATGCTGCAACCTCTTATCGGAACGAGGGGAGGATATTTGGAATCGACATCTTATCGATAATGTTTATGCCGAATAAGTTAATCGATTGTCTTTTGACTGATGCTATTGCATTTTACGGAACTAGCCTGTGGTGTGTACCGTTGCAGAAAGCAATCAACAAAGGATATATAAAATGGGATAGAGCTGGTTGGATAGTGCAGATATTATGGCAAGGTTTCTTTATGTGGGCGATTATCCAATACACCCTCTATAAGGAATGGTCATGGATCCAAACGGTTTGTAATAAAATTCATTTCAGCATTCATCCCCGCTAATATTCGTACCAGGTATATATCGTTTTGCATGCCCATGTTATGCTGATGAAGCAGCACTCATATGCCTTTTACAACGGGCATCTATCCGGAGTTTTCAATCGTCGCAACTTACTACGAGGGAAATTACAGGAACTTCATTCTTTGCATTCTTCTGTGCTCGATAAAAGTCCTGCACAAAGACACCATCATCGATCCGAATCTGGAACCTCGATTGACTCCGGTGTTGGTCTTGGTAACGTTAGTTACGATGGCATCAACCAAGTGCTGAATACTGAAACCGAAGAAATGGACTCTGAACAACTTGAAGATTTTGAAAAAACGCTGGCTGGCGAAATCGAAGGCTGTGATGTGGAATTAACCTCTAGAGTCAGCGGAGGAAAACTAGTGCAGTACCCAAATAATCTCACATGGTGGAACTACTTAGAGTATCTCCATTTTCCCACGTAAGCTCTCCTTAGTAACCTCAGTCTTATATCTCAATAACTATGCTTAATCAATTGCAGTGTTGTATATGAACTTGAATACCCCCGACAAGACTCAATAAATTGGCATTACGTCGCCGAGAAAGTTTTTGCTATATTTGGCGTTCTGGGCATCATGGTTGTGGTTTCTCAACACTACATGTGGCCTGTGGTCATGAAAGCCAACGCCATGAGTTCTTGGCCGATCGAGGAAAGACTGAAAGAAATACCGTGGGTGTTCGCCGATCTACTCTTTCCGTTCCTTGTGGAGTATCTGGTACGTAAAATCTTACCATTTATCAAAATTCAAATACTGACGGATGATTCAGATGACATGGTACTTAATCTGGGAGTTGATTCTGAATATTTTGGGCGAGCTCACCTTATTTTCTGATCGCGGTTTCTATGGTGACTGGTGGAACAGCCCTGGCTGGGACGTGGTAAGTTCCATTCTTACCGCCCCTACGTATCATTTCTAACAGGTATTTCGCTCAAGTTTGCTCGAGACTGGAACAAACCTGTCCACAACTTTCTCCGCCGCCATGTCTACCATACAAGTATATCATCACTCCATGTCTCGAAGAAAGTCGCGGCTTTGATCACCTTTCTCATTTCCGCCATCTTCCACGAATTGGTTATGTGGGCAGTTTTTAAGAAAGTTAGAGGTTATTTGATGTAAGTTTCTCTGCATTATCCCTTCGACTTTTTCCTCCCTAACAATATCTGATGATGATTTTCGTGCACAGGTTCAGCAGCATGTTACAGATACCATTGAGCGCTTTTGCGCACACTAAGCTCATGCGGGATAGAAAAACACTGGGGAACACATTATTCTGGATTGGTTAGTTGCCTCTGTCTCAATGCTCAACACAGTAAAAGCGAAACCGGTGCTAACATCAGACGGCGGTGTTCAGGGTTATATATTGGGCCATCACTCATTTGTACCATGTATCTAATGGTTTAGATGAAGTCATGAGCATAGGAGCATAGAGGATTTATATTTTACGGGATAACGAATCTTTTTCCTAGATATTCCTAGTTTTATATTTTTATCAGCTTTTTGATATCTATACCCCCCCCATCAACACACACACCTCTCTTCTGCTTTTCTCTATTCGATATTCATTTTGCGATGGTGTCCTGGGATTTTGTTTTTGTTTTTGTTTTGAGCTTTGTTTGGTGTTTTTCTACATACCCCTCTCATTTCTCACCTACCGGTGATAGAATCTCAATGATTACACGTTCTTTTTGCTACCCTTCTATGTAGATTATATTCATGGATTGTCACACGTAAATCGTTCACAACCGGGTCAAATGGGCTCCTACCGCACCACCAGACTGTATGTGCTGCCATCCCTGCGAGGTATCAACTCGGAGAAGCTTGGCTATCCGTCATAAAGAGTCACTCGAGTCGCACTAATGATTACATCGCTAGAAACACTTAATTGATTGATAATTCATTAGTGTACTAGCAACACTTGCATGTACGAGTAATTAGAAGACTATCGAGCATTTTAAATGATAACAATATTTCGTATTTTTCGTATCAGCTAATGAGACAAATAATACATAAGGGATCCTCCACAACGCCGGCTTTTCCATCAAACGGACCAAGTAACCCTTCCACAAAAGAAAATATGATACAAATGAGTGTGCGGAAATAATAATAACTTTCTGCCAGCAGGTCAGAGAAGGCTTTTACCGGTAAAGGCTCCTCATCAATTCACTCAAACCCTTTATATATATCCCTAGAATCTAGAATTTGTTGCGCAAGACTACCAGTAGCCTCGGTATTCCCAGATTTTTAGCTGTTCCACAAATCCTGGGTTTGGACTCGCAACCGGTCGTTGTTTCCGAACGTATGACCATGCCTCTTCATATGACACCTGAAAATGCTTCATCACTGTAGTTATAGACTCTTCGTCAGCATTTGCTTCCTTATCTCTATTTTCTCGTCTAGGTCAACTAACCAAAAGCGATGACGACAGAAGCACTTCTACTTCTTCCCTCCTGGCAGTGCACTAGAACGGTTCCGCCCATATCCATGGCATCTTCAAGGAACTCCATCGCGGCGTTCAGGCCATCAAGTAGCCATTGATCTTCGGAGTCATCGATATAGATCTGGCAATGAGTTACACCCACCAACGAACGGATGTGTGTAGGTGTGAGTCTTAGAGATAGCACGTGGCTGACATTGTTATTCACGATGGACACGGGGTCGAGAATGGCCTTGCAACTAGATGTGGAGTTAGTCCTGAACCATCTGAACATGTCATTCTTTCTTTCTTTTTTCAAGAGAGAGATACTTACTCGCCGAGAAAGAGGTTGGGGAGAATCTGGTTCATGGACCGGTAGCGGACGCATGGAAGTGTATGGTCTTTGGCAATGAGTTTGCGGTGGAATTGCTGGGTTTCGCGAGACATGATGGTAATATGGACTAGGTGGCTGCAAACGTTACAAATTTGCCCAAAAATCACGTTTTTTTTAGGCAGGGGAAGCGTGACATGAAACTGATTTTGTAAGAAAGAGGAGAAGGTAACCAACCGTATATAAGTATAAGTAGGGGAAAGATTAAGTGTTTGATATTTTTGTGACAGAGAAGAAATAAAATCGACCCGCGATTCTTGAAAGAAATAAAGACGTACTAAAGATTAGCTTTTTAGAAGTCGAAGAAATAGCCAACTGATAGAGAGTGATGATTGTGTATTGATTTTCTGTGGGAGACTGCCATTCTATATTCTTGAGCAATGGCACACCCTCGGCCGATTTTCTTCCTGTTTTTGGAGGTTCATTCAGCTCATAGGCAATCGCCAAAAACCAATGATCACTGGCTCCGCGCGATTTTCGCACTAGTAATTCCGTGTCTCGTATTAGCTGACGGAAGTGTTTTTGCAGCCTACCGCCAAAGCACAGAGCGGCGTGCTTTTTTACACCGATAGACTGAGCCCGTGGAACATTCTTGCCAATTAGAACAATCACGATAATCCATAGCCGACTTAATAGTGCTCCAGGGCGTATTGGTTCCGATACCAAGGGCAGACGTGTTCTGCTGCGACACGACCAGGACTGAAAACTTAACCGATGGGTGGGTGGGGTGGCCCACGTAGTTGAAGAGGCTGTTAACCCAATTTGTATTTTATGGGGAAATAACTATTACTTCGTCGCCTGATAGAAATTATATTCGGGGCGAATCATGTTCAGTAGACCAAACGAAAAGAAAACCAAAGTCAGGCCTTTAGAGAGCACGACCACGTCGGTGGTGTACGGACAGCGTGTGACGTGGGGAATGTGATAGTGTTTGCAGCGTATGAAAACTAGCACTCCCTTTTCTTGCGATGATCTCAACCCCGAATCAGTTCTGTAAGGTACACATGCGCAACCCTGTCTGGCCCATCTAGCGGTTAGGTCAATGAAGCTTAAGCTAGAAGTGCTGATAATACCCAGAATCGAGTGACCAACTGTGATTCGAAGACAACATCATTCGATCTTGATAGGTGACAACAGCTATTTGTTGGGCATATTCAAAACTCGAGTACCACTGAGAATGCTCATTAAACCCGGATGGTTCGAACCCTAATCGCAATTCTCCGTATCCATTAGTGACATCTCTAAATGCGTGGAGTTTTGAAAAAGCCTAATGCCCTGCAGAGTATCTAGAGTACTCTAGGGTATCCATTGCATTGCCACTCCCACGACCCTTGGATAGAATATGTGAAAGCTCCTAGAGTAGGAAGGTTTAGGCAAAAAAGAAGTTGAAGCAGGTCCCAGTACTCGCTCCACGATTTTGCTGGTTGGCGAAACGGAATTTATCTAGTTTATTTTTTGCCTGCTGTTGTTTTTTGTCGCCTGATATCTCCGACATCCGGGGTACCGCTACAACTACTAAAAGCTGTAAAATGAGGTGGATATATCGTCAGAAGACTTGGAATCAAGCACGCAATTCCTAATTCACAACGGCGTGGTGAATTTTCGCCAGTCCCCAAAGTGCGTTATCTTCTTCAAAATTTCGAATCAGCATCTGGAAGACAAACACGTTGGACCGCTACCACTCGATAAGAAGAACCTGGTTTACCTGCCAGAACATATCCCAATGATAAATCCTCTAGCATGAGAAATGTTCTAATTCTTTATTTACGTTCCCTCATCGGTCGACGTACTTAAGACAAGTTACCCTAGTAGGTGCTTCGGCCTTGGTTGGCTCGGAAGGTATATATAGTATTGTTCTTTTGTTGATTTCCGGATCCCCGACCCGTCTTCTTCTTCATGGTTCGAAAAGCGTGCACTCTGTCATCCATAGATTGCTGAGTTGACATCGGTTTGTGATTTTATGTGTCATCAGACATCTCGGATTCATGGCATTGGAGAATTCGTGCTAAAAGGTATTTGTATTTGAAGCAATCTCACAAATTCACATTATTCCAAAATTCACTCTTCCCCGCACCCAACCGAAAGAACCAAGTGATGTCAACGAGCAATCGAACTACCGTGATAGAATGTAATCAGAGATTATCTTTTAGACCCTTTTGAATTAGGTTACATATCGCGCTAGATATATGTACCTACTCTGGGTGGGTTGTTCCCTCGGCTTCGGCATCACCTGACGGGGGTCGCGTGCGGCGGCGGGTGCCATGCACGAGCCACACACCGCGCTTGTAACGCTTACTAACCGAGCTGATTCGACGCACACTCCATCCACGCTCCATCAACCTTTGCATGTACCATCGCCCTCATTTCATTGCCATCGACTGTAGATTGAGATACGATCTCGCGATATAGGCCATTGCGCGGTACTATTAGGTGAGAGTATTTGCACTTTGCGTAGAGTAACAATATCGGGGTCGTTTAGGCCGGCGATCGAAGCAATATCGCACCAATATCCAGGAAGCCCTTTCCTTCTGAATGCATGATTCCTGCATTGCGGCACGAACCAAGAGACAGAAAGATCAACGGGCAGCTACTAGCCTCGGTCGTATCCACTCTCGTGCTTCTGCACCATAACGTGGCCACAATCTCCGCAGTTATTCCCCCTCTAAGCCTTGAGCTTTAGTATTCCTCCCCTCACTTCCGCTTCATTGTAGACAGAGAGACATATTCAGTCATTTTCCTCCGGCATACAGGCCCATTTGTTTTAACAAGATGTTTACCAACTGGGCGTCTATTGTTACTCAACCTCAGTCCGGAGCGGCTGGAACTATCATCAAGCCCCCAGCGCCTTTCCAAGGTCCTAAAGTCTTCCCACGTTACACCTCAACGCCTGATGCGTCTGTAACATCATTCACTCCACCGGCCGAGTATAAATCTTTTTATTCATATATCCAAAGGATTAAGAAAGCCACCGACGTTACAACTAGCCACCTCAACGCACTCGGTGTTTCAGTCGAGTATGATTTCCCCGTTGAGAAGATGTTGCCCGAAGGTGATTGGTTTCCAGCAGAGGACGATAAAACGTTTTCAGAGAGAAAGAAAGAGCTCCTGATAGCCAACAATGATGCTTTTGATGTTTTGTCAAGGAGGAATAAGACGATTAGATTGGGGCACATGTATCGATTCTTTCAGGCAATGGAATTGCTAAAGCCGTATTATCCAACGGCACCTGTTCCGTCTGATGTTGCTTCGAGTCAAAGCGATAGCGAAGAAAAGTCCGAGCAAGGGAGTGGGAAACGGAAAGCAGAAGAAGAGGTCGAAGGTGGTGTAGAGAAAAAGGGGAGAGCCAGCGAAGAATCAGCAGAATCTGATGCAAGTGTTAGCGAAGAGGACAAAAAAGATGGCAAGAAGGAGAAGCCAGAGAAGTTTTCAATGCCAGAGAAGTTCAGAGAAGAGCTGGTGAAAAATTTCATTGAGCCCATATGTTGGGGATATGGAGTGCGGGTTTAGTATTAACCCCAGTTCCCACTTTCGAAAAGAAGAAAAGAAAAAAAAGGGCTCTGCTAATGCAGCCCGCTCATAAAAAGTGCTCCGAGAGCCCCTCCGATAGTTTGCCTCCAAAAATCCAAGTTCTTGGTGCATTTGACGAATTACATCTACCTTACCCCTAAACTTCCCGCTGAAGCTCGTGCTGGGCTTGTTGAAGGGCCTGTAATGGGAATGCAGGTTCGTCATGAGACAAGATTTCGATCTGCAGCTTATGAGGCAGCCAGAAAGAAGATGAAGACGACTGCTACTGTTTCTCGAAGAATAGATATTCTTGAAGTCGGGCAGCTAGGAGTTGATAAAATGGATATTGATGACGAAAAGGATAAGGATAAGGATGATGATGACGATGAAGATGACACTATGTTGGCAGATGATGTTATAGGAATTGCCCGAGAAGTTGCCGCTACACTCAGCATAGCCCAAGATAGAAGGAAGGGCCCTCGTCCAGGCAAAGAAGGCAAGACAGAAAAGAAAGTTCGATACAGAGCCATAGGCAAAGAAGAAAAATATCGAGATGATGTATGGTTTAGTGTCATTCCCCGTTTTCATGTGCTCAATGTGTCTAACATGCCGCCCTTGTCAATAGATCTTCATTATGACTTCTCTCCACCATCACGTCTCAATCTCTCACGTCTCTGTCTCGCAGCCCTATCTGAGATACCTTGAGACAGGAAAGATGCCAGATTTCAAACACGAGTTTTTTCAAACAAAGGAAGGGAAAGACTGGGACAGACTTAAGATTCAGAAAACTCGATTCTGGGACCTCTTGGATCCACAGGAGCGAGTAGAGGCCTGCTATGCTTTTTGCGGTGTTCAAAACTGGCTGAGTAGAGAGGAGACGAAAAGATAAGAGAAAAATACATGGATGATTTTGCCTACCGAGTATTTCCCACGGCGCTATGTTTATTCTGGCATTTTTTATTATTATCTTTCATCATGAGATCTTGCCAGATATTATTTTACGAAGCTTGCAACGGAAATCATACATATATGTAGGCTTATTTAGACGCATGGCGAACGAAGAACAATTTAAAGATATTTTATATCATATGTCGAGGGTTCCGGAGTTCTCGTATAGCAGCTGGATATTCCTAATTCTGATGGGGCATAGAAAATTCTCCTTGTTTTTGACCCCAATTCGAATTATATCACGGACAAATTAGTAGATTTTATCATCTTCCGAGTGAGTTATTGTGTTCGAGGTAGTGTCTGGCTTGGTAAGCTTCGAGCTCGTTAATTAATATCCCCCATATGCACTCTTATCGCAGCTCCTCCTCAAACTACCAAACCAGAACCAATGAGATTACTCGTGTGCCAGTGAAGCCATAGATCAATCGTCGATGCACACCTAGATTCAACTCCAGTCTTTCCAAACGAATAATGAGACCCTTAACTCGATGAGCGACCTAGGCTAGAGATTTCAATTTCATAGTACATGTAGTTATGTTACCTGCTCTATCTCCTCACCAACATCAGGAATTCAATATAATCCATCGGTAGCTATTCATCAATTCGCTGAGGCTGATCTCGAACCATTGAATATTCGCTCCTTGTCTAGGTTAGAAATCGAAAAGCGATCACCTACCTTCTCTCTTTCCCTACCACAAACCACACTAATATATATAGAATACGAGCAGGTGAGTTTGATATCCTGTAACTACTATCGATTCATCTGTGCCATAATCTGAGCGTATGACTCGGAATACATATTTTCCACAAGAGAGGTATTTTATTTTTTTACTTTTTACCCATCTCAAGAATTCTCCACGCAAGGAAGGACGTACAAAGGGATTCATCTCTTCGGATCAATTAATGCCATCGATGCAACAATAGCCTATTTGAAACGTTGTCCAAATTGATGTTGGAAGAATCAATCACACGACATTTTGTTAAGGTTTGATGTGCCGTATGACATGATAGGCCACATATGAGTAGAACCTTTATTAGAACGCAGAGAGAAAATCACAGAATGGTATAAATAGGAAATGCCAGAGTAGAATTTGATTTTAAATGTGTTTGGTCGATTCGATTTCTCCGTGTAAGCGCCCTCTCTCTCGCTCTCTCACCAAACAGGCGGGGATGTCGGTTTGAGGCCCGATAAATAAATGCACTCGAGATCACTCGACGCCGTAAATATGACAGTTATGCAGGATCCGTAAGCATGGCGGGTGTCAATAGAATTGCTTTAGGAAGCTGAAAGTATGGGGACGATCTCCACACACTCACATGAATGATGAACCTACTGAGATTCATGTTTTTTTTTCGGGTGTTATAATGAACCCGTAAACATGAGGTATTGTCGAGTAAGCTGGGCTTCTAAATTAAGAGTATCTGCTGGGGTAAGCAGAGTATAGAATGTACCTGGCCGTGAGCAGTAGACACATTAATAAACACCCGTAATCGCTCATTAGGTCACTACTACAAATACTGATGGTTCCAGTACTACGGAGACAGTTCTGGGGCGATTCCCCCGGGGTTTGCCACGACTCAAGCGATACGTACCCGCAGCCGGCGCCGTTCCTAGGGTTCGGGGGGTGTAGATAAACAATCAACGTATCAATTAGTCCCAAAAAAAGAATCAGGTACTTTACCTTCCCTGTAGCCTGTAGGTGTTAATCAGTAGGACCCTTCACTCGCGAAAGACACTATGTGCCCCAGGGAAAAATCTGAACGCAATTTCGGCTATTTGCTTTCTGCTTGGGCAATTCTTCCCTATAATTTCCCAAGCTTGATCATGATCTAGATGGCGACTCCAACCGATACGTGAGATCCATATGAGTGAGCACAAAACAGGGCACGAAACTCAGATGACCTTACTTTAAACCATGGAGTCTTAAGGCAGGTACGAAACGAGGATCCGGAAAAACTTTGTGTAGGCAAACGGGGATTTTCTTTCGCTTGGGCGTAAGATGCATGTCTCACGGGCGACCGCGTTGAGTAAGAAAATAAGGCTGAAGCTCCCGTGGCCGAAGCTTTCTAGGCAGGAAGAGAATGCAAAAAAAAAAAACTAGAAGAACGACTGAAATCCTAATTCCACTCAGCACTTAGCAGGCGCGCGCAAGACAGGTTAGCTCAAAGGAATCTTGGAGGAAATATTTACAGTAACACAAAAGCCTGCATATCCGGTTTCTTTTCTGCAAGGGGTTGATAATAGCGTAGATCATACTGCGTTGGTTCCGGGGAAAGCGGGCTTTGTCGTGCCCTGCGGCTCGAACAACTTTGCGGGGGACCAGCCGGCCCAGCTTAGGTACCGCCGGTAGCTGCCATGTTTTGAGGCGTTTTCCTTCTGTGTAGGCTGAACTGTCAGCCCGACGCCCGTTTTTATGTGGATATCATCATTACTTATCCATTGGAGCTCGTTAACAGCCGAGATCGGTATCACCGTTTTAGGATTTGATTGTTTGGATGGTGATGTCTCTTGTGTAGCTGTGTATATGTTGGAATCCTAGCTTAGTGGCGTGTGCCAATCATTGGCCCATCCTGGTGTTTTTCCTTGCAATATTTCTTTTTGTACCTGCGCCAGGCGACAGATGATGATATCTCTCTCCTTGCAGGATGAGCAGCATCTGTGCCTGTTCATCCAACCAACACACATGGAACCAAACCAACCCGCTTTGTAGTGTAGTGATGCACACTTATCAATTACTACCCTTGCCCAGAACTCTCAATCTTTGTCCTTTGCCGTAATCTCACTTCGAGGGCCCCAAAGTAGCAACCTTTAGAGCACCAAGAAGGAAGCCGTCAAAGTCCTTCATCCTTGTTATTGTACTCTAGAGAAGCATCCCCCCTGTCAACGCAGCGCCCATGCCCATACCATGCCCCCGGTTGCTCGCAGGATAATTGACCGCCCCTTTACGTTTGTATAAAGCCCCAATAACCCTCCCTCTATCAAGAATCTTCTTTACCTTCTTTCACCACCCACAGTCGCTTCTATACTCACGCTTTTGCACACGATATAATCTTCGCTTTCAGCGTATTCATTCGTTTTAATACCCGAAACCCTTAACCAATAATATCCTCACCTACAAAACCCCATTTCAGCCAAAATGCGTTTCTCAACCGCCTTCGCTATTGCCCTCTCCGCAGTTGCCGTTTCTGCAAATGTCACCAACGGTACTACTACTACTGCCGAGCATACCGTCACTCAGGTTGTAACTCAGTACACCACTTACTGCCCTCTCCCTACTGAGGTTGTCGAGGGAAACAAGACATACACCGTCACTGAGGTATTTGCAGAGCTTCGATATAGCTTTGACTGAACATTGAAACTGACAGATTCAATTTAGCCCACAACTTTGACCATCAGCAACTGCCCTTGCACCCGTACCATGACCTACACCACCGTCACTTCATCAGTCTGCCCCGGTGGATGGTAAGTCCAATTCCTCGTTGCTCCTATTGGCTTAGAGTTAGAACTAACGGTTTGACTATTAGCTCTCCCTCTGGTACCGGTGCTCTCCCAACCGTTTCCGCCCCCCCAGTCTACACCAACGGAACCGTTAAGGCCACCTCCAAGCCTACCACATCTGCCCACAGCAACGTTACCACCTCCGTTCCTGTCGCCACTGCCAGTGCTACCCCCAGCAGCCCTGTCTTCGAGGGATCTGCCAACAGGGCCACCGTTGCTGCCGGTGCTCTTGCCGGTTTGATCGGTGTTGCCGCCTACCTCTTGTAAATGTCTTTAAACATTTAGTAGCATTATCGACTGCTACTATCTCGATAGTTGGCTGTAGATAAAACGTTACTGTTTATTAATTTACATTTGCATGAATATTAGCAACTTTTTAATGGGCACTTCTTATGGTTTTCTTTTACTTTTTTTCCTTTTGGCCCCATTCAAATGAACCCATGTGTAAAAAGATTTGTGTCTGGGTTCGGCGACGGAAAGCTGTTATTGAATGGCAGGGGGACGTGAACAATCCAAACTTAATCGAAATACCTCGGTCGATCGATTTAACGACAATTTTGTGCCTGGCCTCAAACTCGCACGGGAGCTATTGTTTTTCTGACCATTTTAGCTGGAAAATTTCATCCTTTTCTATCTCTTTATATTACTACTTACTAGCTAGGCTTTTTGGGTAATAGAGGCTCCGGTCTTGTCTTTCTTGTCCTGTCATGAAGGGAGTATGATTATTATTATTTTATTTTTTTTGTATATTTTTTTCTTTTGTATAGTTTGAAATAATACCAAAGAGGAGGGGGTGCTTCTTGGAGAGCATCCTTTTTTTTTTTTTGCCAGTCAAAAAAAAACTTGTTCATTTTTCGAAAATTCAGTGATTTGCATGTGCAATAAAGAGGGGTGAGAGCGGGAGGCTTGCAAATTACGCACAAACAACAAAGCTCAAGCCCCCATCCATCCCGAGAGATGAGGAAAGCCGAAGATGTCTCTCCTGCGGATCCCCCTGAAATCTTGATAGCAATCTGGCTAGCATGTCGGGTACAAGGTTTCAGCTGCCAACGAGGACTAGCGTGTGCACGTGTGTCTTGATTTGCGCACATTCGAAGCCCGCGAACTTACATGTACCTTGAGAACCTAAAACAAGAAGAAAATATCTCGACGTCCTGACATGTTATTGGTAAATTTGGTGCCAGTGGACCGTCGCAGATCATGGGAGTAGTTTGTCGTGATCTGCACAATGATATACATTCTTTCCGGGCATCGGGGAGCATATTTCCGGCAAAGGCAGTAGATAAATATTATATATCACGCCACGGGTACCGTATTGGCAGCACGATTGCTACGAACCCAGTTTTCAGTATTTCCTAGTTGCCCGAGAGTGTATTTCAATTCCTCGAAAACTAAAAGTGTTAGTTGGATGGATATTGACATATGTAGTAGGAGGCTACCTTACCTAGAAACATTTGAATTGTGTGTATAGTATGCAAATAGATGTACATTTCTATAGTGAATACCGGAGCAATCCGTGAGGTAGATATGCTGAAGACCGTCCTATTACAATGACGAATAACTTCCGTAATATTCTCGACACTCGAGGTGTGTATTTTCGGGAGGGTTCCTGGAAAGAGAATCTTGACATTTGATCTATATGGATGGTAGATTATCCCAAAGATTCATCCCTCTTCACATCGGTAGACTGTACGTGGTACTCTTGTAGAAATCTTTTCAGGCAGAAAAAAAAAAATCAAGGGTGGGGTTAAAGATGTATGTTGATTGATGACGTTATTAGAAAAGGTAGGTAGTCCAAGTGTCCGTGTTGTGATGAGGATTACTGACAGAACTAAAAATTTCAAACTTTCCTTTATACGCACACGTCACTAGCACTCGAGCACTCGTGTTCAATTGATCCAGAACACTGCACTTTCTCACGGTATCATTCATCTCTCTACCTTTACAGGCACAAAAAAGCCTCCAGACCATTCAGATTTCGCTTATCTCGAGATTCACGATATATGTGCCTCCAGATCTGTGCTTAAAAGTGGGCCCCACCTAACCTAAAATAACTCGAGTTGTACACCCACACTTGGAAGAATGACCCCGGCGGCTGTATTTTGTCGGTTTTAGAGCATCTTTGCATTGAATCCCTGATCAGGTATCTGTTCCACCGCACTTTTTCTTTATATTCTCTGGTCTCCGTTGTGCCGTATTCCTGCCTTGAACTCGCTTACTCGACTAAATAAACTACCGAGGGGGTTAGACCTTTGTGTGCCCATGGGGTAAATATTACAGATGATGAAAAGCAAGCTTTAATAAGAGCTTGGTAAGATAATCAAATACATCCAGCACTATGCATGTTGACAATACCGCAAACTTGAATCAACGAATAGGGGATATTGCACCTGATCACATCTATTTTATCAGGGGAAATATCTATAAGCTATAACTGACATCATATCTTCTTTCGCATTAGGACTCGCGGTTGAATAATGGGTTGGTCTAGCAGTCGGCATGCTAAAACATAATTCCCGTATTTGTCGAAGGTATGGCAGCTCCACATAGTCCGAGAATAGAAGACTCCAACTCGAAATCCTAATTATCTGATTGGCCGATTGGGGATATGCACCAATCAAGTTACCGGAAAACTGAGCAGGAGTCTTTTCACAAAGGCTCAAATATTGCACTGATTAATACTTCAAATGAATAATCGATAACTATTTCCACGGGATTTTGGCGGCTCAAAAACAAGCTTTTGCACCATATTCCTCATGCAGCCAAGCGCCTAACAACCAAAAAGAAATTCTCACCATCAGAGTCGAAACCCCACCAAAATTTCCTACAATTGCGACTCACTCAAACCATTGGTACTAACAATGTTCACCACCACTCTCCGACGCAGCCCGACATGGACCCGTCAAGCAACTCCCTCTTTGCGCCGCCTAATTTCTTCTAACCACCAGACTTTCGAAGGTACACATCTCAAACTAGCCCTCTCTCGACATATATCCCACGATACATGTTCTATGCTAACAGACCATCGATCTAGAGGGCGACATCGTCCATTTACGGCGCATAGCCGGTAAGACTAGTTCTACAATCCTCTCGCAGCCTCTTAGACCCGGCAGGAAAATCGAGACCCCCAGTGGGCGCATTGCGCACAACGACATTATCGGTGCCAACACACGCGACATTGTCTCTAGCTGTAAAGGCACCGGATACTGCGTCACATTCCCCACAATTGATGAATATGTGACCAACGTCCGCCGCCTCGTCACCCCCGTACGCACCCCTTCCTCTACTCCCTGCGCAAAGCGCTGACATGCAAGCCATGAAGTAGGTCTACCCCCACGACGCCGCAACAATCGTAAACCTCCTCGACATTCACGTCGACAGCGCACCGAATCCGCCTATTGAGATCTTTGAAGCGGGCACAGGACATGGTTCATTGACACTGCAGCTCTGCCGCGCCGTACATGCTGCAAACCCACCAAGCAGACCGCGCGGTGCCATAATCCACACCATCGATATCTCTGCGCGTCACTCCGAGCACGCTGAGAAGGTTGTTTCGGGCTTCCGCAGAGGCTTATATAGAAAGAACGTCGACTTTTATGTCGGTAACCCTACGCAGTGGATCAAGAATCAGTTCACAAAGCGGGCCGAGGAGGGGAAGCCACCGGGGCCATTCTTATCGCATGCCATTCTGGATCTGCCGGGAACAGATGAGTATCTACAGGCAATGTCTGATGGACTCCTTCCGGATGGTGTTCTGGGTGTGTTTTGTCCTAGTGTGACCCAGATTGCGGATTGCTTGAAGGTAATCAAGAAGACGGGCATCCCGCTATCAAAAGAGGCAGTGATTGAGTTCTCGCCGCATGGTACGGGCGTTGGCGCAGGGTTGAGGGCATGGAATGTGAAGTGGACAACTGTAAGAGCGAAAGAGCGTGGAAAGGTCGATGTAGAGGGTGAGGAGGTCAAGGTTGGAGCGGAGGCAGGGGACATGCCTGCGGAGAGCGAGTCTGTAGTTGACGTAGACACGGAAGCAGAGTTGCAGCCGAAGGAGATCCCGCCCATTGCTGAGGGCGCGACAGAGGATGTCCTAGTGTGTAGACCATCTGTGGGGGATCGGCTGGTAGGCGGTGGGTTCTTTGCGGTCTTTAGAAAGAGAGGCCAAAGTTAGAGAAGTGTTTGTCGCAACATGTAAATAATGTTATTAGGAGTATCATATCGTAGATTGTCGATTAGTTTTAAAGCACATCCTAACTCTTCTCCTCCTCTTCCCCTCCTTCCTCTTTCTCTATTTATATTTATACTGGTTTGTAAGCTCAGAGTATACCTGCTAACGGTTGGTTCGTTTCTCACTGTACATATCTTCATAAACGTGCACAGAGGTCAAAGCTGAATATTTTCTTCACAGGTTCAAAAGCAGAGCCAGTCAAGCTCTAATCGCCGCCTAAGAGGAGAACTTCAAACCTAAAATCTCAAAGAAAATGCGGTCTATTCATCTATTTGGGTCTTGCCGGCAAAGACCATAGATATACACTCCACCCTCTCCCAAAACTGGCTACAATCATGAATAATCACTCGGACATAATTCTTTACTGGTGGACAGGGCTGGACCTTTTCGTGGTTCATCCCTTCTCCCCAGAGGTGAAGTGAGCTATAGGTACTGAAACTAAGGCACGATGACTGTAAATCGAAATACACTAAAATTTCTGCATATATACCATACCGCTTCTCGACGTGAGTGTGCGACTTTGGGACTGAAAGGAAGATATGGGTAGACCACGAAGCGGCGAAGAGGTCTGGGGGGCCGTTATTTAAGATTTAAAATAAGTACAGTAAAGGAATCAACAGTTTCTACCAACATGAAAGATCCGTCGTGTGTCGTCACGTCAGTGCAAGTTCTGAAATACCTATTACAAGAAACCTAACCCTGATTAATTTACTTCCTCATAACTCCGAACCTACGTGATCTCTAGTTAAACTATTGGTGCGTGTTTTGAGTACATAGGAACAGTACCTTTCACCGTCTAGGGATCATATGAGGTAAGGATTGCGACTGATCATGAAGTTATCAATCTTCACAACTTCTCACTCGGAATAAAGCACTGCATGCCGCTGAGCCAAGGCTCAGGAGCCTTAGATATATGCATCGATGTTTGTACATGTGATCAAAAACTACATGTACGTGTAAGTACCAGGTTTAATAATTATCTGTATCTACTATACTATAAAAGAATATGGCTTGAAAGAGTTTTACATCCGGCCCTGACATGGGGGAGACAGACAGATTGGCCAAATAATGAGCGAGAAGCTAAGATAGTGTTCAATCTGCAATTTTAGGCCGGCCAGAGAGAGCTACAATCGATATCACACATACCCTCATGTTCAGGCCCCTCCAAAAAAAAAAACGGGAAATAAATACACAAAAAGTGATTCCTGCGGTCATATACCCCTCCACGGCGATCTGGGCCCAACTAGCGGTTCCGTCTCCCGTGGACGAGGTATATAACCACAGCACCACTCCCACCCCCGGAGTTGAACCCATAACCTCTCGGTCGTGGTGGTTCGCTCAACCCACGCGGTGTAGCAAGGACAAAGGCGTCTACTACTAGACTACCCCGCTCACACAACTGTCAAAGGCCGGGAAGTAATACTTAAGGGAGCGAGGGCAGAGCAGGCTAGGGGGACACCTAACCCGGGAACCACGAACCCACTGATGAGAGACGTTTCACTAAACCCTAACCACCTATACCCGGCCCTGAGCATTTAATTGAACAGAGTCTAACGACGAGCTACGTAAAGAAGTTCGAGGGAGGCAAACCACATGCAATGAACGACACGCTAAGACACCTCATACGTAAATACAGCTAGACAAATTGAGTTCAAAGAATTAAGTTCTTGAGAACACCATTGCAGATGCTGACTCCCGGTGACCACGTCATCACATATAGTCTTTACCTCTTAAACCTCAACTTACCATCTGAGCCACTACATGTACCTTTCAAGACAAAGAATGCTTTTTATCTTCATCATTGCAGTCTCCAGTTTTCGATTTATAGGCCTACTACTTGCCTCAGTCATATACTGTGCTTAAGGACTATATTCGTCTTTTTGCTAAACTCAACGGCACTTAAACTTTCGAGGATTGATCGACAAGAGTGTGTTTCACTATTTTACTCTATTTCCTGTTGGCCAAAGAAGAATGCCATATCGCTTGATCAATTGATCGGGTGCTATAACGATAATACACCTTATAAATGCACCACCATTATCGTCGTAGCGATAGGTACTTGTATTAACTATATACAAAACACAACCAGAATGAAAACTAATGGCACTACATACAGACTTCTAAGGCAGGATGGTGTATAAATTCGGCAGTCCTACCTTTTGGCACGTGCACCGCTACACTAGGTATCCTCTGTCTAACAATTTCTCAATTTCACCTGTGTGCAAGCTGAAGTCACACGCAGTCGCGCCTCGATCGTTATGTGCGTGCACGATATGGCCGAAGCTCGTTCCTGTTGCACCGCGCAATTGAGGACCACTCATGGCCACTATCTCTCTAATGTTCCTCAGTCGAGTACTATCTACTCTACTGTCTATCTATATCTAAATCGCCCTCATAAAGCATATGTATGCAATATACAATATATATCGATATATTATTACCTTAAAACCTCGCTAGTATACATAGTAAAACCTCAACCGCCAATTTTACACTAGCTAGCCCTTCGAGCTTCCTAGCTAAAGGCATTGCTGCTGTCAGTGCGAACACCAGAAAACCCCGTCTAGCCCGAACAGCAAATATATATGCAATTACCATTATCCATAAGACCCGAAATAGCGAAAAGCAACTAAATAATTGTTGGGGCGACAGGGGAAGGAGAGTTCCGAGGACCAGCCACTATCTGGGGAATTCGTAATGGGTATGGTTAATCATAAATGTGGAAGAGAGTTCTCGAAGTGGCTTTTAATATTTGATCACATCAAACCCTTGAAATTTTCTGGCAGCTGCAGATCAATCTTCATTTTACAATTGTCAACTAACGCGGAGTAGCACTACATATCTTCAATTTACCCACTACCCCCCACGCATCGATCACACTGACAGTAGTGGGCACCCACGCAAAATGAAAATTGGAAGAGAGGGGAAAAAAACGCAAATTCGGACACATCCCCGTCCATCCCCGTTTATCCATCCATCCATAAACATCAAAACTTAGAAGCGAGCTTAAACCTTTACCCGGCCTTCTAGAAGGGTTCGGAGGTCAGAGCCCTCTCCCTTTTTTTCCCACCCCCAACCCTACGTTATGTTCACACTAAACCGTAACCGATCCCGAGGCTAACTGAAGTTAGTTTCTCCGCCCGGGCCGGTTTGCCGAGCCGTTGGAGCGAGAGCGGGAGATTGAAGGAGTGACAACGGTGAGTGAAGTTCAAATGATGAAGATACATATTTGAGAGGGTCTTCTTGGCTGACTTCACGAACGAAAACCTTGACATTGCATACATATCTGCAGCTAAAGCTCTATGTAGAAAATACCCTAATACCTACATGCGTTGACGTCTCGGTTATCACGTTCCATTACCGCGATTTATCCTTCTCTATTCCAGGGAATATCCTATATACCGGCACATCATTCTTAGGCTTCAGCCAAACAGGTCACCCCCTCAACCCTCGTGAAAAGTGCCCTGCGTGGTGCTTAGAACGACCTTGAACTTCACATGTTTTATGTGACGACCTAGGCAGGTATACTTGTTTTTGTTTCCAGAGTACATGCAGCAGAGGAATGAAGCAGGCGAGTTAAAGTGCAGATCGATCTTTGAAGAAGCACGGGAACGGTGTTCGATCCGGTAATTGAGTAACGTGAGTGATGATTGTGGCGGAGCTGGTCATGGTGAATTCATTCTGTGGCTTAGAACCACAGTCAAGAGAGAAGACATGTGGCTTTCTGGTGGCTTGCAGTCAACAACCAAACCACCACAATAGAAAAAGGGGGGATAACGAAACACCCCAAAATAACCTCTCTCTGATCCTCTTTCGTTTGAGGAAAAAAAAAAAGTTTGGACGAGAGTGACGTTCCCCGCATTGCATGTGATAAGGTTACATTAGTGTATATACCACTCCGGGTCGAGTGGTACGGATGTGTAACCGTGGTGGGAGGAGGGAATCGAGAACTTGAATTTAGATTCAGATTTGGGCGAGAAGTGATATAGCTGCAGCAGCTAAGTAGGTATCTGTCTATATCTGCTGTTGAATATCTTTTGACAACAGCACAGTACGTACCTCCTATATTGACAACAACCTTCATCGAGTCTACATGTCGCGACAAGAGATATGAAGCAGAGGCAGACAGTGTGTGGGAGCCTGGATCGCACATGGCTGGGCGTCTGGTGTTTTGGTTCCGTTTTAACTTGGCTTCTTTCGTTTCGTCCTCGTGCTTCGGCAATGGTCCGTGCTCGTTGCTTGGTTAGGTGTGGTTGACCCCTGGACTGCCTACATCTCTAGGGGCATGCACATCACGAGTGCCATACCGTACATACAGATGGCCACAAATAGTAGAAAAGAAGAGGAGTGGGTTATGCATAATCTGTTTTCTCTCTTCCGAGAGGAGGTGAGAATGCATTTGTAGATACGGGTAGTATAGGAATGAGAAGAGATGGGAAAAAGAAGAAAGAGTATGATGCTCTTTCTATTCACTACAATAGGTATATGTAGTACTCTTTGACATGCATTTAGGTATATCAAAGAACCATACCAGAAGCTTGAGACTACACCACAGACATGCATGCATCGTAGACATACCTCCCAAGGCAAAGATCTGATCTGATACACAGCATGGTTGGAAACATCTTCTCTTCAAAGGAAGAAGGAGAAGAGGAAGAAGAAGAACAATGACCCACAGCTGGCTGCATTACCAGTGCGTGTTCTCGGATATTTGCTCCATCTCCCTCTCCCACCAATCCACCAATCCACCTTTACGGGCATTTCCGCTCACGGGAAGAGGGAGCAAGTCCTGGCCATTCGCATTTAGGGGGGGGGGGGGGGGGAGCGCCCCAAGAGCGCCTCTCTAAACACGCTCTAGTGAACCTGTAAATCACCCGACATGGTCCCGCGCTCCTGCGTACCTATTCCAGAAGAGAGGAGCACCTATCACATATGGCCCTCTTCCTGTAACGGTTCCTACATGAGCATAGTAATGTACATCCCGCCGGTACTCTACCACCAACTAGAGTGGAGTATTTGCCTTACTCTAACCAATACCCTGGCATGGCCGGCCTACTCTACATACATACATACATGCTGTACAGACAGGGGAGGGGAAGAGAAGAGAAAAAAGGACATGCATGCAGGCCCGCTTGAATCGAATATAACATAACTGAACATCGAAACCTCACTCTCTCTCTCTCTCTCTCCGAGTTCTCCCTCTGCTTCTTTCTTTTCCTCCCCCCTTCGCTCTCTCCCCACGTTTCCTTTCTTTTCTTTGCCTGCTTGCCTGCTTGCCTGCTTGCCTGCTTGCCTGCTTCCTTCCTTGCTTGAGGTTTGACACGACATAGCAAGAAGAAAAAAAACAACGAAGCAAAGCTAAGAGTTGAAAGCTGGCCGACACTTAGCCTATCAGCCATATTAATCACAAACGAATGAATCGATAGCAACGAACCCCCCCTCCCTCACAGGTTTTTTTCTCTCTCGACAAACGTTAAACGTTAGACGAACACCGCTACCACCGATAACTTTACTACCGCAGCCATAGCCACTGCAACTGCTACTACGTGACGATACGATACTTTGCATTTTTTTTTTACTTCTTCAGCGCTGCATCTTGCGATACGGTTTTCGGTTCGGTTTGACTATTCCTGGGGTCGATAACGATTGACTATTTCTCGCCAGTATATACTGCCTACTAGTACTACTACTGCTACTACTACGACTGCCTAATAACACTATCACTACCAGTTTTCACCACCACCACGATCTTTGTCTATTACCATTCCTACTACCATTACTATTACTATTATCTGGTGGAAACATTAGAGGCGGCGTGTAATAAACTATTTCTACATCCCTCACTTTTACTTTAGCGTTTTAATTACGCATATATAATTCTGTACTCTGCACGACTAGTTTCGAGTACAGTTATAACCCATTAACAACATACAAAATGTACACAAGCTTCCGTCAGGACTCACCCCTCTCGTACATGTCTATCACACCCAGCGCGACCCCAGAGCTAACGGGTCTCTCCCCCGCCCCCCGACCCCGGCCTCATCTCCAACTTACCTCCAACCTCTCTGAAAAAACCAGCTCAAATACAACCTTCTGGTCGGCTATGGCTCCTGGCACCCATGATAGCGGGTGCGAGTTCAATCCAGTGATGCGTTCCGATAGTGGCATCCTTGTATCACCTACCAGCGAGAAAGGCGGCCGCGAGCGACGAGAAAGTGTGTCTAGCGGATCAGCATCTACCCAGCGTTCTGGACGCTCTGGACGCTCCGCATCAACTGCGGCTACAAGTACAGCGACTCGGAGGTCTTCAATACGGTACCAGAAATACCCACCGCCACCATCTCGACGCCAGTCGAGCATTTACGTCACCTCGCCAACGACCTCCGAAGACCATTACAGAATACCGGGTGTGGAGGCGCCGCCAAGGGCGCATGTGAGGCCGGAATCTGTGTTTGGAGCGCCGGTGGTCGGGCTGGGTGCGGTGACGATTGATTGGAAAGGTGACGAGGCGAGACGGAGGGAATATGAGGAGGCTGATAAAGAGATGAAGGGATGGAGGAGATGGCTATGCGGATTGGGAGGACGGAAGAAAGTTTTCTGGGAGGGCGAGGACAATGGCAGTGTCAGGAGGTACAGGCTTGACTTGCCACCGGCGCCGGAGGCAGGTGTGAGTGAGGGAAAGAGAGCAAAGAGTAGGCGGAGTCGAAGGACATAAGGCCGCGAACGAGCCCGCGTCATCATTGATGCCACTTATGAGTATTACGCTGACCTGCGACCTTGTATTTTTGCATAGCCCTTTTTTTTTATGTTGTTTTCGTTTCTCGCATGACACTGTTTTGAGTAGTTTTTTTTATTCTTGTGCGCTGGTGCGGTTTTTTTTATTCCATGGGTGTTGTTGATTTTCTTTTCTTTTTTTTCGAGCGAGCGAGCGAGCGGGCTTCTTGTGATTCATTGTACTGTTATTTTCTTCATTCTTGGGGTCCGGGGCGTTTTTTTTTCCCTTTTGTTTGCATTTAGCATTTTGATATCCCATTTCTACGGTTTAGTTTTCTTCTGGCGGTAACGATTTTTTCTCCTTGTTTTCTGCTTTGTTCTATCCGTTCCTTCAGGTCCGTCTGGGCTGAGCTGGGTGGACCATACATTTGTCAACTCTTTTCTTCTCTCTTCGACTTCTGATATGGAGTTCATCCTCTAGATTTTTTTTATTGTGTATGGTCGACCTCTGGTGTGTTTACTTGAGCGAGCGAGGTCAGCCAGCATGCCACGGTCGGCAACTTTTTTCTTCTTTTTTTTTGATGCACATATTTTTTTTACGCTGGTAGTCTTTTATTACTTATGGATTGAGGAGAGTGTGGTGTAGTATATGTAAGGGTGGATCCGAAAGGGATCGATGGATGTGCGGCAGAGCATGTGGTACGAATACATCGGATTGGGCTTTAGGGCTTCATGATATGACACTACTATTTAAGAAACATTTACTGTCCTGCTTTGTTTGTGCGCATTGATGTTTGTGGTTTTGGTAGCAGTGGTTGTTAGTACAGGTTGAGCATGTGCATGTGTTAACTTCGAGTGATATCTGGTGACGTTATTTAGTGTGTAGGTAGACTTGAATTTAAAAATTGGGTTCTTGACAAGCTTGAACATAGTATTCACACCTTCAAAGCACTGCACTATACTCGGAACCCTCTAGTAGACCAATGGCATGGTAATGATAACAGACCCACCATCCCGTACCACCCAGAAACCGAGTGATAGTCCATGCACCAAATTCATTCCCACACAACACATGCAATGTCACCAACACCACCAACCACTCACAATCCTCAATCCCACTTCCCACTTTCCCACAAAAACGCAACTCCAAACGTCACCATGACCACTCTTACTACCTCATCGTCACCATCATCACCTCACCCTCCGCCCCCCACGCGCAACCCCCCCAACCCCCAACCCAACAGCCAAGCAAGAAACAGCGGGAGATCGCCACCAGAAATCTACACACCGCAACGGGTACATGGTACGATCTGAAACTGCCCTTTATGTTGCAACACAATAATATAGCCTACCCTACCGTACCGTACCGTACCGTACCGTACCGTACCGTACCGTACGTACAGTACAGTACGTAATAACGCCCCCCCCCGGGGGGATGGGTTTGGCGCGCGCTTGGAACCGTGCCGGCCTATAGATTTGGCGTGTTTGTAAGCCAAGGGTAAGCACGGGCGGGCTGCGGGCGAGCAGCAGAGTGTTTCAGAACGGCACCTGCAGCCTCGTTACTGGTTGTGGGAGGTTAGGTATGTTGGATAGCTGGGTAAGTGGTGCTATTTGGTATAGATATGCTCTGATATGTCAGTCGAGGTTAATTGATCGTGCCATATATATATATATATATAGCGGACCCGTGCTATAGGATCAAGGAAGGGAGGAAGGAAGGGACGAAGAGAGGGAGGGAGGGAGGGTAGTCGCTTTATAATTCGGTAGGATATTTTGTCTGGATATGTGGGATCCGGAGCGGTTGCCCGAGACCCTTTTTTCCTTTTCTTCGGCTCTTATTAGGTAGGGGTTAGGGTTATTACGAAGTAGATAACCTCATTTCTGAGTTTTGAGGCGGGTGGAATAACAGCTAGGTATGTAATAGGCTGATAAAGTATGCTTCCCTTACAGAAGCTCGTTCTAATGGTCTATTTGATGAATAAATCAGTCAATCAATCATTCTCATGGTCGTCTTTGACGGAACGGAAAACCTAACCCTATCTTGGTATGCCTTTTGAAGGGTATCAATGACAATTTGCGATGTTTTCGTATATGTAGGTTCCAGTAGGTACCATGAACGGATTAACTAAGGCCCTGGACATTTTGCCATAAACCATAAGAATTAATTGAGATTACTAGGCAGAATAGGGCAGACTGCCAAAAAGACTCGGAGTCAACTGTATGTAACAGTAGCAGTAACAGTAACAATAGTACTGAACTGCGAGTACAGGGAAAATCCATGGACAGGCACGTGGTGTAGGCAGACAGCTGGTACGGTGCCTACTTTTACTACCCGGAACTAGCACCCTCACAGCTACATACCTTGTTCCCAGACCCTAGTAGTAGGCTTGACCTAGAAAGCTGCCTGTCTGTCTGGCGTTGACAGACCGAATCCCCCCCCCGGCTCACTCCCGATGTAGGTACATACTTACTTTTGCAAGTAGTACTTACCTCCAGAGCCCAGGATCCATACATCCAGGTATGAATGGCCAGATCTTGAATCTCGGAGTACCCGTGGAGAGAAGGTTTTTGTGCCACCCTGGGTCCATCCCAGAGTGCGGAATCGCTACCTAAGGTTTTGAGCAACCATACTCTCACTAACTATTCCCACGCACTGCCTTTTTTACCTTCACTCTAGATGCTTGCTATTGTGCGGCACATATCCGCAGAAATTTAAAAGAGCAGAGTAATATAATATTGCCCATGTGTACTCGTACGGTCCGGCCCACTCAAATACCCTAACTCTGCCATGCCAGTACTCTACGCCAAACACCTATCTGTTAATTAATATCATTGACAACGGCGGATAGCCACACGCCCCCTCAGCTCACACGGTTTAGCACGGGAGATGCTGCTGGTGGTCCCGTGCTAAACCGCGATACCTTTAGTACGTACATAGATCAACATGCTGTAACCAGTGATGTGTTCGCCGGTGCAGCCCCCATGCGTTTCCTGTGGAACGTTGGTATCTGAAATCCCTATTGGACCAGGCAGCGAAAAGGCTTAGCTACGGGACGAATCCATCCTGTTGGGTTGTGTAAGTGTGTAGGTATGTATGGGTGTTTTGTGTGTTGTGAGTACTAGTACTAGTGTGCGGTTATGTGGTTGCAGTGTAACGGCTCCAACGTGGAGATCAAGGACAGGTTAGGGTTTATTTTTACTTACTCCGGGGTAAATTCATCAGTGATGATGTTTCGTGTTCTATGTAGGTATTTGTATTGTGGGGTAGATATCTGGGGTAGACGAGTGTTTGGCTTTGTCTCGCTTTGTTTTGTTCGGCGCGGACGTGGATTCGTTTGATTTGGGGTGGTTGCTGTTGTTTCGGGACTTTACTCAGTGATATTCATGGCGGCTGATCTAGGAGGACCAGGGCGGGATCGGATTGGTGGATGAGGAGGATCCGGGGAGGAGATGTGATGTCTTCTCTCGGACACATCCCACTCTATCGTATCGATATCGTATCGGCGTTATCTCCAGCAGAGGGGAGAGGGAGGGAACTCGTTAGATACCCATTATCCTGCCCCATGCACAAACAACACCACCATGGACACCCCCCATCCAAAGCCAAAACGAAGAACTAACTTCCTGCTCTGTCGGTGGCTGCAGAGGATGATGAAAGAATGAAAGAGAAAAAGAGAAAAAAGGGAAACGGAAACACATGGGCGATCTGGAATGTTAACGGTCGTTGAACGTCTAAGGAATGATCCACCTCACCTAATCCGTTCTTAGTAATTACCCGCGTGCGGTTTGATGGAAATCGCTGCCTGCCTGTCAAGCCTTCGGTCCCGGACACGAACAGCTTCCGGCGGCCGAAAACAACCCCGCTGGTGCCGCTTTTTCTTTTTCTTTCCCCTCATTTTTTTTTAAACCAAGCTTTTTGTGCGAAGCTGTGAGTAGTAGAGAAGGGTATGAGTCGTGGCTTTTTAGAGTACATTGTCTTTTACCGCTGCACTGTACTGAATTGCGTCTGTAACTCGCTGTGCGAAGCTTTGTAAACATATTCCAACACAGTACGAGGTACATACATATATCTTGCAAGGGGTCAAGGAGTCAAGGAGTCACGTTAGTCCAGTTAATAGAATGTTCTTAATTTCCTACATGGTATGCTTATAATTATATGCCCAGGCCCACCCCACCCATCCATGATCCATACCATCCATACCCAATCCTCAGACGATTATATATGGCATGGTACGGTGTGTGTGGTGTCCAGTCATGCGGCTGAAATAAGCCGCTGGGGTTAAGACGAGACTACTCCTTCCTCCCTCGTAATTAGTAAATTGGTTATTGGTTAATTCCTTGAACGGGAAAAAAAGTAGTGTGTGATGGGACCAGGGAGAGCAGAGTATATATTGTTGTTGTTTCCCCTCGTGGGATAGAAGGGGTGCCACTTTCAAAAAAATTCCTTATTCTATTGAATAACCCAAAAGGAGTGCTGCTCTTTTCCACCTGGAGAGGGAAATACCAGAGGAGGGTTCGTGACGGCCTTTCTCAACTACTACTACAGCATCGAGAGGAAAGAAACAAAAGAAGTAAACAGCGGTCATGCGATTCGTTACCATAGCTCTGCTTGCAACGGCGGCTGCTTGCAAAGCGGTTGGAAGTGTCGAAAACTCACGAGATTCATTGGTTGTGCAAGATGTCCTAGTGCAACGGTACGCACTCATTAAACACCTACGCCTCCCGCATCAGCAGCCAGACTAATAGTAAACCGACTTATAGATATAATGCCTTCGACAACAGCAACATAGCTGACCTCGAGCTTCCTAACGACCTCCATTTCGAGAGTAAACAGCAGACAGTGCAAGTACAGACCCATGAGAATCAGACATCTGCACCAGAAGTGCAGAAACGAACCGATTCCTCGACGCCAGGAACAAAGATCATGAGCACGTGGAGACAGGTGGTGGGTGGAATTGCGGTTGCGGTGTTGGTGGCGGTGATTTAATGTGGGACGGTGGTTCTTTGTTTACGGTACGGTGCCGTTGGTGTTTTATGGCGTTTTATTATTATTATTATCATCCCTACTCTAGCTCTAGTTAGTAGTGGTGGAAGGAACATGGGATTGGTGTTTTATTGCTTTATAATTGGGACCTGGACTGCATGTGGCTAGCTTTGATTCGATACTGTTGTATATATGTAGTAATTGATATATATGGCATGGCATATTAATTATTTGATATAGTCCGCGTGCGTAGGCCTAGGTTGAGGTTGAGGTTGAGGTTGAGGTTGAAGTTCTGGTCATGAATTCAGGATCTTCCATGCTCTCTATGTATCCATGTTTCTTCGAGCTAAAATACATAGTGAGCTACATGTAGCTAGGTTGATCTGACCTCACTTGCACAGAAACAGATGGCATCAGTTTACGCTTCCACCTGCGATTCCTCAAATATAAGTATAACTGTAGCCTTATCCCAGAGCGGTCTGAATCAACTAAACCTGACATCACCATGGATACGGACACTACCGTCGTCGCCACCACCGGCTGTATTACAATCGTTATCATCACATTAATGACCATCATGATTGATTTAAAAGTCATACTTGGGTAACTCAAGACACATCCTGGTACCGGCCGCCCCAAAGACCCCTTTTCCAGATACTTGGATTGACGTGAATTGGTGGCGGAGAAACAATTCTGAAGGATTGATTAAGTTTCTTACTACGATATGAGTGTCATGAAAGGTATACAATAACTAAAGGTTTTCAAGTCCAGAATGTCATGTATCATGACCAGATTAAAACTTGATGCTCCCACTCTCACTTTCAAGTGCCCAAGATTTCAAAACCCGTATAAATACGGCGCCAAATTACTCCAACTTCATTTCTTACCATCATTAATATTCACCTTTTCCATCTGATCTCATCGAATATATACATTCACACAACACAAGCCTTCAACTAATTAACAACTACTCAAAAGACCAGTATGACTCCCTCCATCCTTTCCTCACTCTCTAACAAGAGTAATAGTGGCCACAAGTACGCCAAATCATCACTCTGTCTCCAAAATACGGCCATTCCACAATTACCTATAAGACTTACAGACTTAAGTACATTTAACCTCCATACCCCAAATACACAATTACCTAGAAGGCTCGACTTAAGCACATTTAACCTCCGTACCCTCAACGACACTTATGATGCCGAGAATCCTCCAGAGTCTTCATTTGACACGAACGCACTCACAACCTATTGCACTGAGAAGGCGTGCGGCTTTGATTACCACACGTACTTTGATCAAGAAGAGGGGTATACCCGCTCTCTAGAAGTGCAAAATAATCACGAAAGTGGTTATTGCATAGACAGTAGTGGCCCTGCACCTATTAACGAATACGGTCCAGTGTCTGCTAGTCTCATGGCTCAGTCTAGGGAGAAGTCGTCGGGCTTGGATTACTACGACCTTGTTAACGAGGAAGGGGAGGAAACTCATTGGTTGGAAGCTAATGATCGTACCAATAACAACTACATGTCGTGCGGCATCGCCGAATGTTGCGGCGGTCATGATAACTCTTTGTGCGATAGTGGCGAAGAGGATGGCCATGAACGCAGGCCCGAAAACACTATTTATCTAAGTGGCCATGGCAGTATGTCTGAAATTGATATCGAGCAATATATAGACCCCTCCAGCCCCCAGTATGGTGGGGATGCATATGATTATTACGGCTATTTTGACGACGACGAGTTGGCGAATGTTTGTTGGGTGGAAGCCGAAGGATGCATCTGCGGCGTCCCCGGATGCTGTGGCGACACCTTACTACATGTACTGTCTCCCGATGAGTAGGAGTCCTTGCTCAATATGGCGATCATAGTGGTTTTTATTATTGCTGATATATATCATGATAAGCAGCGAATTCAGCGATTTAGGGGTGTGATATTGACTAGTGCAATTGCAACTTGCTTATTGATTTTACCTTTAAGATGGTATAAACTATTAGATACCATGAATTTATTAGGACGACGATGATAGAATAAATATAAAGTGGTGTCTAGGAGTTGGGCCGGTAGTCTTGATGTGAGGGAGGTAGAAACCCTAGCCCTCGAGTGATATTTCATGATCAGAATGTTTCCATGGGCCTAGCCTGCTTGGGGTTTAGCTAGTTGTACTATTTGGCTGCATATTAAATATCAGATTCGATTCTAGAAGATAAGCGTTTAAAAATTAATTTTTGCTGATATTATAAACTGGCACCCATTATATTAGCTGAGGCTTGGTAATTGATCATGAGAAGAGTAAGCGGTGCAGCGGATTTAAGATGGCGCCGGACCAGCTACAATTCCACACCCTCAACCGTGTAGCTCAAATATCTCTCTTACATAAGTACGTATACCCAAATAATCAGTCTTACTTAACATTATCGAATTTAGTCATACCGCAAGGATTTTTGGCGACATAAGGAGAGTTAGATGTATTCACATAGCTAGCTACTAATTGCCACGATAAGTTATCGCCGACCTTCCGGGTTGCAACTGTGTATGTCAGATTATTTTTCGTGAAGAACTTCTGTATCATGACTGTGCTTATGCTTAAATAACAACATTATGGCATTGATGAACAGAAGATGCCTTACGATGTTCGTATTAGACCTAATGCGTCTCGTGGTGGGTATATTGGTATCGATTAAATCTATGAGTCCAACGCTTACACCGATTATACTGCGCTGTAGTATGGGCTATGTTTCGGGAAATTCAAGAACACGCAGAAACAAGTACATACCTACTAAAGCTTATAAACGCCACAGCCGCGGCCTAGCACCGACTGGGTTTCATACGCATACATGCAATCACGAACCGCATAAGCATGTACTCGTATTTTCGTGACGTTTGTAAAAGGAACCGCTATTGCATACCATACTAAATTGTGGACTTGGCGCGTAATTGTATGGTATGCAATAGTGGTTCCTTTTACAAACGTCACGAAAGTACGAGTAGCTACATGTACATACAGTAAGTACTGGCTACATACCAAGCCAGTTGACGTTGAATTAAGGTTTTTTGGCACAGCCTACTTCAAAACGACATACTCGCGTGTTTAGAGTCCCTGGGCGGTTGGCTCATGGGGAGGGGGGGGGGGGGGGCGATGGGGTACGTACATGTGGATATCGCAACATGTATAGTGCAATATACATCGTTACAAGTAGACAGCATACGGGGGTTCTACAATATATTATGGTACTTACCTTGTGTATTAATAGATGCAGTTTTATATACGTACGTAGCTTTAATTTTATACAATCGTGGCTGTTGGTGTTACTGAATTTGCAAATGTGAGGACACAGAAAATTTTAATAGGAAAGTCGTTGAGTGATACAGTCGGCCCCATAGCTATAGACCATCGATAAGACCTCCTCCTTCTCCTTCTTCGCTTTGCTTTCCCCCTTCAAACGTGATAAATCATATGTTGATTGATCAGTCCTCACATCGTGAGTCCATTAATCCGAGACCAATCAATCGATCGAATTAAAATGCCTCTCCAAGCCAGGCTCATACTGCCGTTGCCGCCCTTAAATTTTTTCAAAACGGTGATTGTGAACAAGAGCTCGGGATATTGAGAGTCTAGACCTCGCCCCACTGTTATGTAATTGCCGGGTTGTCCGTATAAATGAATGTCAAAGTCTCATATATTATGTCTCTATTTTGTGGGTACGTTCACTAAACTGGAGTGTGTGCAGATCATACTCACCCCCTGCCTACACGTGAGTTAAGACAGCCTCCGTACTTCCGGGGAATGGGGGACTGGGGGGCCGGGGAGAGACATACTCGCGTGGCTGGTTACTTTTTTGGTGCTTGGAAACTCGGGGCGTTTTCGCGGACCTGAGCTATCAACCCACGATATGTCTCCTTTAGTCAATTGAATCTACACGTTCATTTATTTATCCCTGTGAGCCCTTTTTCCCTTTCTTTTTCCTCTCTCTTCACCGCCTTTGACCCGTATATCATGAGACTTTTCCTTACTATGGGTATCAAACTAGCTGATGGTGACCCGGTTGTTGATGTGCTTTGCACATGTGCGTAATATCGTAGAGTAGTATTCTGCTCAGGTAGTGTGCTCTTTAGGTATATACACCTATGCAACGCGTCCACGTCTTCCTCCTAGAATGACGTCTGGGATTCCGAATCTCATGAAAATATTCTGCAGCATGGGAGAATTTGTGGCCAGAGTTCAATCCCCAGTGTCTACACACTAAAGAATATATTAATACCCAAGATATGCACGTAACTTTTACAAGTAAGCAGCCAATAAGCAATTCTCCCATAGCCTAAAGTGGCACGGACGAGCTTTACCTTACGTCTATGTGTACTTTGTTCTTTTCGATTAGAGAGTAAGCACCCACAGTTGCACCCAGGGTCAATCTTAGCTTCGGGTCCGTTCTGTAAATGTGAAGAATAGGCTGAGAAGAGGCCGAGGCGGTATTGATTCCTCACCGTGCTGCACGGGAGGGGTTAAAAGGACGATCATAGCCTTACTCCCCCCACATAAGGTCAACCCCAGTCATCGAGATGTAGTTCCTGGTTAGTTATGTTAGTGATTCCATAAGTTAGTAGTGGATTTTCGCCCACGGAGGCTGGATTTGAAGCACGGGTCTTACATAACCAAATACTCATGCAGTAATCCAAACTCTACCCCGACAACCAGCTGAGTCATATCCATCCTTTCTTCGGTCGTCGTTGGTTGTCGCGTGGCGATAAGGTTGCGGCCGCTCCCGAGAGTAGTAATGGCGTTTCCCGGATCCTGCTAGCCTCGGGGGTTGTGGCACAAGCGGCCATAGCGCTGCAGCCGCCAGAAGCGACTCAAACGAAATGTCTGTCCTGTATTGGTGCGCATACGTACTCTATGTATGTGCGCTTCTAGACTATTAGTCTGTGGTATTATTCCGAGAAAGCAAAGACTGGCGCACTGACTGACTCGAAGAATAGATAGCTTGGCTCCATTATACAGTAGTATCGGTCGGAATGAACCTCAGAGCTTTATCCTCTAGATCCCCATCGAGAGCGTGGTAATAATGAGTCTCAACAGTAGATGCCATGCATGGTTTTATGAACAGAGAGAAAGTACATGGAGTTATTTGAGGACAACGATGTCTGTATATTCTTACGTTATAAACACGTAAATATGGAAATATATATACGTACTTTGTTAGTAGTCTTCAAACACCTGTTCTTGCTTTCTAAGTATATTTATCCAAAAGAAGACAGTTTCTCCTGTTTTTGTTCTTCGTCCGTTAATTAACCCAATTGGCCCAGCCTCTCCCATCAATCTGAAATAGTGTGAGGCCCTGGCAACGCCATGAGGTTCATGATAACAACTAAGCGTGTGCTGCATAGCTGGCCACATGTGTAGAAGGTTTATATCCCCTATTACTGTCAAATCCAGTATAATCTAGTTGGAACTATTTATTAACATCTCCCTTTAGAGGCATATTCTATAAACATCGTGGAAATAACTCGATACATACAATACCACACCCTGGTCCTAGCTAACAACTTACTCACCCCAATGACAAGTAGACGTCAGTGATGGTGACTTAAAGTTGACAGCCCTATTCCTCGAGAAAGACGTCATCCTGACTGAGTACTTTCAGCCAAGGACTGTCTAAAATCACACTTATATCAACTTCACTGCAAGGATGGTCCATGTTTTGCAAAGGCCCCGAGTATGGCTCCAACCAATAATTGGCCCTCCTTCCCTACTACAAATCCACCTCATCTACCTATCTTTTGGGCCGAAATTTTCCTGCCCCCTACATATCTCTGGACGCACAACGGCACCTGTATTCCGTGCATAAATCGGGTAGGCTCGCTCAGGCAGAATATTGCCTACTGTACTCAAAGTTCCTTATTAATATACTATATAGATAAACCCTTGACCTCGAACGACCGACGTCATTACCTATAGAATTTGAGCTGAGCCTGAGAAGCCGAGATAGAATCTAAGCTTATGACAATATTTTCGGGGTTGACTTGCTTGCTAATCGACCCCCCCCCCCCCCCCCCCCCCCGGGTCTGGATATCTAACTAAACGTCCAGCTGGCTAGATATATATCCGAGCCCTCAAATCTCCTCGATCCCGGTTGATCGGTGTCTTAGTGAGATGGAGTAAACACATATCTAAATGTCCTCGATTCTGCTTGTCCCGTTACTGCAAGTTCGTGAATTTAGACATCCCTATAAAGACCAATCCGCCCCCGATCACCCGGCTTACAATACCCGCGATCGGCCCCTACCTCGGCGCTCCGGGAGCTACAGGATCCGCCTCCCCCGAGTTGCCTGCATGGATATATGTGCTAGTCTGAAGTCATGTTCACTCGTACCTGCAGCCCTGCCTGCTAGAGCAATAGCCGAACGCCTGTGTGACCGTGGACGGCTGCACATTTCAACCACCACGGCGCAACATCACACCGTAGCCAACAACATGAACAAATCTAGAGCATGAATTGGACCAAAATTCGAGCATTCTGCACAGAAATTCATGCACTGTGTAACTAATAGGGAACGAGATCCCGCCCAAATTCTCGAATTCATGCAGCTAAAACCTTCTGATATACACGCAAGAAAAGAGAGAAAGGAAGAATGTAGTATCCTGCACGTGCACGGCATATATTGCGGTACCTTACCTACATGTACGTACTCTACCAATGTCAGATACTCCAACAATACCAACGCGGAGTAGGTCTGTAACTCCAACAGCCGTCAGATTGACACCTCAGCAACAACTAGCCCCCTCCCAATTAATCTTTTTTTCCGTTTCAAGGTTCAGCCTGGATCGAAGACCCTGCATACGAGCCTACCTGCCAGCTAGCTAGCCAGGGAATCTGCTCGACATACAGCGCGCCGTGTGATACCACGGCCCGGGTTTTTTTGGTGGTAAATAATAGACAAATTGATAATGCATTGTTCCTGTGACCCCCACTCTGCCCTATGTGTTGTGCGCATGTGGGTGGGGTTAGCTGCTGCGGGAGTGATATATGTATGGAAGTCAAGCCGTCACGATCGAAGAAGTGAATAGTCATTTGTAGTATGTAGTACTAACTACTCTACAGTGTGGTCATATATATAAGAGCTAATGTTATGTAAGACAAAGCATACATGAGGAAAGGAAGAAGAAGTAATTAATCCACACGAGGGCAGAGGAAAAGAAAAAGTAGGAAAAGGAAAAGGAAAAGGAAATAAAAGCCCCTCAAAACAAAGTATCGACTACAGAAGAAGAAATTACGAAGGAGGGGGGAAATGACGATTCACATATATATCGATCATATCGAGTACTCTTTGAAACGGCCAAGGAGAAGAACAAGAGTTGCTCTACTACAATACTGTAATAGCCCAGATCCAGATCTCTCCCAACACCAACATTGGCATGATATGATATGATAATGATATGTACCTAACTTTTTTCCCCAACGAAACAATCCTCTAGACTACTAGACTACATGTACAACTAACAGCATGAGTCACCATCATCTCCTTCCTTCGTACGTGCCTGCTAACCTTCTATCCTCAAGCGAAAGAAAAAAAAGAAGGAAAAAGGAAAAGGAAAAGATACAATTATAACAGCTTCCCTCCAAACTCGAAACCGCCACTTAATTACCCTACATCAATTAATTATACTGTTAGAGAGGGAGTGCTATAGACGACCTCTAGCCCTCCCAGCTCGATTGACGGTAGCCAGAGAAGACAATATACGAGTAGAAAAAGAATCGAGGCTAAGGAGAAGACGGAGAAAGTGGTTGGGGGTGCACCCAATGAATAGAATAGAAAGTGTGAAATATTAAAAGCTCCATCCATCTGCCCCGATCCCCGTGCACAAAAAAAGAAAAGGGGAGGAAAAGAAACCGTGGACATGGCCGTGGGTGGGCATGAGTAGCACAAGTACCGAAGAAACTTTATTGGCACGCCCTGGTTTTCTTTTTTTTTTCCCCGGCCGGAAGGGTATTGGGGAGAGGGGAAGGGAGGGGGGAGAAGGTGGGGTTAACAAAATGTCGATCGACCCGGTATTTATATCAACGAATATATGGGACCCATTTTCAGTTGTCTCTCTCTGCTGTTCTGATCTTTCATGCTACCCGACCTCGAAGGAAAGAAAAAACCTGTAGCTTTTGGAGGGGGGTTTTCCCAGTCGATCCAATTTGAACAACTAGCAAAGAGGAGAGCTAGGTAGGTAGGTAAGGTGTGAGAGAATGAAAGAGAGGATATAAAACGATATCGATAGAATGCCAGAGGTGAGAAGGAAAGAAAAGAAGAAGAAAGAATTAACATAAAAAAGAGGGTTCCAAGAAAGATGCACAAAAATCGGTTTTTTCCAGGAAGTCCACAACAAAATAGGTCCACAAATAAAGATATAGGGTGAATAAATAAACGAAGTAAAATAAAAAGTAAAAAAGCCTTTCTCAACACCGACAACTATGGATAAACCAACTAATAAAAAGTGCACCCAGTTTCAGAAATAAGGACAGCATGAGATAGAAAAAGTACGACACAAAAAAGAAAAACTCGAGGGAAAAAATCGCCGACCGCCCACAAACGTGTAAATCTCAAAAATTGTCCACCGAGCCCTATTCTCGGGCCCCATCAGATATGCCTTCCATTCATTTCTCTCTATAATCAAGATAAAACCCACCCCGCTCATAGGATAACACATGTACGGGGTTTGCGTGCTCGGCCCCTTCCATCTTTTCCTGGCTTGTCCTTTCCTGGCCCGCCGCCATCACTGGTACCCGGCCCTGTGTTCCTTCTGGCAGCAGCTTGCCGTTGTCGTCGTAAGATTCGCACAACATCATAGAACGCCCGCTCAACATTGACGCAGTTCTTCGCCGATGCCTCGACAAACTCACAGCCCAATTCCCTCGCTAAAGCGTGGCCTTCTTGCGTTGAAACTTCCCTCTCCGTCACTCGATCACTCTTGTTCCCAACCAGCATTATTGGGACAACATTGTTGACCGCGTAGCTTCCCGATAGCGCCGGAGAGTGAAGCGGGCTTCCTCCATATCCTGCCAGTGATGGTCCAGTGGATGAAGATTCTTTCACCCGCAATATCTGTCCGTGAAATCGCGGTATCCTGGTAAACGACGAACGGGACGAAATACTGTATACAAGAACAAAACCCTCCCCATCACGGATCCATTGATCTCGAAGTGCGGTATATTCCTCCTGCCCAGCTGTATCAAGGACTTCGAGCATGCAAGCAGTCCCGTCAATGACTACCTGTTTCCGGTATGAATCTTCGATTGTGGGGTCGTAGGTTTCGACGAAATGATTAAGACATAGCTAGACCAAGATAATTAGACGTTAGAGACCATTTCCCAACACTAACACCAAAAAAAAAAAGGAATGTTCTTCAAGAATCCGTAAAACTAACTTGAATCGTTAAGGCCGTTTTACCGACTCCTCCATCTCCGAGCACCACCAGCTTATACAGCGTCATCCGTGCTGCCGCCATTTCCTTCTATTGCGATTTGATTTTTTGGGAAGATGTAAATATTGTTTTATTGCTGAATAATCAAAAGGAGTTTGGTTGTATGTTGATTTAGTGTTAGAAATCCAATTATTCCTTTTTTCTTTCTGATCTCTTTTTAATTCGCAAGTGGTAGCGAGTGAAAAGGTACCTATATGAATATAAAGGTTTTTCGTGGCGATCGGGAAGTATCCGCTGCCGTTTTTTGGGCTGGCCTAACGACGTGGCAAGCGGCGGGATGAGCTTTTCTTAGGCGATGGCGACGACTTGAGCGAGCGAAGACCTAGTTGTTGGAACAGGGGGGTGGAGGCGAAGTTGGTTATGTAGGTAGGTATAAAGTAATAACTTGATTCCCGTAGCGGCTGAGCAGCTGACAGCACTGTGTTATGTTCTGTATGCCTGCCTGTCTGCCTGTCTGTGTCTCTGCCTGTCCAACGCACGAGGTAAGAGATGACAATATCGACGAAGTTCCTTGAAAAAGTTCCCTTCTACCTCAAAGATGTTAAAGCGTCAAGATGCGTTGTAGAGGATGTAATTCTTGGATCGCAGATGAGTTGTTCCGTTTCCGGCAGCAAGCGATCTCCACAACCCCTTTATAATGCCTTTCACTGAAACACGTCAGAAAACCGGCGAAATCCACAGAAACACGTGGATGGAGGATAAGTGATGCCGGGGAAGAGGAAAAAGAGGGGTGGGGGGGAGTGGGAGGTCACGAAGCACAAACCTCGAGTAGCCGGTAAGGCAGTTGTACAGAGACAGCAACGTAGGTGTAGGTAGATACGTTGTGCGAGATATGAATATCCCTATGTCCGATAATTTTTGCAAGGACGAGATGATAAGATGGAATAGAACCAGGTCCGGAATTCCGTGTTTCTCGGTAATCGGTTTTTTTTTCCTAGATGTCTTTTTAAAGGGAGAAGAAGGGGAAGAATTAGAACAAGTCGTTGAATTTCAGCCTCCTCTAACACGGCAAGATCTCTTGGTATTTTTTCCCCTTCTCTCTTGCCGAGGAAGTGGAGTAAGAGGAGTAGAAAGAAGACGGATGAGGAGGGAAGTCTTGACTTACTTTAGATAGAAGCAGTTGCGCCTACGCGCAGAGAGTTATCTAAATCGAATAGATAACCAGCGGGTGGTACTCAAGAGTTTAAAAGGACCCGGAGGAGCGAGCGAGAGCAGGAAAGCTGAGATAATGAACCTATCTGTCTGCTGCAGAAGTACGTTGGTTGGGTTGGGGGCTGAAGAGGTGATCTGAAAAGTAAACTGTGCATGTCTTACGTTAGGTCCAAGTCAACAAGTAAAAGACGGGAAGATCTCCTCCTCATCATCGAAACCTATCCCGCTAAAAAAAAAAAGAGAGCGCGAAAATAGCTTCCCATACATACATACAACGTGACTTATGACACGAAATATATCAATATCGGATGAAAAAGAAACCTTCGGTCAGTTTAAGACCGAAGGGAGTACGGGCAGGAACAAACCACTAAACATACAATTGTATCCCTTTAATACCTTCCCTTTGGCTATCTATCTTCAAGAGGCTTGAATTCTAAGACCTGTTGATCTAATCTGAGGATACTGTACGTATTAGAACAATTTCTCCTCCCAAATAGGTTGCAGTATATATGTATAGGTATGTAGATGAAAGTGGGAATTCGGAGGGTTCGAGTGATCGAGCCTGGTACGGATCCGTACTCTCTCAATATTCTAAAAACGTTTCCCGGGATGACGGTCTTTGGAGCGTTGACAGTACCACAGTTTGATGGTTTTCCTTTCCGGGATTGGTCCAATAAGGAATAATATGTAAGGACCTCTTTTCTTTATGGAAAAAAAAAAAAAAAAGAAGAAGAAGGCGTCCCTGACAGTTCAAACGAAGCCAGTATGTAGGTAAGCGATGAAGGAGGTTCGTTAGGGGGTGGTATGGGTATGGGTCTAGGTATGGGTACGGATATGGGGTATGTAGTTAGAGGTAGCGAGCGAACAAGCGGTGTGGTGGGCTCGCTCGTTCGTTCGCTTGCTCCAGCCGAGCCGCCTCAAATGAAATACAACTACAATGATTCTGTCCATCCGTTGGGACAGATACAAGTCTACATAAACCAACACTTTGCATTGGATATGGCGAGCGAACAATGTCCCGAACTAGCAAACTCTCTGTGCAGTGTGTACCCTACTTCACTGTCTGTACATACATGTATGTACTTTACGTACCCTACTCCATGGGGGGAATAGAGGGGAGGGGTCTGCTTCTGGTGTTCCACGGAGGTCCCGTTCGGACTTATGGTATGTTCTTCTGGATGTCCCTCAGAACGAACATCCATAAAAAAAACCGACATTTACCCAGTCAATATCTGGTACGCGGGTTCACCATATTACCCACGTAGATAATCCTTACCTCTCAACCCCTTCCTACCTAATAAGACACGCGGTCTACACGTGCATTACACAAATTTATAGTCTCCATAGTAGATTGGTCCCTGGTCTTGATTAAAGACTCCGAAGAGTTAATTCTACATACTATAGGCTCGTTCCCACCATCCTAGGTACTAGTTTTTTGGCGAGCCCGTGAAGAGGAGCGAATATCACGTGACAGCAAATCAAAGAACAGAAATGGGCACTGGGTCGAGGCTACATGTACATACTGTTGTAGCTCCCTACCTATACAAATGACGGAGTAGGGACTTTTGTATGGAGTGGCGCTGATCTGCCATACAAAATACTCATTTGCATTTTCTGGTTCTTTCCCCTACACGCGAGTATCTACTCGGAACATCCTAGGCCCGCTAAGAGGAAGATGCCTCATATTGCCCTGTTCTTTACACAAAGCTCTATCATATCAGCCTTAGCTTTGTTTGGAAGGGTGAGTGCAGCAGCAACAATTGGCTGGACGATAGGATCCTAAAAATCTGAAGAAAAAGCCACAAGGCGGCAAACGCCAAATGGCGAGCAGAGACGCCTACTTTCTCTACCAGGGTCAATTACCCCTCCGGCTAGGCCAAGGACGTTCGAGGATTTGCGAATTCGCAGAGGAAATAGAAAGAAAAACGATCGATAGAACATTTCGATCGACTGGGAATCCAGCAATAAATCTTTATATTTCCAAAATCCGATCTCGTGCTCTTTCCCGTTTAACTGAATCATGATAATATTATATCTTTATGGAAACCCAAAGCGAGGTGGACTTCTCCTAGGAAGGAGCTTTATTGCAACAGAGACAAGCATTTATAGCTGTATCTTTGCGATGCAAAGAAAATATTCCCAAAATCCCAGGAATGGGGGTGATCTTCACAACCAAAGTTGGAAAGTGGAGGTCAATCGGTTAGACCAATGTTAGAACAGCCAACACATCAATTCAGCCAAACGAGAACTCTCATACACATACTGCACATACTGTATGTAAGGTAGCATCCGTCGTGATGCCTTGATGTTGCTTCGGGTTGCCCACTCGTATTCTAGGCACTCTACATGGATCAATACGTCTATGGCTTTACCCTAACGAAGTCCAACGCTGATCCGCCTCTGAAGTGTGCGCAACCGGGGAAATTTTCGGACTAGTTGAGCCTCATGAATATCGCGAAGAGTCAAGACTGTTTGTGCTGGAAACAAAAATAACCCTCTCCCCCTTGCAGGATTGACAACGCAAAGCAGATGCCATCTAAGCACAGAGTAGGTACGGAGGGTCAAAGCTTTAAATTTGAAAGAAAGCCGATAATCGGGATTCTCGTTTCACCAGCTTGCACACACGGCCGGAGGCCAATAGCCGCCTTGGGCCGTTCATAACCTTCAGTTTTTTTTTTTGCCCAAAATTGAAACTATCCGGGAGAAGATTTTTCCCCTCTTATGGGTTCCCAACACACAGGCTTTGTGGCTTTACAGGGCAAACAAAACAGACATGACCCGGTGCTTCCTTTCCAAATAATCCTGACCATAGGAACAACCAACCATCTGTCTCACCCGGAACTTTTTTTTCTTTCTTTCTGGACGATCATAATCATCTGGATCATCTGTCAAGGGCGCTTATGTACGTACCTACAAGCAAATGGGCCCCAAGGTGGTCTGTGTTTGTGGTAGACGCAGCATATTGGCTATGTGTTAACCTCGCACCTCTACATATGCAAACATCTGCAAACGTAGGGGTAGTTGAGTGGTATGTTTCATAAACTCTGCAGTAAACTGCTTGACGGTGTTGCACTCCCCCGCATGCATGCGTAGTCACGTGCAGAATCATTAAATACATAGAGGCGCTGAGCTGGTGAGTTCGTTCACTTATCAACTGACGAATTGGGTGGTCAAGATACCAGCTCACCTAGACGGACTCGTCATGGTTTTTGATCTCAAGACCTTATCTTAATGAGACAGAAACAGGTTTTATATTAACGTTGAAGCGGGAAAGTTCCGGGCTTGATAACCGCCCTCTTCTTTAGCTCAGATAATAGGCCGATTCTACCACTGCATGAAACTTCTTTTGCGCAAGAACTCAAATTCACACCAGCCCCGGATATCTATACTATAGGTACATACATATGAGGCAATGAACTGGAGTGTACCCAGGTATATGTATCACGGCATCTTCAACAAGCACTCTAGAGTCATGTAGGTATATAAAGCATCCTCGAGTACCTACATGGATACGCGAATTCGACATGAACACCCCCAGCAGCGCGGCACGGCATGAAAATCAAGCCGAGTAAGCTTCAAAAAAATTAGGATGGTTGAAAGGCGATCCTGTGGGCCGATTTCCAGTAACTGTCCTGCTGATACACAAATCTATTGGTAAGGTGTATGTTTACACCAAACCAGAAGACGGGAAATTTGTGTTCAGGATTCAGACATATGTTTTTCTTTTTCATTATGATCACTCAGCCTTAAAAAAAAAACGACCGCCCCACGTGGGATTAGAGACGTGGGATACCGGGCAGTACGTACTACTGTACCAGTTCTACTCTAAAGTACCTACATACATACCACAAGTTGGCCGCAGCTCAGTAACCTTATCTGTCGTCAAGTCCCGTCCGACAACTGGCTAGGATTACTGATCATTTTTAGTTATTTCTTTGTCGGAAGATCAATCATTATTGACAACGCTCCCTGCTCCTTAAGAAGCCCCAAGGTAGTTATATAGGTTTAGTTTTTACTTCGTGTATCTAATACACGTACACGTCTCTTTCATAGAATCTAACGCAGCGTCTAACGCGTCTAAATCGCACGTCCTCCCAAGCAACCTAATTATAAGCTGCGCACAAGGTAGTTTGGAAAGCTTGAACTGTCCCCTGAGCTACGGAGCCCTAAACATCACGACCAGGGAAAATTTTCAGCACCCTGACTGCGACGAACTCTATGGTAAACACAGCTACCAGGCTCTCTAGGAAGTGGTCCGTGGGAGTGATTTTCAAGTACGAATTTCGGCGACCTTGCTCGGGCACCAACCGATACCGTGGTTCTTCCCCTCGCCCGCCCGTCCGCTCGCCCGGCACTGTCCAGAGACCATCTTCAATCATCATCATTATCATTGTTTAGTTGTTTAGTCATGGCTCTACATATGCCTTGGAATCAAGCAAAGTGACTTATGTTAATTAAGAAGGAACATACCGACATTGCCTAAGCATTTTTATTAGTAATTATTCTAGAAAAACACGGGGACCGCAGCAAGCCAGAAAAGAAAAAGAAAAGGTGAATACGCTTGAGCTTCCCCGGGAAGGTATAAAATTCCAATTGGAGTTCCCTCCCCTCCCCCCCCCCCCCCCCCCCCCCCCACGGGCTGCTGTGTCTGGTACAATAACGATATAGATCTTACGCGTTGTACCCGCGCAGGTAAATAGAGCACATATATTCAGCATCAACCTTTTTTTTTATTCGTATGTACAGCAAAAAAAAAAGCTAAGCATTCCCTTTGGGCCGCCCATCCCAGAAAAGAAGAAAAAAGTGAAGTAGTTGAATAGATGTGGGGCACTCCTTCCCTGGTCTCGGGGGACCGAGGCCAATTAAGAAGTCAAGCCCCGCCGATGTTTGATCTTCGACGGCTACATACAAATGGGTATCTCGCTAAGGCATGATTTAGGTCTCAGAAAAGGTTGCTGAATCAATATGCCGATCCACTTATCGGCATATCACGCCTATGTGAAGGTAGTGATTTCCGGCTCAGATATTGTAGGTACTCTAAAGGAAGGAGAGAAAGAGAGGACATCAAGTTCCAAAAATCGAGGACTGTGTACAGGCAGTTATCAGCGGATACGCATACATATTTGATGGTAATCATTCCGCAGGGTTCGGCTCAAAATCGATGAACTCCTGGTTGTAGGGTAGGTGATTTATAGTCGGTGATGATGTTCACACGGACCGCGAAGCTTTCGAAGCTCAAATAAAAAGTTAGTAATCAAAACGCTAGCCAATTATTAGACCAATTAGGAAGTTGGGGAATTCATTTGTGTTGACACTAGGTGTGATTTCATATCCGGGCCCAGCCATCAATCCACGCAATTAAAGCGAACTCCTGCCCTCGGGATTCACAGGAGATCCCGAGCCATGGGATATCACAAAGTGCACAAGCAAAGAGAGAAAAAAGAAAGAAAATACCGGTTAGATACAAAGTGGTCATGGCGAGGATATTTCGTCGAAAACCCCGTTTCGTAGTCACAGTCATTGATGTCTCCATCTCTGGTCATTTGTGCACCCAACCCTCTCACGGCGCAGAGGATTGTATCCGATACTTCGGAGTACATGCCTGTACGCCTTCCTCCTACAGTCCTCCGTTGCACAAGAAGGGCCCGATATATCGCACAAGATATACTATATTACCAAGTCGTCAACATGATATGTCGGCAATTGGGTCTGACGCACTTCAGGCACATCCTCGCCCAATCTCTCGCCTCCTATCGGAGCCAGCTTATGGCAGTCTGGCCATCGGCTATTGGTTCTTTCTAAAGACCACTCGGTCTCTCAGATTGGGTGTACGTATCTGGTCAAAGCTCAGCCTGAACATGATATATCACCAATCGGCCGGCTGACACAATTATTTCACATTCGATCGCCTCCCGTAAGGAAAAAGAAAAAAGGGATTCTTGTCTGCAAAATTTGCGAGTTCGGGTTCTTTTTGATTAGATACAGTATAATTGGAAAATTTGCTCTTCTTTGATTTCCGGTTGGCTTGATGTGCAGATATGGGATACTCGCGTGGATGTCAAGGGGGAGATCGACGATGCACCGTGCAGCGAGCAAGCGATCCGCAAGGGCTGAGGTGTATTAAGCTCTACCTATCATTGATAGCTTGAAGGATATATCATATATGGTTGAGTATGGAAACCAATAAGAATACATACGCCGAATATTAACGCACTAGGGACAGACCCGTATGCCAATACTCGCTACGAGCAAAATTGGACCTAACTTGACCAGATATATACATTTGATCAGGAATGTATGTGCAGCGGCGTTTCTCGGAGGCACATAGGGGTTATCTACAGGTGGACTCTAGCTCAGCAAGCTGGCTTAAAAGCCTAAGGACAACCAATTAGCATATGAATGACAAAAATAGGTTACTTAAGGCCAAGTGGCGTTATATTTAAAGCTCCGTATTCTTGTCAGATTAGCTCTCGAACTTCATGGTGTGCAATTGCGCAACCAACTGATGTCAATTGAATTTATTCAGACTTCTTGTAACCTTCTAGATGGTACCTGCCGGGCATGGCCATACAAAAGGTTACACTAATAGTGAAGATAAACCATAGTTGTGGGTTTCTGCCAGCAGGTAATTAAGAAGGGCAGCAGAAGCCGTTCTAGTATCCATCATGCAGGAATTAAGAATAAGGGGATAAAGTTTGAATATAGGCCTGTTTTACCTTGTTTTTTGTTTGCATGAGCTGAGGACTGGTCAATTCCATTCAGGTGATCGAACCTTATATTCGGATCTAGATTTGAAGCAACACAATTATACTGTGTCGGCGGAGCGAAAGAAGATGCAGGTTGAAGCCACTTTGTGTGCGGCTCTGATTAAATAACCCCCTGTCTTGGCACAAACCCTAATTATTACTAATCTTTCGAATTCCCCGCACATAATAAACTTCCGTCTTTCATTTATATTTATTACCATCACCAGTTATTACCTTCATATCAGCTTCTATCATCGGTTTTGGAAAACTTATTTCATAATGGCTTCAGTTAGTGTTTGATTGATGATATATCCTAGTGCTTGTGGAACTATCTAACATTCTTTGTGCGCTGCATATAGCTCATTGAACTCGAGCATCAGGAGCAGGAACTTCAGTTTTCTACTTTTAACTCTGATGTCGCTTGGGACCTCGGTGTTATCTGTCGTGGATTAGCACAGAAGCATCAGAAGCCTGTCGTCATTCACATAGCTTCGTCGAACTCGGGCCAGCTCCTTTTCCACGCATGCTCCCGCCCGGGAACAACCCCAGACAACGCTTTCTGGGTTAAACGGAAGCAAGCCACAGTATTCCGTTTTGGGTGTTCATCATACTACATGAAGAAAAAGATGGACTCATCCCTAGTGGCGTTCGAAACAAAATATGCATTGAGTGAGGGGGATTATGCTGCAAATGGCGGGGGGTTCCCAATTAGAGTCAAGGGCGTTGAGGGCACTGTTGCGGTGGTTGTTATCAGTGGATTATCTCAGGAAGAGGACCATGAGCTTGCTGTAGAGGGAATACGTCAATATCTACAGGGGACGAAGGGATAGGTATCAGTATATTTCTGAACTGAAAGGCATGTGCAATTGAAATCTCTCCACGTCTAGCGGCTATTAATGTAATAGTCTGATTTAAAACTTAGCAAAAAAATGTTGCCTCTACTTGTATGCAGACTTGAGAAGTATGATATTTCATATTTTTCTTGCAATTGGCTATGAAGTATGTAATTAGTACCTTAGTACCACTGCATGTACCTACATTTACATCAATGCCACGAGGTCCAATAGGAACTTTTTTACTCTGATCCAACCAGAGGACTGCAACAAAGTGCATACTCGAGTACTCTAGGACTTAGGTAAGACATACATATATTTGGCATTGGCTTTTTCTTAGTCATCTAAGAGGATGCCCAGAGCAAACAAGCACATATAGTTATGGCGAGACCGAGGTCCATCCTGTCAGCCCTTTCTTAATCACCCACAAACGTATTACGCATGCGGCTGGTGAAATAATCGTAACAGATGGCTAAGGAAAGCTAAAAAGGCAGATACAAGTATACAAGAAGTATTGCAATTAATAACTCAAATATTAAACTGAAGTCATCTTATTCAACCTTTCTCATATATACACGAATGACTCATATTCATTATCCTGCTCCGAGTTGGGCAAGTCCGTTAATTTTTTATCTTCAGAAATGAAGTCGTTAGAAATACTGGTCATCGTAACATGAATTTTAAATGTCCTGTAAAAAGGTTTCTTTGATGCAGTAAAAAGCCAAAATGACCGGATTGGGGTTCACAATATTTGCCCACGCCAAAACTGATTCAAGTTTGTAACTTTTCTTTGTTCCCCCTCGATCCAGCCAAAACGAGTTTTGAAATACCGAGGTGCGTCATCATATATGTTTCGAGTTTTTTCATTATTCGGACGGCGCGCGGCGGCGGTATTTCTATCGTTTTGGTCCCCCAGATCCACCTACTTAGAATAACATTGCAATACCCCCCCCCCCCATCTCACCCCCATCTCACCCCCACACTCGCTTTTATTCCCCTTTTGAAAATATCGATTACCATCTCATTTACAACTATCCACCAACAACTCATCATGAAGAGAACAATTCTCCTCCTCGTTACCTACATCCACTACAGCACCGCAAGCCCGTCGTTCCAGTTCGGGCCCATGGCCGCAGCACCAGCCCTAGGGAAAGGACGGATGCATGATCTGATAGGAAGACAAGCACAGGCTTCATGTATCTTTGGAGTTCCCTGTGGCGCTGGATGTGCAACGCAGGGTCCCTGTTGTGATAATGACTTGGGAGGTATGTGCATGTGTGATTGAGCTGTATATATATTCCCTCGTTCGTAGGCTACTAGCTAACAGCATTTCTTAATCATACAGTTTCCTGCCGTATGGACGAAGTCTGTGTGTCTATAAACAACAATCCCGCATGTTGTCCACAAGGGTATAGATATAAAAACGTCGTTACGTTAATCACTTGTATAAGGCTAACCAAACCACCCCCCTCATTCCAGAAGCACATGCAACAGGGTAGCGAGCTGTCTCGACGCCGACAACCCCGTCTGCAGCAGCGGGAATAGTGGTGGTAGTTTCTGCTGGTATGTTTTTTCTTCACATCTTGATTTGGTAAAAACATGTGAGAAATATCATTGACCCCACAGCTAGTGATTCGTCGGCACCTTTCTGCAACACGTCCGGCGAGCTACAGTTGTGCCAGGCAACGGCTTCGTTTGCGACGACAACGGTTACGGGTATTGTGACGGCGACGGTGGTGGCAGCGGTGCAGACGGTGTTTAGAAATACAACGTCCACAGTATCGACAACTTCAAGAACTGTCCTCCCGTCTAGTATGACAATTAATTTCTAACCCACATATCTGTGAAGCTATAGCTAATAACCGATAACCGCGCTTCTTAGGCACTCTTCCTACGCGCTCCTCACCTTCATTAGCAAGAACCTCGGCCATCTCAAGCACCACATCCTCAAGAGTGCAGACTGTAAGTGCTCCCACCTTCAAGAATTATGTTATCCACCATCTCGACAACGTCTTTTCTAATAAGATGTTTATAGATAATTCCAACGACGCGAACAAATACAACCAGAAGCACCAGTGCCACCTCCATTGTGATTGCCACCACCCCTCCGCCAGCAGAATTCACGGGGGGATCCTCTCCTATTCGTGGCGGGTTTGGTCAGCTTGGGATTGTAGTTTTCACGTTTGCATTGGTTGTTCTGTTTTAGGGAGACGTTCATCTACTTTATTGTTTTTTTTTCTCTTGCGTTTTTGTTTCTATGTGGCCGATACATAATTGGTAATAGAGTATTGGACGTATGATGCGGCGTGAGTCTGGATGGGGTAATGGCACATTTGTAAACGAAAAGATATAAAACACACTCTCAATTAAGTAGTCTCCAACAGCAAGAACTTTCCTCTCGTATTTTTGTCAAATACAAAGCAAATCCGAAGAAACCGGCGTGCGGATCATATCATAGAAACGTAAACTCATAAGACTCAAACCTCGCCATCTTCTTCCCCTTTTGGGCCTGTACCTTGCGCATGTAATCTCCTCCCTTGCCTAGCAGCATGTTAATTAGTATGGGGTTATAGTTCTGATTACTTAATTTGGATCGTCGATCGACATGCGTCTTGACGAATTAAACAATAACGCCCGCAAAAGCTTTGAAGAAAAAACGTACAGACGATTTTCTCGCAGTGGGAATTGGTCTTCAGTTGCAGGTGGATGGGGATGCCATCACCGCAGGTGACGCAGAACTTGCGAGTGAAGAGGGGGCGCGAAGGAATACAGCCCATGGTTGGCAGTTGGCGGTCTGGTCTGTGAGATGTAGATAGATGAATGAGTGTTTTATTGGCGAGGCCGGGGGGGGCTGGGTCGTGTATTTATCAGACCTTTTTTATGATCTAGAGGATGGCAGGAGGACGTTGGATCTGTGTATAGCGAAGCTTAAGTGATGCTCATGTAGTGTGGTCGACGAGGGCATACAATGACAGCTGTAGGTACTGTAGTCTAACAGGACAAGGTGCCTGAGAACGCTACATCATACCTGTCCCTATCTCGAGGCCACTCTCAAACCTCTCCTCGAGCCCCCTCGTTGACCACACCAGCCCGGCCCTGGCCTGCCGCTGCCGCTGGATCGTACAGTGAGCGGCATTATGTACTTATGTAGTTATGTTATAAAGACCGATATCGGAGAGATTGCTCTTTCGAAAGAGTTCTGTATGTTGTATTTACTCCAAGGCTTATCAAAATCACAGTAGACCGATCCAGCTTCTACCTCGGCCCAGAAACTAATTGAGTTTACAGCTCGAGTGATATCTCATGACGTCAATTTAAGAACATAGAGAGTAGTTTGTTACCTATGGCTGGCACACTATATCTGCATTCTCTGTGTATATGCGCACGGTATGAATTTTTGGCAAGCTTTATATAATAAACCTCGCTCTCTTTCTGGGCTTTATTTCCATTGTATGGCCCTAGTATAATTTGCCCGCCATATGAGCTCACAACGGGCTGTTAATACGATTAGGGTTACAGCAGATATTAATAATGGCACATCATCACAGCACACACGCATCAACACAGAAGCGGTGGGGTTTTAATGCTATTATCACTGATAGGTGTCCTGTACGAATAAATCACGCCCGGTTCTATATATGCTTTACTTAAAACGTTTCAAAATATGAGAGGTTCATCGAACTTAGTTTCTAGCATGTAGTATCTTGAGGTCTTATCCCCGTCATATACATTTTATTTGCTTGCTACTTTGATTCGTTCTATATATCATATATTGTCTAGTAACAAACCATCTTCAGTTAATCGTAGTGGTTGGCGAAACCGGGAGATATTTGTCACCTCATTCATTTATTCTGAGCCCGTGATACTCACTAGCCCGGTACTAGAACGTCTATGTTTGATGCTATCGCCTCTTGTATATTATTGGTAGCAAGCAGTGCATACTCCGCGATAGGAATCAGATTATAGAAGTAGACGGACGGATGCTATAGAAACTAGGGGGTTGAGACCGGGAGGGAGAAGCAGTTATTAGTAAGAGAAGCGATTGAGACTGCTGAAACCAATTTTCGCATTCTAGGGCATCTCCCTGCGTACAGCTTCTGCGTCATTGGTATTAAGGGGAACGCTTATTGTTCCTGTAGTCGATCCTTCAAAGCCAAGAACTCAAATTGAAATTTAGATTTCCTCTAGTAGATCACCGCCTCGCCCTCCCGTGGTACAAATCTAAAGCCAACGAGGTTTAAAACACCCCTGAACAACATATTAGCCAACAGACCTGATCAACTCCGCACGCCATGCACAATCCCCATAATACGGAATAGGTCTCCGGCATCAGGCATCGGTGTAAGTGTGATAGTAGCGGGTCGTTTTGTCCTGTGATATCTCTGAGATATCCTCTCGGTGTGCTATTGGCGGCAATGTCAATATGATGTATCATCGACCCAGCGCCTTTCTATGCCTACAACTGCAGAAAAGTCCTCCTTCTCTAATTTTGACATACCAAAGCTCAAGATCCCCGGATTATGTGAACTGTATGCGCGTAAATACAAATGCGTGGCTACAAAGTGACACGCGGGATCCGCGCATACCAAACAATATGCATACTGATCGTTGACCCCCCCCGATAACGAAGATTCTGCACAATTCTCACCACGCACCTAGCCGCTGCATAAGTGCTACAAAGCCTCCATCTTGACAGTTATCTGGAGTTCAGTGGCCTGGATGAATGATGCATGTCGATTGGCTCATTAGTTGTAACTGCACTTACTGTGCCTACATCATGCACAAGCGCGGACTCATCCCTCGAGTCACTGTTAATATCAACCATACAACCGGATCCCTTCCAAAAATCATCTCGCGATAACGAGTCATCCTAATGCGGGGCTTTTGTGGGGGAAACTATGGAGGTGAGAATCCGATTGGACAGGTGTAACGAGTGAGAATCCATGTCTGTAACCGGAAACATACCGAAACGCGGGGGTGTCAGAAATGCGGAGGTTTATGTGATCGATAGGCTCAGAATAAACAAGATGACTTGTAAAAACTATGTTTATCCTCACAGATTGATGGTCCCTTCTTTCCTCCGGTCCCCTCACTAAGGCGAAGCACTTGCGTGTTCCCCTCCGCCTAGCCTGCGATGGTCATCGGCATCGACAGCATGTGATCTACCCCTCCGGCTCCGACAAATAATTACATTCGTATCCGACCCAAGCCCAAGGTTTTAGGTTTGGCTGTATGTCCGTGATCGATAATCGCTCACCGCTAGGTAGGTAGCCAAGGTCCGTGTAGTGGTGAAGCTTCGCCCGAGCCTCTAATCATGCCATATGCGTGCCCTGGGTTTTCTTTTTCAGGCCCCTTCATACATGACCATTTCAACTAGTGCTTATGTATTTCTGGGGCTAACTAGTGAAAGTAGCCAACCAATGATCTCAGCTGCCCAGGGAGATCTTCCTGGGCGAAACGAGGTGGCGTAGATAATGCAGTCCAAGTGGGAACAAGTGCGCGGTCATGAGAGCTTGCACGATGCTTCATGCTTCATGTCATATCACTCGCCTAGCAACAGCGATGGGAGAAGCACACAGTCCCTTAATTTCCACTCGTTCATATGAGTGTTGATCCTTTCTGAAGAGGTGTGCGCAGTGCCACATTTCAATATCAAGGTTCTTCGCGACCGAACCGGTTCGGTATCCTGTTCTGCCCGTTGTTTGCATGTTCCACGGGTATCGTATCGTATCATGTCTAAGTATCCCGACCGAACGACTTCTCGAACAAGACCACAAACCAACTTAATCCTAGAGTCGTGATCATAATAAAAGCGCCACTCCGGATCTTAGCCGTGGCTAGCCAAAGATCTACAAGGTTCACCGATTAACAGCACCCCTGGCCTCCGCAATTCTCAGGTCCTAGTCCTAGTATCCAATAACAATACCTAGTAGGTACATATACGACCGTATATACAGAACGATATCGATACCTGTAAGTCTAGTTGTTGATTCCTTTCAATCGGAAATTGCGCATCTCGATATAGCACAAGACATCACCACAGGCCAGCCGTTTGAACGGCCACGTGCATGCAGCGCAGTCGTATGATGTTTTTACCATCATGGGGGAAGGGGGGTTGCCATACTATACGGTTTAGATAAAAGTACGTCACTCGCAGATAATACTTCGGCTCCAAATCACCGGCCGTCGCGAGGCGGGTAGCCAGATCTTTGGTATCGCTGTATGCAGTGCGGGTTGTGTGTGTGTGAGCACAAATGCGGCCTAACTCCCTTCTTCAATGTTTATTAAAGTTGTTGTCCTGACATGAAACGGGCAAAATTCCAAAATTCTGCTGCGTACAGCGGCGGCGGTGAAACGGTGGAAACGGTGGGACAATATTCTTTCCTTTTCCTAATATTTAAGCGGCAGGTACCACTAATATGCACATCTACTCCTATTTGTGCATGTGTGACACTTTAGAAGTAAGGATTTATATTTATATATGATCTTGTTATAGGTGTACGTAAGTAATGCCATTATTTCTTCTTGTTGAGTGTGACTGAGTAAATATTAGTGTTTCATGTTTCAACGATGTTTGGTGGAATTGACGTCCTCCATTAAGTACTGTAGGTATTTATTCATCCACGAAGATTAATGTCGGAGGTGACTTCCTCTCCATAAGGAAGTTCAGGCAAAAAAAGCGACCTTTCTTTCCTCGGGAAGCTTATCGTGACTACCTAAGCGAGCAGCAGGTCCGGGCTGCAGGGCAGGGTGTGGTGGATACCGGTCGTCCTTGTCCTTGTCCTTGTCCTTGTCCTTGTCCTTGTCCAGGGAGCCCTAGTTCATGCTGTTATCTATTCCAACTGCATCTACCGCGAGCTGCCCTATCCCCCTATGAAGGTTCTTGGGGGTAATAATTCTCCGAGATGCAGGAGGGGCCATATATGGGCATGTATATTAACTGTGATACTCGGGACTCGAGTAGTACCTGAAGATGTAAATGTGTTAAATTTAGTTATGTGTGTACCGACCACGATTAGAGTTGGCGTTCGTTATGAAAAGTTATTTATCGCGGCTTCATGTAGTTTTGTTTCGGCCTGCCATCACTCCAGTATGTTGATTGGGTGGACGGTTCGGCCAAACTACTTATATTATGTAGCCACCGTACAACTAACACAAACGGCACTTGGGTTTTCACTTCTTTTTCCCACTCTGTCTCGTTTCGTTTCATTCTATCATCGGTCATCGGTCATCAGGGGGGGCAGAACTACATACCACCAATTTAACTAGAGTAGTTAACCTATCAATTGGGCGAGATGAGATGATGAACCATCAAATTTCGAACGGGTTATTTCCGACTCGTCCGTCCGTGTGGCCATAGTGTGTGCCGCCGTTTTTTTTTTGTTTCCTATTCGATGTTTCCTTCTGTTGGTTGAGTTGGTGGGTGCTACAGGGTTCTGGGATGAAAAGAGGAAGATGAGGCCAGGCAAGATGGGATTGGGAGAACGCACGGACACATAGCCGAGACTTGGGGGTGGGTTTTGCCTTGGGTTGTTTCTTTTTTTTCTCTCCGCCAAGGCTGCAGGACGCGGAGTCACGTTATCTCCGCATTTATTTGATGTCCTTTGATAACTTCCACGTCGTCCCCCTGTGCTGGACAGGCGCAAATATTGCGTGCGTGCGTGCGTGAGTTAAACTAAAGAAGAGTAGACTGTCTCGAGAGTAGAGTAGTTATCTCATGATGTGCCGAGGTTGATTACTGTTCATGTCAATAGAGTTGGAGATTGGATCCATGGAGTCTTGGGGTTCCCGAGAGTTGGAACTCAAGAACTCATCCATTATCGGGAAGGGAGGGAAGGAAGGAAGGAAGGGAAGCTTAGAACCAGAGGCCTGGGACGCACGGATTTGTTCGGCGAGGCTTTGAGAAGGAGACGGGTTGGCAGCTGGTCTGGGACAATGTTCATCGTGGAGAGGCCTGTGGGTACGAGTATGATTGCGTGCACTGTTCGTCTGATGCTTCTGTATGGACAGGACGTATTTAGAGAATCAATGCTACCTCAATTGGGGTTTCGTTCGAACCTCAACCTTGCCAATGGCAGTGGCATATGGCGGGGGACACCTTGAGACGGAGTGGTTTCGGGAGTCAACCTCAACCGCTAATGACTTTCTCCAACCACACCCTAATTTATTTTTCTCTCTGTTATTCGATAGTTCTGCTTCTTCTCTACAATGTGACAGAGCCAGATTAATTCTATCTTTCGTTGTGGTGGTGCTATGAATATTCTAAAAGCTGGGTTTTTGGTGGGGGACCCAACCAATGTCGCGCCCATAATTACCTATTTGGGACAGGTAAATTACCCGATTAGGAAAGTCTACATCTAGATACAGCCTTTGAGAGCGCTCAGAGGCTGATTTTGGCGAATTATTATCGGTAAATTGATTAAATAATTGCCCGATTGGGAAAATTGATCGTCAGAAACCAATGTCGCCACTGCAGACTTCACATGCTGACCATCTTCATCTGTCAAAGAAAAGTTCTCTATGGTGTTTAGCTGGGCCAAGAAGCTTGAGAGCACTTGCGCCCTTGCTTAGGAGCAGAGCGCATACCTAGCGGACGGCACCACAACTGACTGATCGTTGGCTTCATCTCCAATCCCGTCCTGTCAAGGCCCAAAGAAGAAAGTACCCCCAGCAAGTTGAACTGGAAAGGGAAAGCCCTTCTCCCAGACAGCAAGGAGCACCCTGTCCATCTCTCTCTTCTCGGGCGGGCCACCCTCTAACTAGGAACAGGTCGTACCCCTGTTTCTCCCGGGCATAGCTAGCACCGTGCAGCTTCGCCAAAAATTCTTTTTCGTTCGTTTTTTCTCTTCATGTAACCTCTCGACTCCCCTACCTATGAAATGGCCCACCATTCATCCCTACTTCCATACACACCCACCCCCCACGGAATATGGTTAGCGTTAGGAAGTACCTACATAGATGGATGTGAGGGATGGGATGGGGGAAGATGAAATAATATTATTTTTTGGCTTCTTTTGGGAAGAGGTGATAGGGAACGCCCCTTTCTCGAAGGCAGCAGATCTCTTTTTTTTGCTCAGTGCATTGCATGCATCCCCATCGTCGAGCTTTGGCATCACCGGGAGAGCAGCAGCGAGTACCTACATAGCAGTTTATTCGAACGAGTGAGCGTTCAGAAGGTCCCGGAGAAGGTACTCCATCCATTCGGAATAAACTCGTAGCACAATTGGGATTGGCCTACTGAGGAAACATCATCATCATCATCAGCTTGGGCAGACATCTCAAACCTCCTCCTCCGCCTTTAGCATCGTCATATTGACCTTCCTCCCCCCAGCTCCTATCTATCATCTTTGCCCCCTCCACCCCCCTCCCTCCTACCTCACTCACTCACTCACTCTCTCACCCAGTCGTTCTCCCACACGAGACTCGCCGCTCCTTTCTACACTCTCCCTCCCACTCCTTCAGCCTCCCCCCCTCAGCCTCCTCTCGGCCTCCTCACTCTGTAAATACCCTTTATTCAGTGGCTCCTGAAACCACTAGCTTTCTCGAAAGCTCCCTCTAATCCCGGACTGCCATCTACTCTTCCCCAGGGGGGTTGCTGGTACCTTACATACATACTCTACATAGCTAGCTAGCAAGCCTTCCAGTCCACCTGCTACTTCCAAGCCCATCAATTGCATATTATATCCCCCCCTCCCACATCTCAGGCGCGCGTCTGTTTTGAGCGAATAGAACCTGGTGTGTTATCCGTGCGAGTCCTCCGGAAACTCGCTGCTGGCTGTCTGCTTGTCGAGGATCAAACGCTCCTCCGCTTCCCCCTGCAGCCACCCTGCGGTCCGAACTGTAAACATCACTACTATCACTACAAGTTCCTAACAACGACCACAACCCCACGAGAAACAACACTCCCGAAGCGTAGAGGGTTACAAAGTGGTATGCCGACGCTGCTTTATTCGTCGTTGTTGTTGACGACAGCAACAGCTTGATTGCTACCCTACTACTGAAATAGAAAAATAAAATAAGAGCCACCCCCGAATTCGATTGTAGTTAGTAGCCCTAGCCTAGTTTGGAGAGTCTTATTTCACGGACGGACGGGCAGCTACAGAAAAGCTAACGGAGACACAACGGGGGGAAAAGGAACAGGTCCGATCTCCATCCCGTCGCCATCGGGAGGCTGCAGCTTCTCTATTCATTCCACTTCTCGCCCTCTCTCTACTATCACCTACCTCTCTCTTTCACTCTCTACCTGGGTCGTCGATAGCTTGTGTTTATTGCTGCTTTCGACAGTTCTTCTCTTGGTTCGAGTCTTGTTTAATTCCCTTTCAACGGCTAGAACGCACCTTCATTTAGTTATTCTTCTTTTTTGCCATCTTTGTTGCACCCCCCGAAGTTCAATTGAGTTGAATAGGTAATACAGCAGTTGGCTCTATTGATCTCCCCTTCAATGTACAGATCGACTGATGCATCATGCGAGTAGTTCGTCTCACGTCTGGGACCGGATTGTCCTCCAAGCGTTCATCAATTTCTACTGTATCGGGACCGTGAACGAAATTTCGAAAGGCATCACGACACAATTTTATTCTTTCTTTTAGCTCCGCAACGCCCCCCCTTCGAAAGCTCTGATTTTACGAATAAGAATAAAAAAGATCTGCTGCCTGAATAGAGTAGACTGGATAGCTACATTTCTTAAATTTCACGAACACGGCCTACTAGAAAAGTTTTTCTGTTTATATAAATCTCCTTCCCTACCCACCCGCCTTCAAGCTTCGAAAATCTCAATACACCATCTTCCAACAAGCAGTTCTTGATTGATCTGCTCAGATTAATACCGAACGCTACGCCACAATGGGTGACCACTTGACTGTTGACTACGATTCCGATGAGGAGTATACAGATTATGCCACAGACGCACCTTTACCGACGCCTTCACCCACACCCTTCCGAACGCCCCACCCGTCCCGGCACCACAGTCGGCATGCAACGCCTTCACCCACACCGTCTGGATACTCGGCCTCCGGCAGTCCTCCGGCTACAAATGGGGGCCGGGCTTCCCCGCTACATCGTATAAACACCGGGCACCAGCAGCACAGCCATCATCACCAACTAGCATTCGATGAGACAATATCAATCCTCGACCCCCGACGATTCACACCAACACTACATGCCAACCTCGTTGCGGAGATTCTTTCATTACGGCGTGAATTGGAAGCAAAGTCAAATTGGGTCAATACACTAGAAGAGGACCTGCACGAAGCTCGAAATGAACATGAGACGGCAGCAACTACTGCTGTCACGGCGCAACGGGAGGCTAGGGATATCAAGCGTCAGTTGGCAAGGGCCGAGAACGATGATGCCGTAGAGATTGTAGCGAAGGAAAGGGATGAAGCTGTTAATACTGTGGCCGAGCTCAAAAGGCAGGTTGAGCGGTTGACCAAATCAAGGCGTGCAGCTGAAGAGGATGTAGAGCGGATGAAGAAGGAGGCTGAACAAGAGAGGGAGGAGTTCGAGGCTATAAAAAGGGCACTTGAAAGAAAAGTACATGTCGCTGAAGGGCGACTGAAATCTGTTCTGGACGAAGTAGCAGCAACGAATTCTCTGCCGCCGCCTCAGCCGCCGCCTCCTGAGATAATAGAGGATCATGAAGATGCAAATCAGTCAGAAATCGAGCAGAGTGATGCAGCTAGTATCCAGGAAAGTATGCGGGATAGCTTCATTGGCCGACCAACTAGCTGGAAGATGGGCGACGACGAGGCAGAGCGATTAGGCATCAGGTTTTCAGTGGCCCCTAACGCTGGAAAGAGCTTGGCAGATGAGTTGAATTTTGACGACGATGAGGATGACGAGGAGGGTCTCGAAGAATATGATGAGTACGATGAGGATGACCGCACCGCCGAATTTTCCTTCGCTGAGGACACTGCGCTCTCGGCGAATGGGCCAGACAATGGGTTGCAATCCGCGGTAGAGGAGAATGGTCAAGAGGAAGAAAACGAAATGACAGCATATCATGAAATGGGAGTTCAGGTCGACATTGATGACACTCAAGAAATCCAGGAACAAGAGTCAAAAGAAGAACAACAGCAACTACACCAAGAATCCGAAAAACAGGTCGAACGCCTTGATATTCTTGGGCTTGAGATTGAAGAGAAGCTCGCCGAGTTGGAGCGAACCTATGTGGAGCTCGACCGAAAGACACAGGAGCTTGACAGCATCTACAATGAAGTTGACAGGGCTCATTACAGGATCGTGGAACTTGAAGAACAGGTCGACAAGATGGACGAGGAAGCCGCTGAAAGGGAGGAGTTCATTTCTAACCTGAAGAGAGATCATGCGGAGGAGATCAAAGTGTTTGAGGCCAGAGGGAAAGAGGTGGAGGAGAAGTGGACAGCATTGCAAGTGCAGGAAATCTCACTCGGAAAGACTATCGAGGAAAGATCTAAGAGTCTTGATGAGCGGGAAGCACTAATCATTGCAGCCTCAACCCCGATTGTTGTCGAAGGCGAGCCAACAGAAATGTCTCTTGAGCAAAGATCAAAGGAGCTTGACGATCGACAAGTCGTTATCAACGTACAGAAAGCGAGCCTTGATGAGCGTGAGAAGCTTTTTGAAGAGCAGAAGTTGAGTCTTGAAAAACGGGAAGCATATATTACCGAGCAGGAGGCAGCCATTATCAAGAAGGGTAATAACATTATCCAACGGGAGTCGACTGTTATAGAACAGCAGACAACCATTACCCAGCAGATGCAAAACCTTGTCGAGCAGAAGAAAACACTCGATGAACGCGAATCAAAACTTAACGATCGGAAAGCGGCTTTTGAACAGAAAGACGCGGGTCTCGTTGAATGGGAGAGCAAACTTGACACCCAGAGCGTCGCCATCGGAGCGCAGAAGACAATGATTGCCGAGCGGGAGAAGAGTCTTGACGAACGAAATGCAGCCCTTGATCTTCAGAGGACAACTCTTGAAGAGCAAAAGGTAGTGTTTGAAGAGCAAAAATCAACACTCGAGGAACAAAAGACGGCTCTCGAGGAGCAAAAGGCGGCTCTTGAGGCGCGAGTGACATCCCTTGATGAGCGGGAGGAGGAACTTGATGAACGTGAAGCGGAACTCGACGATCAGGTGACCACCGTCCTCGAGCGGAAGTCAAACCTCGATCGACGAGAGCTAAGTCTTAACGAACGGCATGATGCCCTCCAGGAATGGGAAGGAAATCTCAACGAGGCGGAAATTAACCTCGAGGAAAGAGAGAAAGCATTTGCCGAACGAGAGGCACTTGGTGTTTCATCTCCAATCTCGATCGATGATAAGGCTAAGACGGAAGCTGAAATTGAGGGCAAGGAAAGAGACGGGGAATATGAAGCAAACGAGAGGCGAAAGAGAAGATCTACCGGGGTTTCCCTGATGACTCTCTCCTCCCCGGTTGCAAACATACCAACTCCGATGTACGTATCTTGCGAGTCGCAAACCACCCCATCATACACATCCGTCAAATCGCAAACAAGTCCGCCGTATGTGTCTGTCGAGACCCAGGTCAGCCCTGCGTATGCTTCTACCGAGACTCAAGCTAGGCCCGAATATGTTTCTGTCGACGCACAGGCCAGCCCGCTCTATGTATCCGTCGACGCCCAAGCCAGTCCAGTATATATTTCCGTCGAGGCACAAACCGGCTCGCCCTACGTCTCCACCGAGATACAAACGAATCCTCCTTATGTTTCTACGGAAGCCCAGACATGCTCCTCATACGTTTCTACAGAGTGTCAGGCTAGCTGGGAATATGTGTCTGTTGAAGCGCAAACAAGCTCAGACTATGTCTCGACAGAAGCTCAGTGCAATTCAGAGTATGTCTCTGTCGACATGCAGACTTCATCCCCCCAATGCATTTCTGCTGAGTCTCAAGTTACTCCAATGTATGCAACGACTGAATCACAAACGGAGGAACTTGTTCCACCCCCCATCCCCCCAAGGAGAGGTTCACCAGTCCCACCCATGTCGCCCATCTCCCCTGCTGTTGAAATGCAAACAATAGGAGTCCAAACCGAACCAATACGGCCACCACCTCTAGCTCGGGTCATCCCAACAATTGCCGTCATTCCTCCTCCGCCCACCCCACCGTTACCGCCCCCCCCACCACCTGTTATGAAAAGTGCTTCTGCTCAGACAATCGCGAAGCCACGAACGAGAAGTCGATCGATGCAAACTGAGGAAATCAGACTTGATGAGAGGCTGATGAAGATTGCCCCTCATCTTCATCCATCAGCAATCATGGCAAGCCATCCTCCGGTTCGTCCTGTTCAACTTGAGGATATTCCCCCTAGTCCACCCAAGAAGAGTTCAAGAAGGAGTATGGTCAAACGGTCTTCTACGATGGGCCCCATCTCCGTTACGACTTCAGGAACAACCCCAAGATCAGTGCCAATGGTTGATAGTGGTCATGGGTCCGCATTCTTCAGTTCACCGCCTAGGTCTGATACCTTTATGCAAAGCCCCGATAAAGAACTCAGTAGACGAAGTTTCGGGTATCCTGATGTGCCTGGCTCTTCTGGGGATGAGTTTTTGGACGATGCTGAGCTCAGCGTCAATGAATTCAAGACCGCACTATCAGCGCCAAAGTCGAAGAAGCCTAAGTCTACACCGCATGCGAATCTCAACAAACCCTCACCTATCGAAACCTCAGCCCCAAAACCAGGAGGCGGTCTTCAGAGGAAGGGTGCTACTATCCGGAAGACAGCACTGATTTCCAGCGGCTCCCAGGCTCATAACCGTCCTAGAAGTCCAAGTTTCGAGAGCAATCGCACTAGTGAAAGTGGCGGCACAAAGATTGGGCCACCCTTCCCCGTACCAGCTCGTCATAGTTCTAGGAAACCCGGTGGATATGGGAGCCACCCTCGCAATGAAAGTCCTACCCCAATGCCAATTGGGTTTTCTAGAAGACCAACTCAGCCTAGGCATCAGAGGGAGTCCTCAGTCCAGTCGATCCGAAAGGTCAGATCTGCAACTGCTTTGCCAAGTTTGAGAACTTCAAACGGCAGAAACCGATCACCGCCGCCCTTGAGCGCCTCGTCCATTGCTCCTGATAGCCCCATGTTGCCTTTTCGTAGGGACGAGATACGTGCATCCGCGTTTGAGAGGCCAAAACATGGCTCTATTAAACATAAGCGCGTGGAGAGTATAACTACATCAACCTCAGCGACTACCAACGGCAACGCCTCTGTTGGCAGTACTATTCAACAGACCAGTGTTGTAGATGCAATTGCACAGACTATGGTTGGAGAATGGATGTGGAAGTATGTTAGACGCAGGAAATCCTTTGGTGTTGCCGAATCCCCGCAAAACGACGATTCCGCAGGTGGCCAACGTCACAAAAGGTGGGTATGGCTCGCCCCGTATGAACGAGCCGTCATGTGGTCCAGTCGCCAACCTACGAGCGGAAACGCCCTACTCGGGAAGAGTGGCAGAAAACGTAAGCCATCAATCCTCCAATCCCCCGCCGGCCTCAACCGCGCTCTGGACAAAGTACTGACCAGCAAAGTCCCGATTCAATCGGTTCTGGACGTGAAGGACGAAACACCCCTGCCAAAAGGCGCAGATCCGTCGAAGCCTCTGTTCAATCGTAGCATCTTGATCCTTACCCCAGCAAGGGCGTTGAAATTCACCGCTCCGAATAAGGAAAGGCATTATGTTTGGTTGACGGCATTGAGCTTCTTGTCACACTCGCCGCAAGGGAGTGAAGGGCTATTAGCTCTGCCGCCGCCAATGCCATTTGAATATGAGCAGGTACAGCATCAACAGCCCTCAGTCCCAACCAGGCCTCCCGTTCCACCGATCCCAATGCACCGCGATGCGCCGTTCCACCCTGTCCGTGACTCCATTCGTCTTGCGAAGGGAAAGTCCCGACAGAAGGCGGCAAAGGTCAACGGGTTCCCCCCACGCAATGACTCCATCCTTGAAGTTGAGAGCATCAGGAGCGTTGGGTCCTCCACTGCTGAGCCCCCGAGCATTCCTCGTTTCCCGGGTCAACACACTCGGAAGCGGAGCAGCTCTGCAGTACGCCCTGGAACCCACCGTTCTATAAGCAATGGATATGATCCAGCCATGCTCTCATCTTTTGGCGGCAGTAACACTGCGGACTACTATGGTGCTCCCTTAATGGGTGTTGGCGGTATTGGCATCGTTACCGGTAATTCGTTGCTTTCGGGCCACCCTAACCCTCCTTTGGGTAACTGGGATAATGGGCCAGTTGGAACCGTGCGCATGGAGGCCTTTGTTGAGAGGCCAAGGTATGACTTTGATGATGAGGAGGAGTATGGGTCTAGGTTCAGACGTGACCGTCGCAGCTCTAGACAGAGTCACTGGAGCGGTAGCATTGACTATGCCGGATCTCCAGGCCTAGGCCCAGCGAGTAATGACGAAGGTTTCTGGAGGGGAGAAGATCCTTTTAGTGGATTTTAATTGTGGTGGTAATTGTAAAAGTTAATGTGTTGTAGGAGTGTCAGGAGCTAAGTGTCCTACGGATAAACGAAGTGTACTATACCGGTGTTTGTTTCTTTTAGTACTGTTACATGGCGATACCTTTATACGTTTGTTTTTGGGCATTGATAATAATGCTTATATTTTCCGGTACTTGAGGTTCTTTATCTCTTCTTCATCTCTTCCTTTTTCTCTCTATTTCTTTATAAATGATCTCTTTTCTTTCTTTTGTAAACTGGGGCTTCTTTTTTGGGCGCGACATGGGAGATTGGTTAGTGCTCTCAACGAGCTGGCAGTTTTTTGTTTGTAGTTGTCTCTTGCGTTTCTCATGACGGGGTTTTGCGTTGCGTTTTTCCTTTTCTCTATGGTATTTCAAAAAAAGACAGGAGTTCTTTTTCTCGCATCTCATCTTTCCTTTTTTCTTTCATATCTATTTGTTTGCTTTTTATCATGATATTAATGGCGATCATATTCATACAGTTAGGCAGGCTAGGGAAGGGAAGGATGGTAGGGTTTTGGGGAGGGTATGTAGTTTACATTTAGTCATCCTTTTTTCCATTTCTTTCAATTCTTCTCCGTTCTTGTATCATCATGAGCCCTTTTTTTTCTTGACGGCGTGCGCTCTGCTGGGGGGCTGGGGGTATAAATTCTTTGTTGTAATTTTTATTCTTAGTATCGTAACCCAGTAACCAACCCCAGCCAGCTTTGGAGAGCATCGATCGAGCAATCTGGTTTTTTTTTTTCTCTCCCTGCATTATAGATTCTGACCCGCCGGGTGGGGTGTATGTATTTTTCGTAGATGCAAATTCACGTATATATATTTCGGCCTGCGCCATGTTTGGTGAGGATGGAAAACGACGTCGATAGCTTGCTTCCATGGACTGAGAGGCTTGCTAGGAACTTAAGACATAAGTGAGCTATTAGCATATATGTTTGGTTCAAGACACCAGTGGCAGCCCCCAGAGACCCAAAGCTTTTAAGTGGAGAGGAGGCTACTCCAGGTATTTCCCCGGCCGGGCTTCAGGCCTGCCTTGAGTACGCTACGACCATCATACCACATTACTCAGTGAGGACAGTCGTTCAATCGCTCTTTTTTTCGTTGTCTTTTTACGGAGGGCTGGTGTTTTTTTTTAGTAAAGGCCGGGGGACTCAACCAATAGAATTAGACTCCACGCCTTCCGTCATACAAAAGGCTCAAAAACACCAATCTCATCCTTTTCAGCTCCGCGATCACCATGGCTCCCGAAAGAGACCACAAGCTAGGCATAGGAGCTCGCACCATAACTAAGGCCAGACCCAGGGCAGCGGGAGGCAGAGAGAACCATCTAATACTGGCTATCGCCGGTCGGTGGTGGACCTGTTGAAAATCGGATCGCGGAAGGAGGGTCGGAGATTGTGTGGTTGCGGGGGCCAGTGAGAGTGAGGTTGCCCTCGGATCCTTAAGAGGTGATCACGTCAAATGAAGCTGAGGTTGCTTTCTTGTGCTATGTATGGATGGGTGGGGCCTTGGCGCCTCCAATCATAAACGTATAATTTCATCGAGTGATAGCCCGTGATGCGTTGTTCCGTCGCAACATGACAACATCAGGATCCCGTCACCCCCGTGATCGTCGATACACCCAAGATGTGTATGATTCACCAGGAATAAGGGTCTATCTTCATGTGCTTGGGGCGGGCCGATCCTGCTAGTCTTGAGATGTTATCTCCGGTTGACCTTTACATTTCGGACTTCAGGTGGCCGATTGATTAGACCCTTCCTTGTAGCTTGCCACTGATCGGCATTACCCAGTTTTGGTAACCCAAAGCAAATGGATTATTTTCACCACCAACACTGCTGCTAAATTCTTATGGATTTGAGACAAGATGTATCTACTTGCATCTGAATTTTATCATAAAAAGGTTTTGTGATTCTACAAACGTTAGACGCAGTGGAGATCTAATTTCAGATTAGCCCTCTCTCTAGGAGAGCCGGATCCCAGATCCCTCAGCGTAAAGGCTCTGTTGATCTCAAGAAAAGGAAAATCACTAAAAAACTCAAATTTTGCAGTCTCCACCCCCCCCCCCCCCCCCTCGTAGCACGTTTGGATACTTAAGTTATCCTGTATCTCGGTTTTGTCTCGGTTGACTTCAGGTGCTGGACTGGTACCTCCATGACGAAAAAGAAAAAGAAGGGACTATGGGACCAATACCAGATACCTAAATATACCCCCATTAACAGGCACTAGCGCTTGTATCGCTCTTCGTCCTGTGAAGCTACTCCGGTTTGCTGCGTATAGGGCGCAAGCGTATAAGTGCATGTGGTCACTGGTTATTCATCACACATTATCACTCGGTCTATATTCACAGTCTGTGGGGTAAGTTACAAGTCAACTAACACCATTGTACTTGTATCTATTGGCTTGAAAATAACGTGCATTCGCAAAGAAAGAAAACCCATTTAAAAAATAAAAAAAAAAACTCCAATTATAGCAATATAAACCCTAAATCCAAAAAAGATCAATGCTCCCACAAACCCGACAGTCCTTTCCCCCATTACTACCCATACCCCACCCCCGCTTCATAGAAAAACAAACCGAAAACCAAAAACACTACAAATACACACTCCAAAGCACAACCTCCTCACTCCCGGCCTCTCTCACCACACACCGGCACCAACTTCACCCCACCAAAGCTCCACCCACCAATCCACTGCCTCTCCTTCTCAAACACCTTGTTAATGATGATCCCCACCTCGCCCTCCAGACCCACACTAATCTCCACATCGCTCCTTATCTCGAACCATCCCTTACCCTCGCGCGAGCTCCACATATCCTCATCAATTCTCACTCGAACCGCATCCGGGTGCAGAATCACGGACCCGATGTCGGCCGAGATAACGGGGTCCACATAGCGGTGCACAAACGTCCTTGTATCGTACGGCTTGCCTGCCGAGAAGATGAGGTTTACGGGCGGCTCGGCGTCGCGGCCGGCGGCAGCGCTGGTGGAGATGCCTTTGCCGGCCTCGGGCCATGCGTGGTGGAAGTTGCGCACCTGCGGGGAGTCGACGGGGCTCTTTGGGTCCTGCGTGTACAGGCAGATGACGAAGCGGACGCTGTAGCGCCCCTGCGGGACGTTCCTAATGAGCGTGCGGAGGCAAATGTTTTCGGCGCGGACGCAGGTGATGACCTGGGCCTCGCTCCTGTTGCCATCACCGTCGAGGTCGATCTCGACGGGGATGGTGGGGCCCTCGAGAGACAGGCGCCGCAGCTCCCTCCCCTGCTCGCTGTCCTGGTTGGGGTTCATTCCGAGCGGGTAGCCCGTCTTCAGGTCGAGGTTCTCCATGAGCCAGCATGGGACACCCGGGTTTGCGGAGTCCCGCGTGTGGAATCCGTCGCCCTTGAGGCCGACGGTGAAGCGCCCGGCGGAGCATTCAATCACTTTGGGCCCGGCGGAGAGGCGGGCGAGCGTGTCTGAGAGCTTTCGGCAACGGATCTTTTGGTCGGGGTCTTCCATGTAGCGGCGGGATGCGCTGGCCATCTCGTCTTCGCGCATCCATTGCTCGAGCGAGATGTCGCCCATGCCGGTGTCGACGTCCCAGCGGTAGTACTCGGTTTCGGTGCCTCTGTACATTCTCTGCACTTCGTTATCAACTCGGGTGGTGCTGGTGGCCATCTGTAGGATTGCGCCGGCGACTGAAAGATCATCGTCAAGCCCGAACGGGAGCCAGCCATTGTTGCTTTGCACACTCGGAATTGTCTGCAGTCCCGTTCCAATGCTGACAACACAGCCAACTGATCTTCCTTCCCAGGTGGACTTGGCCTGGTTATCAATCTCAACACAAGGAGAGTTATATCCAAGGCCACCATCCATATATGTGATCTTGGGGCAGCCAAATGAGATCTCCTCAAAGAAAGTAGGCGCTGCTGAGGTAGCGCGAAGCGCCTGCCAGACCTTTGTTGGATCATTGGGATCGCTGGTAAGGAAGAGCCTGGGGACTCCAACAGCATGCTTATACACCGCGACTACCAATCCATGGCACCCAGCCCCTGTGGGCTCTTTGATAGAAGTAGCAGGAGCGGCTATCTTGGAGACGGTTGGTTCGGGCTGTTGAGGAATTGCGAGGCCAGTACTCTTACGGCCTTTTAGCAGTGACAGAGATTGTCTCGCTCCTCCCGCAGTGGAAGAGATCGACATTCTGTTTAGACTGAAACGGTTCTTCTTATTGTCCATGATCTCTTGAACTTTACCGCCTTCCGCAACCTCCATTTTGGGCATATTTCCAGTCGAAATTCGACCAGAACCCTTGCCGCCATAACCAATCATTCGTTCCTGCTCCTCCTCCCTGAGCGATAGTGTCTCATCCCACATCCTCTCCTCAGGATCAAAGCCATATTCTTTCAGAACATCCTTGATGGCCTTCTCCAGCACGTCCCCGGAGAATCTTGTGGGTGCAAACAGTCTCAATTTCATGCCCAGAACGTTCACGCATCTGTCGTTCTTGAAGACCCTCTCGGCCAGCGAGGTGTAGATCTTGATGCATGTTGGCGCATCGAGGCGGAGCCGGGAGAGGAGAATTGCAATTATACCTCCGGTCGAGGTGCCTCCAATGAGGTCGAAATAGTCGCAGGGCTTGAGTGGCGTGTTGTCTTTGGGGGAGCGGAGATTGAGTTTCTTCTCGCTGTTGGAGACCTCGGTCATTATATCTTGAAGAATGAGGAGGGAGCTGAGGCCGCGGACCCCGCCACCATCAAGAGAGAGGAGACGGAGTGGGGGCAGATGGGAGCTAGACATTATATTGCAATTGCCGAAAGGAAATCTAGTAGTAGTGTAAATGAAATATAAAGATAATTATATATATATAAGTTGTTATAGACGTTTTTTTTTTCTCTTCAGAAAGCCGAATCTGACAGTGGTTATATAGCTATAGAAGTAAGGGAACAGAATAAAGATAAAGAGAAGAGAATTTATATATGTAAGAAGTTAGACGAAGAAGACCCTGATCAATAACTACCGGTCGACGGCAATGAGTGCAGTACGTGAGATGATGCTGCTTACTTACTATACAGCCTACTCAGAAATATCGCGAACCTAGTTCAATGCCCATCAGCACCCTAATTGGAAATTCATATTCCCTGCACAGCCATAGCTGAAAACCTACCAATGCAATGTAATGATAGGAATGCTGGCGCTTATTCTTCAAAGCCGGGATCTGCGCCATCCGCTCCATTCACGGATAAGCAAGGCATCTTTGTCCCATCGTAGCTTTTCAAACGGCGGTTTTTCGAAACAGTTTGCGCAGAAAGCAAGAAATCTAGCGCTGCGTTCCTAACTATTGGCTCGACCTTAATTGAGGCGTTAAATATGGTGTGAAGGGCGCATAATTAATTAGTTATTTAGACAGGCATATATCCGCTTAGGTACTTTACCGTTGAGAACTTACCTGCATACATGTATATAAGGCCAAGACATCTGGACGAGTGGGTGGGTGGCCCCTGCATATTGCCTTACTTCGCTTCGCTTGCGAGCGATTAAGGGAGCTTATGCCGTGCTACTCTGCTACTCTTGGAGATATGGTACTGTATGTATTTTTTTTGTTTTTGTTTAATTCATTAATTGCATTGGTACTGTATGTACTCTAGAGAGCCAGTTCCGCGGCTATGTATGTAGTACATAAAGGCACTACCCTTAGATAGAGTAATACAGGAGGTGAGCATATATGTGCGAAGTGAGAGTGCTAGATCACTACGTATATACGGGCTCGGGGACGAGAGTCCTAGATCACTTGACTGCAATTGACTGTTCTTTTTGTGCGGCATCATTAACCTGGGTCCGTAAAGTCAAGAATCAAGATTAAGCAGACAAGATCGTCATAAGAAAAAACGCTGAAGCCTCAATATATTGGTTTTGAGACATACAAAAGGCTTCTTTTTGCTATGTTTCGGATCCTGCGGTTACTCACTCACTTCTGTGAAGCTAACGGACTTTCTTCTTTCCGCCGGAATCTCCCACGGGAGTGTCCCAGCTTGATCTCAATTCGTGGAGGTAAATTTCCTTTCTTTTTGACGTGAGCAAGACTATTTCGCACTTGTAATGTACGTTCATAGGTGTTGGGTGAGATTATGTCCCATGACTCTAAGTTCTGACGAGCGGCTGAGGTTGCAATTGTTCCGTTGATGTCATCGGTTTCCAACTCTTATCAGCATCAACGACATCCCTATAATGTATGTACGAAAGAGAGACAACAACAAATGGGATAGATAGAGTAGATAGATGAAGCTGTGTGTGTCAAGAAGAAGAAGAAGACTGGGAGTACGGGAACAAGTGTAGGTAGGATATCCTTGAGATGTCATGTTTGAGTACACATCTCCATCGACCCGCATATGTCCACACAACACTCCATCCACATGCACCTGCCCCGTGTCCAATCAAATTTTTCCCAGGATACAATGTACTCTAACACTAACTCTTCACACATTCTAAAACCCAAACCCGCCCAAGCTCATACCCATGCCCCCCGCCTCTCCCAGCGCAAAATCACACGACGCCGCAAAGTACCTATCAAGCTCCCTGTTCAGCACCGGTGCCAAGAGCGCCGCGAGTCGGCGGTTGCCCCTCAGGAGCGAATTGAGGTCGCCTAGCGACTCGCAGAGGTGGGAGGCGATGAGAAGTATGACCTCGTTGGGTAGGTCTAGTAGCAGCGTCATGATATAGGACGTATGTGTGTGGTTTATATAGAGTATATATACTCTACGGGCCTGCCTATTATATATAGATATGTATAGTGTAGGTACAGTGCGGGCACAAGATACCCACTGATTTTGGGGGGATGTGGGGCAATTTATACGATAGCCTTCAAGTTACCGCAAAATCTCAGGAATAACGAATCGAACTGGACTGGAATATTGTGCTTCGGATTGGTCAAATGCTTGCTGAGCCTCAATCCGACAGACCCAAAGCGTAACTTTTGGTCGTCTTGACCAATGGGTAGGTGGTATTCCAGCCCAGTTCGATTCGTTATTCCTGAGATTCTGCGGTATCATAAGTCGACATTTATCGTCTAGGATAAAGCACGGCGCGTGTATTGATTGATAATGGGGAAATGTCATGAGTACTATTATCAGGGTTAGGGGTTGAATCATGCGAAGTCACTCGTACATATATGGATGTAGCTTATTACTAGGAAGCTATTCTGATTTTTAGGGGCTGGTTCGGCTTCGTCTTGGCGCACCGCCAAGCTAGCCCAAGCATCACCCCCAGCGCAGCGTCCACATGGGCGAGTGGTCTAGTCGGTAGTGGCTAGATTGCTCGTCGGGTACGACACATGAGTTTGAGCGAGGTCCAAAGCCTAAACCAGGGGTGGGGATAGTTTCGAACACTTATAGCCATAATAAGTCGACTTATCTTTTGCCCTTTTTTTAAGCAAAATAGATATGTAGATACTTGGTACATGAGGCACCTATGATTCGTTAAAGAAGCGTGGATGGATGCGTATCCTAGTTTTTGAAGTTAAGAGTGTTGGTAGAATGTATGAGTTTCCAGACCGAGTATACGGACATATATGTATGAAGTATCTATAACTATTAACATTACAAAATAATTCGCAACTAATCGCTACGCGCGCAACAAGCCAAAATAGAGTCAGAAAATTCGTGAGGGTATATTAGAAGATTAACATAAAAGAAAACTAAATGAACTAGTAGTGCCCTTTGTTAACAGTCCCATTGGACCAAACTTTGGTTATAACATCCTTCCAGAGGTTACTAATATCCCTAAAATAATCTTTACTCATTTGAACCCTAAAGTCCGCGGGAGTGTAGATAAAGTCTAGCGGAGTATCTAAATCGTCCTTACCGAACGAATTCATAAGATTAACATTTCCCCCAGTCATAAATGGTGGGATATCTAATTGCCCTGGAAGGAATTCGTTCCACTCAGCAGCTTTTTCAGGGTTGTTTGGGAGCGCGAGATCTTGAGCGGTTGTCTTGAGTGTTGAAAACGCAACGGAAAAACTCCTGTATGTGGATTTTCATTATTAATTTGTACCTTTATTAATAGGAATAGGATACATGCTTACCCTTCGGTTCCACCAAGCATTTGCATTGGGCCTGACTGGGGCCGGCCGCCATAAGCAAAGGTGCGAACTCCAACTCGTGTCATTAATTCCACAAAGATAGCGCACATAGACGCGCAAGCCCCATCGCCAACCTTGATTAGTAGTAGGTTATTAGTCTTCATGATGATAATCAGAAAATGGACAGAGTCTTTACAATAATTATATCTTCAGCAGCCCAGGGAGATGTAGAGTTGCTCATCATATCTCCATTAGTCACCGTAAAGTTCATCGGAAAGGCTTCCTTATCCCTTATGTTCCACCTTGAATAATTCGTAAAAGTATCTCCATAGCTTTCGATAGGTCCATAAAACTCCTCCCAGTTCCGATAGCGCGTGCCATTAATATCATTCATGTAGTAGTATGCGAAAGGGCCCGTCCAATAATCCCGCCTCTCTTCTTCGGTCAATGAAGAATTGTTGATCTGATCGGAAAAAACCTCAAAGAAGACTTTTGAGGCAGGATTCACACGCATGTTTAATGCGATGAAGGGATCCACGGTGGGGAAAAACTGCTTGAACATATCATATGCCAGGACGATACTGCCACCCCCATTTCCACTAACATCAAAAATGATATGAGCAATTCCCATTTCCTGGAATATACTAATTATTGTTCTTGCTGAATTCTGGAATACACGACCTTGAGAGGCAAAGCTCGAGAACGTATGAATTGCTATGATACCGGTTTTATCAACGTTATAAGCGCTAATGCTACCATCTTGCGCGACATATAGAGGGTTCTTGGGATAGCCTTGGATAGATTGAGGAGCTGGAGTCGGACTTGAAGTCGGAGACGTTGTTGGGGTTGATACCGAATCTGGTGTGGATGTCGCTGTTGGCTTTAGACAGTTTTTATACAAATCTTCCCCATTAGTAACCCCAGTGAAGTTGCCGAAGACATAAGCTTGCCATTGGACGGTCTTTTCGGTGCTATTTTCGAAAGTAAGTTTGGTGCTGTCTCCTAGGTACAGTGGGCTCCCATAAAACGCTCCAGGGTCGTTAGAGCGTGCGAAGAGCGAGTTCCATCTTGTATCAGGATCAGAAAAGAGCCGGTCGTTCGTTTCGATCCAATCAGACAGATACTGAAGAACGGGTACGCCATCAATCTGAGAAATTGCCGAGATGTTGTACGTATGGCTGATATTGCTATTGAGTTTCTCATAAATTTCATTATATCCTACCATATTATTTAGTCAATCATGCATAGGCGGGTAATATTAGTCCAAGCATACCATAAACTTTAGGGACAACATCTTCCGGCGAGTCGGTCAATGCGACTATAGGGAAGTCGCGCACGAAAAAGAATATACCCTCCAGGCATTGGCTTTGCCAGAGTAAGTGACCGTCATGCGCCCTGCGCATCAATACCCTGATGGCAGCCTCAAACTCATAGTGATTTTCGTATCCACCGGTTTCAGCGGTCTCGGAGATCTCATCGAGCCCTTTCATAAGATCAACAGGCTCAATCCCGTAAGATGTTTTAGGAGGGTTTGCAAGAAATGCTAGTGTTGACTGGAACTGAAGATAGTTTTTGAATTGTTCAATGAAAGACACGCCAATTGTGGCGTTAAAAGGCATCGAGATCAGACAATTGTAGGCAATGCTTGCCGGGACAAAATCTAATAGCCCATGTTAACACAAATGTGGGATTAGCCTGATAAGCTATGCTGGAACATACATGAGCTTGCAGACAAATTTGCAACCTCCTGGCAAGGAGATGAAGATATTTGCCCTGCTGTAGAGTTTGGGGCTATCGATATTGGTACGGACTCCTGTCGTCGAACATGTCTGTGGAGGTGCTCGTTTGGCAAACCAGGGAAAGACTGGGATGATAATGGCACAAGGGCCAAAAAGAGGGTAAAAGGAGTGAAACGCATATTGCTGGCTTGATTTTCCTCACAGTGGATGAAGATTATTCGGGCTCTCGAGGAAAACAGTGCGGTTAAATAATATTGTGCAAGAGGCCGCACGTACTATGGAAAGACATTCCTCAAAAAGCTTTACCTCATAATCGAATCCCAGCCAAGATACTCTGCTGCGATTCGCTCCGGTCAGCTTCTAAGCCGCCCACCCGCCTGCCATTGAGATCTACGAGCACAACCTTCTGCATGAGCATGGGGCTGAGGGCTAGAAACGTAAAAAGCGATTTATAATTGTCGTTGAACCCCTGGAATTCCTAATCACTTAGGAGAGCGAGACGCCCATCTGCGCAGACATTCGCCTGTCTCATTCCCCACAGAAGCAACGGCGGATGCCAGGTACCTTTTCATCGCTAGCCCGAATGAACCTATTCACACGGCAGACACGAGCCCGAATATGAGAAGGCCTTCAACTGGCCAGAGCATTTGGGTTTATGTTATCTACTAATCAACACATGCGTCGAAAATATTTTCGCGGTCCTTGGGTGCAATGCGTGGGCAAAAATTACTGGCAGCCTGATCTACCTCAACCCACCTAGATGGTAAACGTCACGCTCGCTAATGGAAGTGGGCCATACAGCATTGCAAATAACGGCTGATGGCCCACTCCTGGTGTTGATGTAGGTTATAATCAATCCAAAGTACACTTGAAAATCACAGATCCAATAACACCTCCGTCAGCACTACCATATCCCCATGGGCATTGAAAATACAGATCTTGCTTCATATAACTAATGAAAAATTCTTCTTAGACATTCTGATACAACATTGAGGATATCCACGACCTGCCAACAAGGCAAGTTTACCTGGCGTCAATTGACCCACGATATATGACTTGCTCTACTGTTTTGTGTTCCACAGATTTGGCATAGTAAGAGTTTCCACACATATATATTGCACTTATGTACTGGTGCAAACCACATGTATCTACTAATTTACACGCCCAGATGTCTTTCAAGTTCACTTTAGGACCTTCTCCCGAGCACCGCCCCCCCGCAAAATGTCAGGAAGCCTTAAACTGTTGCATGCAGCTTTGGTTTGCTGTCACACTAGCCAAGTGTGGATCCGCACCCTATAGCTGCGCATTTACTACACTGATTTGTGAACAACCAACATACTAAACTGGCCTCGACATGCGCTAGGCTAGCTGCAAACTCTCTTAAAAAGCCCCTGAATCGAAACAATTGACCTCCACAAGAAGGAAGTCTTCTATCTCTTTGGGTGTCTATAAAGCAAGTCTGTTTGAAACTCACTTTCGGTATTCTGTTATACGAATCACTGAGATCGAGGACACTTTGTGTTGCCACCAGCCTCGTCATTTTCGCAATCTAGTGCGCGTGTAGGCTCGATATTCGCTCGGGTGATAACCTGTGAAGTCGTGTACAAACCTTTATCCAGGCCCGGGCATACAAACGATAAGGGTGTCGAGAACTCTATTTAAAGTATGCCATGCCTACCTGGCAGGATAGGGAAGCGGAACATGCAGGGCACCGAACCATGGTAGAGGATCCATAATTAATCAAGGATTCGGCGCCACTAGTTCCCGCCCCCCAGCCTCAACAAATACCATTGGAATGATAATCTGAAGGTATCAGCTCAAACTTTTGGCCTAGAAGAATGATACGTTGCCGGCGATGGCCTTGACGTCGAATTGGGCCGGCAATGTCAAGTTTAGCCTAACTATGATCGATCGTCGTAGCCACTTCTGTGTTTTACGAGCTACATACATACTCCGATGATACTCGTTTGCAAATACCTACTGTCTACTTGGCGATTCGCCATCTAAATAATGCACTTGAGGCGACTGATGCAATCACTAGAATAATCAATCGTTTACAAGTACTCTAAGTACACACTATACTTTAACACCATATGCATAGCTTGCTCCAACATTTTAAAGTGCACCAGGGCAAGGGATCACACATTTCCATATACTAGTACAGGATCTTTTCCGTCCAAGTACATAGAATACCTACTCTAGACTACTACGCTTTCAATGGACCCGGTAGAAACACAAGTTCAACTCCAAGCCAGCCTAGGATCCAATTGATTCCCGGACCGGGATCCCTGCTTTCCGCTGTATTTACAGCTTTTGATTGGGTCCTGCGCCGCATGACGTAGTGCTGCATTAACCGCAGCGTGCGCCTTGTGCTGCTGTTCGATCATCGAGGCAATTGAGGAGGATATTCAAGAGCTGGGCACCAGGATACCTACCCTACTCTATGTAGAGAACTACAATTACCCCTCACAGTTTGATTTTGATTAAGGTATAAGTTTTTCGAGGTAGGTACCTGGATGGATAGGTGGGCATGGAATATCTGAAGGGGTTAAGGGTGTGTACCTATATATTCTGATGGGGCTTGTTATGACTATTTATGTACTTTCGTGCCCGAGGAAGATCTAGAGTTAGTAGTATTCTGACTCCCGAGACAGGAAAAAAAAAAATAGCCATGATGACTTTCGTGGACTGCTGCCCGAATCTACAGAGATCTAGATTTGGATTCAATACCCTGAGGCATCCCGGATATAGAGTCCCCGAGGTAGCACTAGAACTAGGCTCCGCTGTCTTGATGGAGACATCTTCTCTCCCATTACCCTATTAGGTACTCGAAGTACAGTACATACAGAAGTCAAAGGGTTCATAACAGATATCCGGCCACGGTCAATGATCACATATATGTGTATCCTGGTAACGTGAGGTGAAATTCCGGGTTTGCTTGTATTTACGTTATGTATGTGCTCGCTCGATTAATTGGCAATTCTCCGAGTCCCAACGAAGCACTATATGTATGTACCTACAATGTAGATACCTGCTCTCCCTAGATGACATACTCTATTTCCCTCTGGTACATGTGTTCAAGTACGGTACGGTACAAAATAAAGTAGAACACACATTTTGCCTATGAAGGCACATGTAAATATATTGCGCAACTGGAGGAGCCGCAAACCCGGTTTTCCCGCAGCAGCAAACGGGGGGGTGTGAACCGTGTGATATTAATAAAGCGGTTACTAGTGCCCTCTGTTTTCACATGCTATATAAGGCACCCCAACCCTTCTCAAGGATACAAGTACTCCCTACTTACTACCCCGCCGCCAAGCAAAACCACGCGTAATCATGAACTATCACTCGTCCCAGCCTCTCAAGGAGAAAGAAAGAAAAGGCTTCGTGCAGTGAATGATGTATTCTACCGTGAACAACACAGCGGGCATGTGCGCACACACGAACAGTAGTATCCTTTCATATCTTTTTTATATTTTTCCCGCAATCTCATTCCCGCAAAATCTCTAAGAAAGTTCGCAGTGCAGCCTGCCGATGATGATGGTGATGCAACTGCAAACAATCCCCCCCACCCCCGACCGCGGATCATCGAGAGCGACTGAGAATTTGTTTGTGTGCGCCTAGCTTGGCATGCACATCATATTCAGGGTTTTGAGGCTGCATCGGTAGTTATTGTTCGTGTTACGTTGAATTCGCACCCTCCCTCCCTCCCACTGTTCAGACTTTACGGTGCTGGCTCAAGAACTAAAGCCTTGAGGGACGTTGAGGGCTGTAGGGGTCAATGGCAGCGCTGTTATTATCGATACTCGAGCAGGATGAACGATACATATAAAAAGTAAATTGAGCGCTCGAGCTGGAAAAACATATATACAAGGCCGAGAGCCAACTTACAGTCTGTGACATGTCGGTTTATCTCTCTGTCAACGATGATAGCAGATTGTCACACATAAAACCACGTCCACCACCACCACCACCACCACATCACATCGCCACTGCATCTCAAGAAAACGTCACAAATACGAAAAAAACGAAATAAAAACCAGAGAACCACACCATCACACACCCATAGAGTACGCCGCCGGATCCAACCATTTTTACAGCCCTGCCAATCAAGAACAAAGGGAAAAACTCGCCCGCAAGCAAAGGAGTGACAATCGAACAGAAGAAGGCCAAGTAGAAAAAACCATGGCCACTACATGATAACACACGCACAGACTGGAATCGGCCGGTCTACAACCTCCCTCGACCGGTACTTATACGCTCGTGTCTGGCCGTTGTTGTACTGACTATACCTCGCGGGGGCATATGTCTCTCTGCTCCGACCGGTATGCGACGTCCGGCTGCCATAGTACCACGGTAAGCCCTGGTTTAACTCCAGCGTACTCGGGTATACTCACTACTGCGTGTGTGTGTCCCTCCTAGTGTTGCTGCTGCTGTGTGGGACAACATATCGTTGCTCCTGGTATTCAATATGGTCGCGGCTATCACCATACAGACGTGGGTCGGAATGGTAGCGAATGTAGCGTGGCTCAGCGCGGTAACGGACAGGTTCGCTGTGGTAGCGGGTAGTGGCATACTGGACTGGGCGGCGATTGGGATTGGAATTGTGCGGTATCAGTGCGTAGCTGGGGGTCGATCTTCTGTTCTCCCGGTAACTGCTGTTGTAGCTGTATTGAGGTGAGCCGGCATCGCGGGGAACGTGGTACATGTTTGTTTCTAGAGATGGTGTTATAGAGAGTCTGGTCGGTGGTGGTGATGATTGCGATGTTTTTTTTATATGTGACGGATAGCCAGGCTGTAACAGGGTTGAAACTGGGGACTCGATCTGAGAGGCGTAAAGAGGAAAAGAAAGCTCTTCTCTCTCTAAGATCCCTTAATAGCGGTCCGTCCCTACTTCTTATAGAAGTGCCCCTCCAGCATGAGCAAAACAAACGACCACATGGAGAGTTGACCATGCGATGCAATTGATTTACACCAACTCACCAATCCAGAAAAAACATGTCCCGCATTCGGCACATATAGTATTCATGCATCGTCTCGTTGGCAGAAAAATAAATTGTAGGGCGAACCAACGGAAAACCACTGTCGATCTTGCCCGCAGGGACATTCAGGGATACCCGGCTTGAATTTTTTTCAAGGAAAATGAACGATATCTATATCTCACAGTGTGAATCTTAATGGTGAAACCATAATAGCCTGAGAAGGATATGTAGAGTATTGGGGGCGATTCGAAAGTAGTCTCGTTATTTACCTAGAGGCTTCAACATGTAAGCATAAATACACAGCGTTTTAAAGCTCAATGAGGAATAATACACTTTCCCTACTCCCGAATTATGCTGGTGCAAAAGAACGGCGTACGTCCCTGACTGCTCAAACCAACCACTCCTTCACTCGTGTTCTCTCTTGTGTCGCTCAGATGTCGAATATACATGCAATTCCCGGGAATGTAGTTTGGATGCCAATTGAACATCCACAAGTTGCGACACACGTTTGTCCCCGCGTGCGCTTTATAACCCGAGTGGTACCGTTGGCTAGTACTGCTCCGATTTCCAGCTTAGGAAGTAGGTTATATCCAACCATCATAGAGCCTCGCTTTTTTCACCCATGGCAGTCCGAAACGTAACGAACCAGGATTGGACCAAATACTGCTTAATGCCCAGTTATTTACGCAAGATTTGGAGCGTAATGCCCGGGCGTTAGAGAAGATCCTGGTATGTAAAAGCACCGATTATTGCTCGAACTGTGGCGAATCTTCAGTTTTGGTGAGAGAAACTACTAGGATCTTATTAACACCCGGTGCAACACTCCAACTTTTACGGTATACGAACGTCGGCTTAGAATGCTTCATGTAAATGACGTCTTACCACAAATTCATAAGTCATCACTCGGTGCGTAGAATTTTCGGCAGATGCAGTACAAACCTACCTATCACAACGACACAAATCCCACAGTTACCTAAGCATGTAGAGTAGACTACTTGTTCGGATCGATGAAATAAGTCACCCCACGGTATCCTTTTAGTCATCTAGAATAGTAACGAGGGGTATGTAATAGATATCATATCAAAACCCGCCCGAGAATTCATATGGCCATTTGTGCACATCGTGTAAGACCGGGAAAGGGTGGATGTTCTGCACAATCCGGCCTGCTGCTCAATCCGCAAAGCAATAATTTCGTCCAATCAATCTGGGACCGAGCTGGAGGTGCATATTTTGACTTTGGATCGTCGATAGATCCCGCGCAAGTGCCACTATCGTCGCGTGTGGCTCAGTCCCGCACCCCACACGGAAAAGATTTCGTTTAGAGTGTGGTGTGAACAGGGTCGACTTAATCCCCTTAACTATTCATAGCCGCGCACCTGCAGACAAATTTCTTTTCCATTGGGCACGCAACGGATAACTATGCTTTGCTTATTTGTGGCGAGAGCTTTCTTGGCCGAGGGGATTTTGATGTCGATACCTGCTCTACCCGTAATTCCCGGGGGCGTAAATTATTTGCAATTGGAAAGATGCAGGGTAGGTATCTTCAGAATGTAGTTTTTTTCTGGCGGATGTAATGGGGTTAATTAGTCGGGCAGATTGTAAAGAGGAGACATGATGTGATGAGTTGACCGAGCTCTGCATCTAATTATACAGTTTTTCTCAGGACAGATTGTCAAGTGTCAAAATCGTTCCGCTCCATACCACGAATGTTCGTATCAAAGTATGTCGCGTAGATATGCCGTTCCACAGGCTATGTGTGGGACGCACGTTCTGTATTGGACCCCATAGTCAGATCATCTGGCCTCCACAGATCACTAAATATTTCAGTGGCAAACTTACCAGGAGATATGACGACGGAAACAATAATAGAAGCTAAACGGATGGTATCGGAAAGGATAATCGTATAACGGGATTTACCTCGCTGCTGAGATTCCAGGATCCATATGACGACAGAATCAATAATAGAAGCTAAAAGAGCGATATCGGAAGCTATACTCGTGTGTATAACGATTAACCTTGCTGCTGCTGAGATTCCATAATCCATGACAGTGTTTGGTGACGTTGAGTGAATTCAAATCATTCAGGTTGTAAAGCAGAGCATAGTACTAGTACACCATAGGTACGGTACATGTAGGCAAGTAGAGTACTGGACCCTGCAAGCAAGCCAGCGCGGGTCAATACATACTTTGTGTCACGGGTCGCAGCAACCCTGGGATCAGCCATTCGGTGAAGCTACTCTATATCCACGGACACGGCACCAAGATGCTAACTACATACCCGGGCCGCCCTCATGCTCATTGTGCTGTCATAATTTGTGGAATATGAGTGCATGTAGGGAGAGTAGAGCAGATGTGCAATATCAAATTCAAGGTTGCTTTGTGCATAGCCGTGAGGGCACTTCCCGAAGTTGCAGAATAGCACTCTAACTTCTTGGCAATGACCTCCAACATCAAGAAACTGCGATCTAAGTACCCTCATGTACTCCTAATCCCATGCACTCTCCTTGTCCTTCGAGTAGTACATGGTTTACGTTAGTACAGTAGAGCATCATTAACGAAGATCGCAGTTATCCCTAAAAAAGCTAGAAATTTAAAGTGCCTCGGAGGATTTTGAGTAAACAATACATGTATACTTGTGCTGCACTGTCATGGACAGGTGGACCCTTCACATACCATGTCAAGTACCTGTATACCCTTCACCCATTCGTTTTTGGCTTGTACGGATGTTTATGGCTGTATTTAGATCTACATACGGCTTTATTCGGGACTGAGGGAAAATCTGTAATAAAATATTATGTAGTTATTCTTCCATGATGATTCTCGTGTCATCAGTGATTAGAAACCCCTTTTAACATAAGACGCGGCCGAGATCCGCTGCGAGCGATATCGCTTGACAGACACGAACCCGTTACATGCGGCTCTAAAAATAGGAATAAGCTGCTGTGCTATCCCGACTGATGATCGGGTTAAGCCTTTTTGGTTAGCCAGTACTATTGATCATGAGTTTGAGGTAATTATCCTGAACGGGATGGATGAGTGTGGAACGTTCGATTGACAACAGCGACGTCGACGACGACGACAACAAGACGACAAAGATTATCTTTTGCTATGGTATTCATAGGGTTCTAGTCTATATGGAACTCAGAATAATCAATTTCTAAAATAGCATGCGCAATGGCGCGCCACCGAGATAAAAGAATTAAGGTACCTACTTTCCCTACAGTTTTGGATCTGGTATGGAGTGTTTAGCGTCACCCGCGCAAGATTCCTAGCTAGCTTGATTGCGGTTTCTGTTGGAGTCAAGGGGCCTTGCGGCAATTCTAAACGCAATCTTCACGGTTGTTCCTGACCCAATGATGAGTAGATGTCATTTGACTCAATTTGTTTGTGTCTTCCCCTTCTTGTTCTAGTTCTTGCTGTGTATGATCGAGTATTCTACGTACACAGGCGCACAAGTTTTTCTAAATTACAGTACCTTTTACAGTCAAAGTACCTACATTTGGCTACTAGAACTACATAACTACATGTAGACACGCACCAACCATATGTATATATATGCGCGCACAACCTCAGACTAGAGTGAAACGGCGGAAGTTATGGCGGTTTTTGCGCCCCCCGCGGCCAGTTTTGCGATGCGCGCGTGTGAGTTGCGGTGTTAATTGCATCTCCTCACTCTCGAGTACCTACAAATCCCTGCATGGCAACGGGCGATGCATGCGGTGAGCTTGTTTACTTGTGTCCTAGTGCTATCGCTATGTCTGTCGCCCCCAGCCAAATATCACCGTTCCATCCAACGGGGGGTTTGACCACCAACCACCAACCACCTCACGGAGGCCCTGAACTACTGTTATTATTACAGTGGCTATTGCGGATCGGGAAACTGCGGGGTACCTCTTCCGGATTCGATGGGGTGATCTACAAGCGGGTCCTACTCTATGTACTCTAGTCGCAGTCGTACTCTGCCAGTGCTGCTGGTAAATACCTACACTTAACTTCTCCACTATGCTTATGCCCCCCCCCATACGACCATACTGCGAGCTTCCTTCCTTCCTAGAGTAACCGTTCAGCTAGCTTTGGCCACCACAAAATTCCCCCTCCCCCTCCCCCCCAAACCAATGGAGTACCTCGGGGTACTTGTGTGGAAAGTAGCACTGTTGATTGTTGGTTGGATCAATTAAGATTACAAGAAATCTCACACAGCCTGAGCATGACGCAACGGGCATGTATGTAGGTACATATCACAAAAATAAGCATCGTGATAGGAGTGACATGATGTGATTACCCAGCAACCATCAGTGGCTTTTGCGGGGTGTGTATGTCTAGGTGGGTGGGTGTGGGTGTGTGACCTTTCCCTTTCTATGTCTAAGGTACTCTGTGAGATGCTGTTTGGTTTTTCTGGCACTCGCATATGGCAGGAAGATCGAATGCGGTAGCGGATGTGCGAGATTTATCCTAGCCCTGCCGCGGCGCAGGTAGTGCTCTTCAGCAGAGATGGTGGTAGTGTATTTTGTATAAAAGGCACTGGTCCCTTCTCCTTAGACATCCCACCATTATCCATTGATATCCTCCTAACACAACCACAATCACAATCATACACATTCTACATCTCTCGTTACTACTAGAATACTCGACCTAATTAATCATGAGGACCTCACTCTTCACCACCCTTACTGCAGTCCTCTCTGTCGCGGCAGCACTTCCAACCAAAACAACATTGGTGAAGCGGCAGAAGGCGGATAAGTTCTTGTTGAAGCCTGCACCGGATGCTCCTGTGGAACTCCAGGGTCTTGGGGTAATCCAGTGGGACGGCATGGTTGGCCAAGACATAGTGAATTCCTCCGGAAAGATGGGATGGTTCCCGGGAAACACGACTGCTAAAGACGCTCAAGTCTTCATCCAGTACAACTCGGATGATGGTATAGCCTTCTATGCTAGGAATACAGCTATGCAAGTGTAAGTTGGAAAAGAAAGGTGTGCGGGATCAATCAAGCTTGGTCACTGACAATGGCAACAGATACCTAAATCCTACTTGGACAAACCCGGCCTACCAAGCGAAGATTGGAAACCCCAATTTCGAAGCCAAACCAGAGTGGACTCTACAGAACAACTTCACAATTGATACCGAGACTGTTGGTGACGCCTCTATTGAGTATTTCGGATACCTACATCAGTACAAGGACAAATGGCTTGCATGCAATGACAATGGAATCTACACTATTTACTTGTGAGTAGACGGATACCTGGAGGAACTTTTTATTAGCATCTGAAAATTTATACTGACATACTATATCTTTAGTGGTGGAGAAAACCCGGACAATTGTTTGCCATTTAACATAGAGACAGAGCACTTTGTGTAGACCCAACATCTAGATTAATGGCATGATGGAATAAGGGGGGAAGGGGAGTCGAGCGAAGATTGATTAATGGGGCATATTGCATGGGGCGGTAACGACTACTTAATGGCTACGATTTCAATATTATTCATGTAATGATTATTTCTACTTTTTGCTTGTGTTTATGATAACTACATGTAGCTATAGCTATATTAATCACGAAATGCACCTGTTCATACCGTGTCACTCGATAACTGTACATACATCTCGCGTCAAGGTCACCCATATGTGTTACAATTCAGTCCTCGAATGTGTCCATATAAAAATCGTGAGCAATATGGATATTATCAGAGCAATATTAATGGCATCATGTCTGTGAACCATCCACCCCCTTCTTCCCCATGCAGGGCGCCTTCGTGCATGGCTAACCCGCATCTGTAGGTAGAGTACATGGTCTCGTGCCCACCCCCTCCTCTGTAGAGTAAGTACCTAGAGTAGAGTACATGTTGTGCTGTACTCTATATCCGCAGAGACCAACCGCTTCAACCACCTTGCTTCCATCGATCCATCAATCTACCGGTTTTCTCCTCTCTCCATCCCCCTCTTTGATCACTCTTGTCAGCACATCCATTGCCGCTTATTTGATTGACGAGAATAAGAACTGCCTTTCTAGGCTACTCCATACGCTATATCATGTCATCAGAGCGAGATCGGATGAGAAGAAACATAAAGTCAATTGCAAAAGATTCCCAGAGGACTATGGGAGCACACGAAACTCAAGAACCAATGGGACAGGGCGTAAGAATGCCTCATCATCACATTTCAGTTAGAAAGAAAAAAAATTCACACTAACTGCTCCCCCCGTTCAAAGCACCCGTCACCTCTGACTGTCTCTGCTGATCAGAGTCCTAAGGTTCTCGACGATATTACCCGTTCCAGTTTGTCAACAAACCTGTCAAGCGGAAGTGGCAATGATCAGACACTTGAAACCAAGGGTAACGAATCTCCGAGCTCCGGACAGGGTGCGTGCCTTGGCACGGATGCTCTTGGCAAGAGCATTGATGATGGCGGGATCGGTGCGAGCAAGTCTTCCTGCTCCTCCTCTGCACGCCCTGAACTGCCTGGGGCAGCGGTCGGAGCTTTTCGTCCGGATCGGCTGAGACGGGTTACGACTGGGCACATGCAGGAGGTAAGTCAAGGGACAACCAATTCCTGCCTGACCGTTGCGTGTCTGCTTCATGATGTGTGATGTGCTCATTATTTTTTCTATTCTTAAGAGCATCTGGGCCCAGTTAGCTTCGGACGAGAGGCTCAAAGTCGACTGTAGGGCCATTTCTGACGACGAACCCAAATATGGGTTGTTTGGGACTTCTAAAAGCTCTTTTCCTGATAGATTAGGTTGTCTTACCAAATCTGAGATCTTGATTCACAGTAAAGATAGCATAGAAGCTAGTAGTGCCACAAAAAACGCTTGCGGGGACCAATTGGATACCATATCTTTCAAAACACCCATAACAAAGCCAATGTATACTCAATCTTTTGGATTCTCGTTTAGTCCAAAGTTTGAGGAAAGGCCTATCCCGGCAGTAATACCGCAGGTACCGAGTCCGTTTGAGAATATTGAAAAGCAGGGTCGGTCTTCTCTACTGAAGTCGCCAAGACCCATAGAAGGATCAAAACACCATAGTCGGGGATGCACGATGGGATTAGTGCAGAACTTTGGACCCTTCCCTGCCGCTATGAAGACCAGCAAGGAGACTGGAGACCAACCGCCAATATTGGCGACCCCTCCAGTCGCATCATATATATCTGAGGGGTGTGGTTCTACCGAGTTCAAATATGGCGAGAATATGGAATCCATATTCACTGAATCCGATCTTTACATGGCAGACAGCGGCGGAAATAAGGATTGCTAGGGACAGGAACTTACTACTGGGTTTAAGCCTAAGCTTATATCGTTCCTTGGTAGAGAAGAATTCTAGAGTTCCATCCGGATATGAGTCCGAATTTAGGTAGACTCAGACACTTTGACGGCACTGAGAGAGAAAATCATACATGTTTAATAACCGGGATTCGAGAAAAGGGAAGCGTGAACTAGAGGGAGCGATAATGCAGGTATCGCGATAGTCGGCATTTAATAAGGTAGAGGCATTTTCTGTCGTAGTGGGGCATAGGGAACACGTTTGTGAAGGTGGATTAGTATCGATAAGGGACTGGTGTTAAGATGGATTACTATTCTTAACTAACTAGATGGGAGTCGCCTAAACGGATTAAGGGGTAATCAAGGAAACCTAACTAAGAATTAAATTATATGATGATGGCGCAACAGCTCTAACCTGTCTTGAACTCTTGAATTATAAAAAGTGTCTTCGCAGTTCTTAAGTTCACCTTCAAATAGAAAAATAGATAGCATGTATTAGGAAAGAGTTTTATTTAATAGTGACAGAAAACAAGTGTTAAGGATGCGAACAGAGGCTTTAATTTAGTATATTGCTGATATATTTATATTTCTGGATTGATTAGAGCGCATCGTTTAATTAATGAATTAAACAAAAAAAGAAAAAGAGCGCATCGTTTTCTTTCACGATTTGTCACTCGGTTTATATTTCATGACTCCAACTCAGGTGATTCATGAGTATGTAAATGATTCAATTGATAAGAGCATATCCAAGCCATAAGACTCGTACTATTTAATAAATATCATAAATAAACTACAAAAGAAAACTGCCGTCGGTAAACTTCAACTACGCATCGAGGCTATGGTGTCTAATGCCAGTCAGTCTCGCCATTCTTACTTCCAATCACGATATTACTTTCGCCCCCGTCTCTTTCCTCAATTCCTGCACTCCTCCGGTATCCCCTCCTGCAACGTGGCGTATAAGCCTCGTATCTAATCGGGCCACCGCTTCCGTCCCCGTCCAACTTCGACTCGGCCAATACCCTCCCATCCGGACCTTGCCCACCCGCGCCCCAAGTACCTGTGTAGTACGCCAGGAACCTCAACTCCTTCACATTCCCGAGCCCCATCTGAACCAGATTCTTGGCCACGGCGGTGTAGAAAGTACCGTATGGCTTATTGATGATGAAGCTCTGCGGGGCAAGTACAGTCCCGTCAGCGCGGGTTCCAGTGATCTCGATAGTGACGGACGGATATTGAGGGAGGAAGTAGCCGGTAGTGAAAACGATATTAAAGATTGTGAAGGACGTCGATGGAGCGAGCGCAGAGATGGTGTAGTAGGGTGAGGAGGGACTCGGGGAGAGGAGGAGGTTTGTGGTGGAGGAGAGACCGCAGCTCCCTTTGTTGCAGCAGGAGGGGTCACAGCCGGTGGTGTCGCCGGTGCAGCTGCTGCTGGTGTAGACGGAGCAGGCAATGAAAACCCAGTTTCTAGGGATTCGAAAGGCGTTAGTGAGTACATGTATATGCTATGAGACTGAGACACTGGGGTGGGGTTGCATACACGCTCCAGGAGAGAGAGTTTCCTTCTCCAGGACCAGCGCTAGGCCATTGAGGGTACTACCATGACTTATTAGTATCAATCTTAATCTACTATAAATCACTTAACAAAGGTACTGACTGATATAGTTCCCGGTGCTGTTTCAGTAGAAGTAGGGACACATCTGGTTGGAGTAGGAGTAGGCCTAGTTCTTGTTGTCCTACTAAAGACGTACCTCACAGTCAGCAAACTACCTTTTCAATAATGCAGTTGAGGTAGGTGAGTACGAACTCAGGACTTGCGTTCACAAAATTGAGGAGGAACGTTAAAAACGTTAGGAATAGAGGGGTTGAGATCATTTTTAAAGCGATAGACTGTTTGAAAAACGAGTGAATGTTTGGTGATTGACTTGATGAATTCCTGAGAATAGGTTGAGGGTTTTATAGAGCTCCCCTTCCCCCTCCCCCGGCCCTCCCCCCTCATGTTCGGAGACATGCAGCGTGATATTTCGCCATTCCAATTACGTGATAAATTGGAACCTGATTTCATTTGTGTTCCCATCACTTTTCAATTGGTAGGTTTGTGGTTTGCATCCGATCCAGATCGTGAATATTCCTATAATTAGTTTCGTATGTATGTCACCGTGTACGTCTACTAGGTATTGTAGTGGTTGTAACCCCGCATCAAAGAAAGTAATACTAACACCCAGGTACACAAACACGAGGGCCAGTAATAAACCTGTGGAGTACATGCATGTACTGTCTATGTACTCATGATCATGTATACGTAGTGCTAATGAAAATCCTTTCTTTTTTAAAGACACTGTCTTTTGTATATAGTTCTGTAGAGTGAATGGTTTCTTTGTCTCTGGTCTAAATTCATCCGCAATTGTATCAGCTACGAATATTGAAGTTTGTAGAGATGATTTAGAGTTGATAGGCCATGTGATAGCCCTATCCTTATCAAAGAAGCTTGTGTTACCATGTGATGTCATGTGTTCTTGTTCTTCTGCCGAAGTGCACAAACAGTGTCAAACACACCAATTGAGACTCGCTAAAAAGTATTTCTTTCATGATTTCGGGTTCAAGCTTTTTTTGCCAGGAATAGTAACATCTCACGGGATTTTCTCTGTTCGGAATTCTCCGATTGGGCGAGGGTGCTGGCCAAGAGCCCTTAGTAGCGGTTATTATTAGTATGGATTGCCACTGGTTCTGAAGCGATTTCTGTGTTACTCCGCTTTGCCAAAAGGATACATTTTGTTTGCATATGTGGTCCTATTAGGCGAAACTTCTCGCGATGTGTAACCTGTAGTCCTTGAGTTTTGGCATAGAGAAGCTCGTGAACTATTCAATCGGGCCCATGCACTTAGATCTTTTATCCTCAGAGGGTAGAAATTTCCTATTGGTCAATTAGGGTTAGTGAATAAGTCGGTATTTTTGGATAGCTGTGTCTGAGGCAAATACATACATACGAACCGGATCTCGTGAAGCTTTCCCGGTTACACATATGCACGCCTAGACCTCTAGTGAAGAATAACATATTATATGGTCACATCGTATGATCCGGGAGATATTGATTTCTCGTATAAATGTCTTGGTTCTCTCTCCACCAGCCCAGGGGTTGGGGCTATTTTCAGTATTTGCAGTTTTCCTCCGGCAATGGTTTTGAATGGATACAAACCTGGATGTCCCATTTGGTATACCTGTGTGGATTGAAATCCCAGAGTCCAGCAAAGTTCTCTAAAGAAGCGAACGATACGAAAGATAAAGAGTCGACTGTACGTGACATATTGCTTTCGGAGCCTCGCAAATCGAAAGGCGGCTTTATTGAAATTAGCGAGTGATACATGATGATCGATCTCACCCGGAATTATGGCTATCGTGCATCATCAAATCAGTTTAATCTCTCTTCATTCCCTATATTTCTTTCTTTATTGGTTTAATTACTGAAATAGAATCTCACCGTGGGGGCAAGTTTCGTGTTTTTCGCTATCGATATCTTGAGCTGAGGCCTGGATTTTTGAACGATTAACAACACACTCAAGTATCAGTATGTAATACCTACACATCGGCAGGGCCGAACGGGTGGTTCGACATCAACACCACCCAATGGTTATTGCACGATATACTCGAGAGAACGCCAGTCATAGGTAATGATGCCCGGAATCAATATATATGGCAGTAAGGTTGTATTCCGAATTCTTTAAATCGAGTTTTCTATTTCTAGAAGACCGCCGAGATTCGATATTAGCCTACAATTATTTTATCGCACCAAAAGTCGAATTGATGTTCACCAGGTATTGCGGGTGTCGAAAATTCCTTTGCTGCCTTTAGTATATAAGAGACGGTAAATGAAAGCCTTCTTCGTCACAAGGCTCAGCCTATAGATTTTATTCAGAAAATTTGGGGTGTAAGAATCTTACAGCTTTATATCAGGTCCAAGATACAGTTGACACGTATTTGGGCAGCTTCCATGTACACAAGATATTTCAGTGTCGCTCGTGCCTTTCAGTGACGTTTCTCTATTGTTGCTTGCTGGATTAAAGGTACTTCCTCACTTGCTCAAGGTAACGTAACTATAAGAGTGCAGCATCTCCATGATGGCAGAAAGTAATTTCTGGGCTACATGTAGCTAAGGGTTGTGCGGGATGGTAGGAGGGAGAAATCGATTTAGCTATATGTACATATGTAGGTTTTGATTTTCTATATAGGTAATCTGTCTATATGTATGGATGCGTACACGTATGTACTCTCTCGTTGACCGGTACGTGAGATATTTTTATGCATCTATATTCTAGAGCTCGGGAGCCAACTCAGAATAAAAATGTTTTGGCCACTGAATTTCTAGACTCCAAGCTGAATTTTGGTGGGTTTCCTTGATTTTACCTCTAGGAACATATTATATATAGGGTGTGTGTGTGTGTCTAACACACACTAACGCTCATGAGTGATCCTTCATGAACGTACTGGTCCAGATGTTTTGTCACAAAGGGCAAGCAGAACCCTGGCCCTAACACCAGGGTGCAGTTTGAGCCGCACTATAACCCCACCTCTGCCAAGCCAACCCCCTCCTCCGACATTCGACTGGAAACACATCGCGATATCTGATAAGCAATTAACATAAGCTGCTCCCCTTTCAACCTACCACCAACTCCTTGTAACAATGTCAACCACCGAAGGCGTGAGTGCAGCTGCTCTAGAAGCTGCGATTATAGAGAAATTGAAGGCAACGCATGTAGAGCTGAAGGACACATCAGGTGGGGGGGGGGGTCATCTGGCGGATTATTTCCTGTTGATTGAAGAGTGCTGACGAAAAGAGAAGGTGGATGCGGACAAATGTTTGAAGCGGTGATTGTGTAATTACTCACCCACCCCCAACTCTCTCTTGGGATGTATGTTTTTTGGGTTGGATTCGCTAATTTATGATGAACAAATGGGGAAAAAAAACATAGATCGCAAGAGTTTGCGAAGAAGACATCGCTCATGAGGCATAGACTGGTCAACAGCGCGCTGAAAGACGAGATTTCGAGGGTGCATGCGTGGACGCAAAAGTGCTTTACAGAAGAGGAGTGGGAAAGGAAGAAGGCGAGTGAAGCATCTGGCGCTTGAACGCAAACTAGTTAGCTCATGCGTCAAATGAGGGCGTTGCAAGTCTTTTTTGTGGTAGAACTATTATTGACATATGAAGTCACAATTTTTTTTCTTCTCAATTGATGAGTCGTCCTTTTAAAGGATGGGTTGATACCTCGATGGGGGCCTGAGAATTTCGACTAATACTTTTTTTTTTGGCCTCTGTCTCATTGATGAATACCACTTTATATATTATAAAACACCTGTTTAAAGAAGATACACATGTACCTAGCTGAACATCCAACGAAACTTTTTAAATAGATCTGCCCCCCTTAACTTCCAACCTACCATGGCATCATCCAGCATGCAGAATTGAGGACGGACTCCTCGACATGGTAATTTTATCCGCCTTCTGACCCTAGTTTCCCATTTGCCATCGCCCACCTTTGTAGATCAAAGACATATGCAGCCAGATGTATGTACTCAGAAAAAGCGGGGGACTCAAATTTCGGGTTCAATTGCAATATCTTTGTGGCATACGTACACAAGAGTCTAATTCGTGGATCTGCCTCGTTTTTTTTTCCTCCCGGTATCGGTAAATGATCGACCGGGACACTGGTATCGTGACAATTGAGGCCGGGCTTAATGGTAAACTTAGGACCCCAGATATATATCGCTATATACACGCGGAGGGAGATCTGGAGATCTAGCGCAAATCACCCCCCTACCGCTAACTCGGAGCGGTGGATTGGTATTGGCGTATCACAGCTCTACTTGGCGGTTCCGGATACCTGCATGTCACGATTACGGGGTTTTGCTGTGGACTCAGTTGGGTCGTCCTGGTACATAATTTCAATAGCTCATGTAGTCGCGGCACATGCTACGTATACCAAAAAAAAATCCCAGAATTATTATGCGAGCTGGTTTATCATTTACATGGCATCGTGATCGACAGAGCGAAAAAAAAAAGAAAAAAAAAATCAAGATATAACTACCTGGTCCCGGTATGAACTGTGGTATCGGTATCTTAAAAGGCCCCATGGTGCGGATATTTTTGGAAGCTAGCTAGTTTGGATAAGGTTTCAAACGGAAGCTGATAGTTGGCTGAATGATATGCCACCCGCAAGCCCGTATATCTATACATGTAGTTAGAGATAATTGATGTGTGGAGGAAGCTATAGATAGGATATATTCCCTCCACGCTATATACCGGACGCTGGATAAATGTCTAAACGTGTACCCCATATATAAGTATCCACAATTGACAAACGTCAGGACTACATATTGTACATGTACATGTCGGTGTAGTTTATCCCTCGCAATCAAGCAGAATTTCTTGTATATATAAGCTAGTATCCGAAACCGCTGTTACTAAACAAGTGTATATCAGTGATAATTATATCCTCCAGCCGTGTTTCCACCTTTCTGTGGTTTGACGAAAAGCCTAAAACTTAGCTACAGTAGTACGGTAATTGACTTCTAACTACATATGGGCCGGGAGTCCAATTTCAGCCATGTATTACGAGTAGACCGCTGGTCATATCATTGATCAGTCGTACTCCAAGCTTTCGATGCCCACCCTATCATTAACCAGCACAACATCTATCCACTTCTTGCAACTCTCTCTCTCTCTCTCTCTCTCTCGAGCCAATTAACGGGTCGCTTTCAACCCAGACAAGCCGCACACAACACGGGTGATGAAAGCCTTATATAGAGAAACTAACAAAGGCTAATTATAAGTACACATACTAGCTAGCTAGGGGGTATATAAATCCTCAAGCCGACCTATTCTGTAACTACATGTACACAACATTATGTATTTGTTCCTTTTTGAAGAGTAAGAAGGAAGAGTACTAAGCCCTAAGTACATCCACCCCGTACGATTGAAATACAGAAAGTGCCTCTAATCTCAACTAATTGCCATTACAAAACCGTAAGTCAATATTATTACAAGCCTTCATAAGTTCATAGTTATCACACTCCTCTATGCCCCGTCCTCACACGCAAATACAAAAAGAAACAATACATTAACCCCCCCCCCCCCAGCCCCCTTTCCTCCCAACCCATTACCCACCACCACCACTACCAACACCCCCTACAACGCCCTCTGATACCCAAAATTCAGCCTCTCCATCCCAAACGACAGCCCACTAATCACCTCCGAGCACGTCTTCAACATATACTCGGGCACCTTCCTCCCATTACTATCCCTCGCCTCACTATCCGCCCCCGCGTCCAGCAGCACCTTCATCGCCTTCTTGCCATCATACACCGCACACATGTGCAGCGCCGTCTGCCCCAGCCTATCCCGTCTATTAATGTCCGCTCCCCGCTTCAGCACCACCGACAGCAGCGAGCTCATGTCTTTCATTGCTGCCAAGTGCAACACTGTCCTCCCGTCCGCATCCTGCGCATTCACGTCTGCCCCGCCCGCCAGCAGCGCGCCCACCAACCGCTGACTCCACGGCTGCACGGCAATGTGTAGCGCCGTCGTCTGGTGCAGATCTGCGATATTCGGGTCGGCGCCCTTCTCGAGCAGCAGCTTGACGAGCACCTCGCAGCCGTACTGTGTGCAGATTGCGAGAGCGGTGCGGCCGGTGGCGTCCTGTGCGTTGATGTTGACGCCCTTCTCGATAAGGTGCTTGACGAGGGTGATGTCCTCGTTGTCGAGGATGGACGGCGGTGGGGGCTGGTGGAAGTTCTTGGGCTCGATGGCGAGGTGGAGGAGCGTGCGGCGCTGCTTGGTGAGGTAGTCTGTGCGCGAGTAGCGGAGGAGCAGGCGGTAGACGGGGTTGAAGGAGCGGCGGTGGGCGAGGAAGATGGGGGATTGGTGGTACTTGTTGCGGATGGTGGGGTCGGCGCCGTGCTCGAGGAGGAGACGGACGAGCTTTGCATTCTTGTGTGGGACTGCCAGGTGGAGGGCAGTGTTCTTGTTGTCGTCCATGATGGCCGGGTCGGCGCCCTTGGCGAGGAGGTGCTGGGCGAGGACTTCATCGTCGAGTTCGGCGGCGATGTGGAGGGAGGTTTTTCCGGACTGGTGCCGTAACTGCACAGGGATGACTTCGAGCATGGCTTTGACGACGTCCCATTTCCGGAGCTGGACGGCGCTCTCCAGTGGTGTCATGATGTTGGGGGTGTCGTGGGAGACGTACATGGGGTCTGCGCCGTGCTGTATGAGGAGCCGGGCGGCCTCGCCGTTCTTGACCATGTGCAGCGGCGTCCGGCCAGTTGTGTCCAAGATCATTGAGTCCGCGCCGGACTCTAGGAAGATCTTGAGCAGCGGGTTGCTCCCCTTGCGGCATGCCCAATGTAGACCCGATAGGTCGCGGCGGCAATTGCTGACCGCGATACTTGGGCCGTCCGGTATCAAGGCTTGCAAGCTGGAGAAATCGCGGCGGCAATTGCTGACGACGATGTTTGCGCCCTCCGCTATCACGGTCTGCAGAACCTCGTCGTCGCACTCGCCCGGGCACTTGTGGAGCACCTGTCCGGCGCGGGTCTTGACCACCATCTGCTCGTGGCCATGGGCGAGGATTGTGCGGATGAGGAGCTCGTTGCCCGTCGCGGCGGCGCAGAAGAACGCGCTGTCGGAGAATTGGGTGAGGGTTGCATGGCGGTAGAGCTCGGGCTTGAGGAGCTCGAAGAGATGGCGGTTGGCGCGGATCAGGTAGGAGAGCTGTTTAGGATTGAGGCCGCGGGCTGTGAGGATGATGAGTTCGTTGGGGAGAGCTAGGTAGGGAGACATGATGACGTCCTTTTTTCTTTTCTTTCTCCTTTCTATTTTTATTTCTTTACTATCTCTCTGGAGCTTTAGTGTTAGCTTTGCTGGCGAATTGAAGCTTATCGGGGGAGGGATTGTGGGTTTTCACACCTATCTGGAGCTCTGCTAAGCTTTAAGGAAGCTTCCAAGGGGTGGTGGAATTTCAGAAGAGTGTCTTTTTTCTTCCAATGTGCAGTAAGGGGAGAGGAAAGAGTAAGAGAGAGAGACAGGCAGACAGACAGAAGGAGAGAAAGAGAGACAGACAGGAAGAGTAAGAGAGAGAGACAGTGAGTCTATAGAGAGAGAGACAGACAGACAGACAGCTCTGTGGTGGTTGGTGCATTCACCTACGTGTCTGAACACCTCATTGGGCAACGCTGACTGGCCGAGCGAGTGAGAGAGCGAGATTAAGTGAGTGCAAGTGAGATTGAGTGAGTGAGCGAGAGTGCAAGAAAGTGCAATCGAGCTGTGCTGCCATCTGCGCTCTTCTCTCTGCTGAGGCTAGTGCGACTGTGCAGTTCTGTCTGTCGGTCTGTCTGCCTGCCTGTCTGTCTGTCTGTCTGTCTGTCTGTCTGTCTGTCTGTCTGTCTGTCTGTCTGCCTGCCTGCCTGTCTGTCTGTCTGTCTCTCGCTCTCTCATCTCCCTCCCTCAACCGGGTGCTGCCGGGGGTGTCCTTGGCATGCATGCACCACAGCAGCAGCGCAGATGCGATAGATGATGGCTCTGCGTGGAATTCCTTTGTTTGATCGAGCGAGCAGAGCAGACCAGGAACCGCGGCACCACCATATCACGACATCGCCAGGCACAGGCAGACAGACAGACAGGGCCCCCCCCCCCCCCCCAATTACTATCTACGCTGCTGTAAGAGCAGCCCGTATCAGCTAGCAGCGATAAGTCATCAGAAAAGAAGAAGCATCAGATCAGATCAGGCAGATGCTCAACGATTGGCTCACAGAGCCGGTGCCAAGAGATATTAGAAGATGGTGAATCATGGACCATTATTATTGACATTCGGACTTGCCTAAGGCCACCGGCCCACCGACCGAGTGACCATTTATGAACCGGGGGGTGATGCTCTATTATTCTTCTGTCTGGCACACATCCCTTATCCTCCCCCACACGTGACCGTAACACTTTCCCGACACCGCGAGACAGACACATGCTGGTCCGATTACAAAGGGCACCGGGGGAGGGGAGATGCGCATCCATCGCATTCCAATGCGTTGAGGTTTTAACTTTTAGGGGGGGGGGGTGTTGTGTTGACTCCCCCTTCCCTTCTCGCTCGCCGGCACAGAACAGAAGCTCCCTCCCTAGCTGCAGTACTACATACGGATTGGGAGCGAGGCCTTGGCGTGGGAGTGAGTGCTTGCCAAGGCTGGAGTTGCTTTTCCAGGGGATGGGATGGGGGATGGGCATGGGGGTGATGCTTGTCTGGCTGGGTATAACGTGGGGGAGTTAACGGTGAGGTTTGTCGGAATGGTTGGGACTTTGGCCGTTGGCGGTGTAACTATATGTATATGTATGTCTTGATGTCGCTATGTATTTCGCAGATGTAGGTACCACAGGTACCACTGCAACTTTATCTGGAGTATTACGAAGCGTTATCCAGTAACCAGTCGACACTGCTAGCTAGAGCCTAGTACCTAGCAGGCCATCTTCAGTATGACGAGATGTTGACCCATCTTGCTTCATAGTACTTCCTGCTCTACATTTGAGATATTGCATGCAGACTTTCAGCTGTTTATTTTTTGATATTTTTGGAATTTGGGAGCCATTGACTTTTTCAAAGAGGATCATTACATCCGTAGAAATAACATCACAACCCATCACTCACACCATCAATACTCAACTCAATGCTCAATACCCAACACCCAACATACACTCCCCTCCAGCAACCATCCACCCTCAAGAGTACTAACACACAGCATAACATTACCCACTAACATACAACAATACATTTAAAAAAACACACACGACACGCCCCTACGTCGACTTCTTCCTCTTGCCCGTCTCACACTTGACCGCGCCCCTCTCCTTCATCCCCTGGCACCCCACCATCATGCCCGCCATCCCCTCCATCTTCCCCTCCGCCTGCAGCACGCCCGGCCCCCTCTTATCCAGCCCCAGCTTCGCATCGCCCTCCGTCTTCGCCGCCCTCATCTCCTCAATCGCATGTTCCTGATCCGCCTTCCCGCTGTTCACCCAGCTCTCTGATCCCGACATGCGGCCGACCATTTCCTATATACACTCCCATTAGTTAATTCCATCCAGACATTACAAGAGGGGAGAACTAGCGTTAACCGCCCCCTTAATCCACACCACATGCCCCTTCACCTGCGACGGCGACGACGACGTTCCAGAGCTCGACATGGTGCGCTTGTGCTTGAGGCTTTCGGCAAACGTCTTTGTTGCGCGGTCGGACGGGATGTGGCGGTACTGGTATGCGGCCGGATTGCGTCGAATGGCCCCGGTGAGAACGGATCGGTGGACTTTCATAAAGCTGTTCCACAAGTTTCCTTCTGGCGCTTTTTTTTTTTTTGCTTTTGCTTTTGGAGACGAGCTGAGCTACTGTTGTTGTTATCGGGCTGTTTCTTAATTGCTATGGATAGTGAGGCCTTTTGAAAAGGGGGGAAAAAAGAGAAGTGGAATGGGTGGTGGGAGAGGGGGGGAAAATGGTTATATGGTGTTTCCCCTCCTCATCATCCCTCTCTGGTGGAGTTGAGCATTCGGTGTGCCCTCATCTCTGCGGCTGGGTGACGTCGATTAAACAGCTCAGACTCTCCGACGGATGAGCGCAAGTAAAAAAGGCCCCCCGGAATCTCATGCTTCCTCGCGAATCTCGATCTGCTAGTCTCGCCAGTGTGGGGACAGGCGTGTGGTTGTGGTTGTGGTTGTGGAGTCTGGGCCGAACATGTGCTAAGTACATGCATTTACGTCATGTCGTCACTCTCCGCGCTTGTTAGGCGGTTGTGAGAGACGATCTGAGTCGTGATGGCAACTTTCTCCAAATTTCAGAGATGACTTTGACGTCGAAGATTTCTAGATGGGGGTACCTATTGTGTACTACAGGTGCCGGGGTAAGTCTGTAGACAGGTGGCGGTGACACACAAATATCCCCCAATGCACCGCAGACTTACCCCGGCACCCGTAGTACTTGGACGAAATCTTTGGTCGAGTGATAGGGGGTGAGTATCCCTGGACGCACGCACGTGATAAGTACAAAAAAGGACCAGATGTTTATTGTATTGAGTAGAGTTCCTTCTCTCAAGAAATCATTTTCATAATATCTTCTAAAAGAACAATCTCCCAGAGGGTGCACCGATGGCAAGCCAATCTTCAAACTTCAAGGAAAATCAAAGCTAGATACCATTGTCTTATAAAACTTCAATAGTAGCGAATCAGCGCCAATCTCAATTTCTAGTCCCTGCCTCAAGATCGCTATTGGTGGACCCAATATCTTCTCTTTTGGAATATGCTTTTATTCAAAAGCCTCTTTTTAGAGTTTGGAAGTGCCCAGCTCTTCTGAATCCATTCTGCCCATCTTGTCACCATCTTCATCGTTCTCCGTGTCCTTGATATGGATAACAGCCCCGTCAGGTTTACCCCCTGTCTGGCGCTTATTACTTGCAAGTTCGAAGTTCTTTCCGTCCGCCAGATCTCCAGCTTCATCATCACCCTCTTCTCTCCCTGTGCCGGGCTCTGTCTCAGACTCAGCTACTATTTGCTCAAGCGGCCTCAAATCATCACCGCCCTCTCCTGGTTTTTTGCCATCTCCACTTCCGTTGTTATTGGCTTTGATATCTGCCCTATTATCATTAGTTCTGATACTTGTTTGGTCCTCGAAATCGTAGTTATATTCTTTTGCACTTTCATCAATTTCAGATCCTTCTGTAATCGATTCAATCATAGGCGCGAGTACTTCTTCCATATCATCTGTTATCTCGTCTTCATTATCACTGCTAACCTCAACGTCATAATAAACACTTGCGGAATGTTTATCTTCACCAGCTTGATCGACCCCTGCTTCAAAATCGGGTTTGATACCAACCTCACTTCTCTTTTCCATTTTGATGCCAAATTGATTCATCCATTTTGTAGTAAATGAGCCACCATCAGCCTTCGCCTTTTCTAGTTGATTTGTAACTTCAATTTGTAATTTTTCAAGTTCATCTCGAGTTGACCCTACAAATAGAGAAGATTCACTTGAAAGTGAGAAGGAGTCGTTACTATCAGCCTCAAGTAGACCCAAGGTTTTTTCATCTTTGTCTATTATTGATATGTTTGTTGAGTCAGCAGTAATTGCTGCTAGATGGCTGGCCTCTCCGGGTGTAATTTCTTCGGGAGTACTGCCGCAATCAAGGTTGAACAAAGAATCTGCTGCTGACGATACGTTGTTGTAATTGCAATAAAATGAAGTGTTTCTGTTTATGGTCGGATTGAGTGTCTTTTTATGAGTGTGGCTCAGCTCAGCTCTATCTGTTTCTCCTGAAAGATAAGACTCTTTCACAGATTCATCTTTCACAACAGAATAGTATTTTTCTGATTCAAAAGGTTTGAATATAAATTCCTTTCCCTTGCTATGTGATTCGTTAAGATCGGCCTCCACACCTGTTGTTTTTAGGGTGATGTCGTTGGCTGATCCGGTACATGTGTCTTCGGCTTGCATGCACTCGGTCGACTTCTTGACACCGGTATCTACAGAGGTTTCTGCTTGGTTGAAATGATTGGACTTGTCATCATTATCTCGTTGAATCATCTCTTGCATCTCTAGCTCGATTTGAGTGTCAGCGTGTAGAGTTGCTCCTTCAGTCTTTCTAGGGACAACTTCGACGTGCCCATAGCCCTCCGCCTGAGACTCGTTCCAAGTGGCGTCAAATGGTTTTAAGTTTACCCTGACGCTCTTGATGGCTTCTGAAAGCTTGCTCTCAAATGTGCTAATTTCAGATGCAACAGGTCTAATCTTGTCGAGTTTGGCATCAGGCATTTGTTCGGCCATGGAAAAGTCTAGATTTGTGTCATCGACTAGACCCAGAATTCTTGGATCTTCTTGTCCTAAACCGCCTGCGTCCTCATTAGTTGGGCCATGAGTTGTCCGTTTCCCCGGTGTCGAGGAAGTAGAAGGCATTTTTTTCTTCGACTCCTCTATAAGGGTAGAGTAAGACTGGTAAATTCAAGAGTTAGTTTGAGATTATTTAGATAAGAAAGTTTTGGGGGCTCGATTTAGGCAATGAAACTACTCTATTATGAGCAGTATCAATAGCCTTAAAAATAGGAACGAGGTGAACAAACTTTAAAAGCTTCCTTGGTTGCACGCTCTTCTTGTGGGGAAGATTTACGATCAGGTGATGGTTGGAGGATTGGAGGCGAATCATTAAATACAGGCAAATGCGTAGAGTTGGCGGCTTCACTCTTCAGCATTCGGGCTGCGGAAACTATTGTTGAATAAAATTCTGCAAGTTGATTCCAATGATCCTCCAAAATTGGGCTAAAATCAGTGATTATTCCAGTCCCATTAGACTTATCCAATTTTTGTAGACTCTCAATAAATCCATGCCCCATTTTTTCAAAGACCTTACGCTTGGATTCGGAGTAAAGGGTTTCTGGAAAATCCGGCATGTTCTTGGAAGGTATTGGCTGTGATGTGAGATTAGATCTTTCAAGTAGGACTTTGACTAAGAAGAATATTATCTACCTTATCTTCGGAGTCTCGACGGGCCTCAACTGAAATAGTAAATTTCTCGAGATTGATGTCTGGCTGGACTTTTGGGTCCCCAATAAGGACATCAGCACGCCTTAATGTACCTGCCCTCGACCTACTCCCTGGTCGTTGGAAGTACTATTTATGTCGCTCAGAAGTACGTTAGCTTGTATAACGTTTTGATTGTCTGGATAAAAATGTTAGAGAAACGTACAGGCTTATCCCATGGGGACTGCTCGGTGGGACCAAGCCCAGGTGGATACTTCGAAACCTTTGAAGGATGTTCTAGCCCTGGTGGCGGGCGTGCTATGGCCTTTGTGCCTTCCCAATCCCAGTAAATCACCTAAAGGAAAAATTAGATTGATTTGAAGTGATTGAGGAGCAGATGTATGGAGGTTTCGTTACCGCTGGGTCATAAGCCGCTGGGTTATGTCCTGTATTGGAAGACATTTTGTGGATAGTTTGTTCGTTTTTGTGTTCCAACATCGCTCAGATAAAATGAAATTGAAGAAAAGATGTAGGGAAGGATGAGTGGGGTGTTAAAGGATTGATGGTACGGTGTTTAAATACACTCGAGCTTGGAACTAGAGGCTGAAATGTACTTAGCACACCACCCTGGCCTCCGGGAGAGAACAGGTCATAAGTACATACCAGTCCCTCTTACTCGGTATAAGTTATAGGTCTTTCGATCGGAAGCTCAGTACGTTGTCCATTCGGGCTCTTATGCTCCGGGTCTAGTGGTACGCGTTCTGCTGGTAAGCTGGCCATCCATTGCAATTGCTCTAGTAACCACACACAATTTCTCATACAAGAAGTGACTTGATATATATGACCTTACGTACATGCTAGCGACACCGGGCGTTTCGAGATCTGCATCATACAATCTCACTCAGAGCGATTCTGCCAAGAACTCTGTCCTTTCCAACACATCCCATATCTAGAGGGTACATTCGGTAAAGCGTGAATGAAGTCTAACTGCGATAAAGGACACCGAGGGTCAAGAATGGAGCCAAGTTTGTCTAAGCTGCGATAATGGGGTTAAAGAGATCAATTTTATATCCAACCCACGAGGTGCTGCTGAGGCTGGTCACTAGTGCCAAGACAACTACATGTAATTATATCAACACAAAGACTGAGTTTCCAACCACCAACCCCACACCAAACCCCTCCTCTACTTGTTTGGCAAGAAAATTATACAAGATGGATTATTTTTCCTCTTTGGAGGCTGAAAAACATCCAGACCATACAGAATCCTCCAGCTCCCCCTGCAGCACTATTGGACCCAATTCCGATAACTTCACACAAATAACAACTCTTTCACTTCTTACTTCAGATATACTTTGGGAGAATAGTATTCTTCGCGCAAAGAACAATATCCTGGAAAAATCTTTGGTCTGCAGTGATGAAAGGAATAATGTTCTCACCCACGAGCTTGAAAGCCTCAAAGGATCACCTATAACGCTTGCAAACCATGCTGCAGATATTCTCAAAAAAGACATGTAGGTATTACCCCAATTGAAACACAACAACTCCGTTTTCATCCGGCTAATTCCAACATTTATATCACCAGCCGTAAAAACGAATTTGATATTGTGTCCTGGAAGAAGGCAACCGGCACCTTCTCTACAATCATTGCCGAAGTTGATAGATGCTCAGGCCCATATTTAGAATCTGGTAGTCCTGCACTTTCTGAGCCTGTACTTCAGCCCTTATCTGCTGGCAAGAACCTGTCGGTATCGGCGATTTGGGAAATGAAAACGCTCCTCCCCCGAAGCCTCAGAGGAGTAGCACCATCTAGCTCCCAATTTTCAACCGACAAGGCCTCTCCTTGCATCGTCACCCTAACCAACATACCCGGGGGAATCTCTCCCATAAACATTGCTTCAATAATTCGGGGTGGTAAAATCGAAAGCATTTTTATCTCCCGCGATGATGAGAAAAAAGCCCAACTCGCCAGAATTCACTTCTCATCACATCTCTCCGCTATCGAATACACAACCTGGGTAAACCGAACTGATCCATCACTCTATATAAATGGCGAGAGGATTTCAGCGGTTTTGGGATTAGGGTATCCTGCTATGAGAACAAACGCGAGCAGGGCACTGTTATTCGAGGCCATTCCAGGAGATCTAAGCACATATCAACAATTTGAGAGGTGGGTTCTGCTCTCCATCGCTGCCAGAACCCCCGGGGTGCTAGCCCATGATGCGATCCAAGAGATTAGATTGTGGACCAACGGGAGTTTGGATGGTAAACTACAAGGCGGGGTGATATTTCAGTCGATTTCAATATCTGTACGAATGATGGACACTTGGACCGCAGCTGGGCATAAGTTAGAGATACTGTATGGAAGTGATGATTGTGAGGGTGAATTAGAATTAACCCGCAGAGAATGGGTTTTTGCTTAGGTAAGTAGATTTGAAAGCTACTATTTTGAGGAATATGGAACGAAAGTTGGATTATCTGCATGCATACAGCGCGCATGCATCCACAAGTAATTAATCTATCTCTGACTGCGGGGATGGATGCAATTGGAGTTACTCCGAGATATCAGTTTTACTCATATTTGTGACTGGGATTAAATTGAGGTGACTATTTTGGTCTTTTAGGACGGTAGACAGTTCGGATAAGAAAGTGGATGAAGGATCAATTGATAAGGATCGAACGGTTGAGGAGAGGCTTCCAGAGGACAGTGCTCTGTGATACACATACATGAAATTTTGACTCAAATAACGCTAACACAATAATAAAACCTACATGAAAATTATGGGGGTAGTACTAGTTTCTATTCGTTTTCCGTTTCAGCCAAAACTTCTTTCGATTGAGCAGCGTGCCCGCCCTCGTTAACGGCTGTCTCCTGCGTCCCGGTAAGAAGTTCTCCCTGAGGGTCATCGACCACCTTCTTTTTGAATTTCTGGTGTTTTCCCTGATGCCCAGGCTCAATGAACCTATATCTAACCCAGTCCCTTTCCCTGCACATGATTGATTCTGACAGCTTGACACCTTTTCCATAGGTATTAGCGACAGAAAGTGATAGTTTCGTTCTTGACTTGTTCCCATCTAGACACATTCTCTGGATATTGAGAAAGGACAGAACCTGCAGGTGGCGACGATGGTCCTGACCCTTAGGGCATTTTGGGGACTCTAAAAGGCTATTCATATCCTGTATAGCTACAAAAGAATAAAGTTAGACCTCAATTCGAAACAGCCCAACGCTCATAGATTCAGTGACCATGGTTTACCTGCGTCAAGAACCTTCAATTTCAACACTTTACCAACAGCACTTCTCATCCCAATCCCCTCGGGCCAATCCGCAATAAATTGACATACCATGCTAATGTGTTCCTCCTCGCAAGGGCCACATGGTGTTTTATGTATTTTCCATGCCCTGGCAGCAAGTTCTCCCGTCTCCTTGATCGTATCTATCGACTCTTGGGGCGCATCCTTTGGCCATTGTGTAACGTGCCCTCCATTTTCAATTTTCCACTCGGTTGTGGCTAGCTCTTTACTCAGTTGCCGTTGCTTTCTCTTCCATTCCGCGACTCTTGATACCATTTTGCAGCTGCGGTTATAAACTCTTGGACTTATAAGACATTCAAAGTATTAGTGGGAGTGTCGGCTAGGAAGAGGAGTTCTCAAGACTCAAGACTCACGTATAAGAGAGAGCAGGTAAGTTGCTGGTGCTTGAATAGGGGTTGGGTTGGATTATGCATGACACGGAAAACTTGGGTGGTAGATTTCAAGCTTCTCCACACGCAACAGCACAGGTGGCGACAGCGTTGAGTCGTTCCACGGCAACCGGAAAATACGAACCTCAAGAATGGGCTCCTACGGTGCACGAACTTTGGTTGGGCTAATATATGCAATGATAACGGTATGTATACAGACGGGTAATGAGTTGCATAATTCAATATATTGTTCGAAAGCGATCGATTTATGTAGTATCTCCACAAACAGCTCCGTGATATGAAGCGCCTGGCTTGGCACTAATCATTTATATAACGAGTGATACCTTGTGATCAACTTTTCACCAGGATCAAAGAACTACATGTAAGTTTCCATAGGAGGTTTTTTTTTTAATTCATTAATTGCATGCAACCCTACAGTTATGGCAATTGAGCACTCCCCTGAACTTCCCATCTGCCTCCACCACTTCTCAGTACGAACTGAACACTAATAAAATACAAAACAAAACAAACAAAACAAGCGAACAATTTAGTCTTCGTCCCTTAGTCCTCTCCATTCGTACTCCAAAAGTTTCCATAGTAGTAGAACAGCAATAATCGGTTTTATTCACAAATGAGGTACTAAATCGCAGCATGGATAGCATGTAGATTGCTTGCTCAACCTTTGATGCCAACAAATATTTACAGCCCATTCCACGACTGGGCGAAATAACCAAAGAGACCATAAACCTCATCACCAGTACTACCCCCAATTAAAAACTTGAAATTAAATAAAGTTTACTTTTTTCCATTGTTCTTCCCAGGTGTGCCCTGCCCCTGCTGACTTGGGCCGTCAACTGCTCTTTCAACGGTTCCAGCAATTCCGCCCTGTGCAGCATCAAATTGGCTTCCGATGGCTCCCTTGGAGGAGAAGGGACCTCCAATCTTCTCGCCAATCTGACCAATGGCCCCATCGGCTAATAAAAGGTTAGTTTCCAGCGAGCTTGATAGTTTTGGGAGAGCATTACGATTGAACTGCTTTCCGATTGCACCGCCTGATGAAAGGATCGAAGGGTTCTGTGTCTGTCAGAAGGCTGAATCACTGGCAAAACCAACTGGAGATGTTCAAACCTTTGCATCGGAAGGCATCTTCTCGCCAACCTTGTCAGCGGCCCTGTGGATTGGGTTATCATCACCGGCAAGCTTGCGGGAGGACATTGTGAAAGTTGCTGCTTGAGGAAGAGTGATAAACGACTTCAAAGAAGCTACAGGTAGTTTTTGAAGCGTGTTTCGGAACATTTGTGAGGAATGGTTAGAAGTTGAGTGATGGGGTTATGGTTTTATAAACCAACTAGCCGTCCTACAGGTTCGTTATAAATCACGCATTCCGCGGGACTTTCTGTGAGTTTCCTGATTTCTGATGGATAGTGGTCAACATCATGCTGATCTCTGAGCCTTGCCGCTGGCCGAAGCCGTTCTCGAACATCCGGGGGAAGCTCTCTAAGGGAAACATCGTGGTGTTTAGGGATTTAGCTCCTCTAGCCGGACACTGTCGTCATCATTTTCTCTAGCTTCCTAGCCCCACAACGTTAACTACCACCACCACCACCACCACCACGTCGCGTCATAAGGGGTTGATATCGCTATAACCTAGCGTGATGTCACTCATGATCGATAAGGGTACTTTCCCCTTGTTAGCCCAACAAGAAGGCCTGGTTCTTCAAATGTGGGGAAGGGGGACGGGGCGGCAAACCGCCAAACCTTTCCCGATAGCCACCGGTGGTCATGGGTGCGTTTATTGTACCGAGCTCTGCGGATTCGACATCCTGGTGGACGGAGAAGCCAGCCACAACGGTTCGTTCTGTCGACATCGACAAGGCAAGCTCGTTTTCGGACTCATTCGCGTTGTCAAGCATCAAGTCAACACCTTTTGACGTTTAGTATCATCGTGGCTAGGACCAAGTCACCAATCATACTAAAGATTTTGGTTTCAATCATTTTTTTTTGGATATTGTATGCTGATAGAAAATAAACATATCGCAGAAAAGAGAATCAAGTAATATTACACATATTCAAGTATCAATTACTAAAGAGATTCTTCACAGCCCGCAAAGTCGCCATCATGCAATACACATCTACGTAGTCGTCTTGAGTCTTGATGGCTTGATAGCCCTGGTGTCGGGGCCACTCGACTTTGCGCCCGTTTTTTTGTTACAGGTCGTACCGGCCTTGCACTATTAATTATCAGCAATAGAACCCCAAGGCCGCAGAAAAAAGAGATAACTTACACATCCGCCCTTAACACAAGTACTCCCAGCATCACACTTATAGAACCTTAATTAGCGTCAAATCATCAAGAAAAACACGGATGCGACGCGAGAACTCACGTAGCTCCCGTTTCTGCAGCAAGTTGTATTCTTCGGTATACAAGTCTTGTTCCCACACAGCTTCTCGGTAACTTTACAACAGAGGGTTCGCCCATCCTTGTCAGGAAAGCACCCAGTACCAGGCTCGTTGCAGCAGCCGCCACTAGGACAACAGGCCCCACCCATACTACAGCAGGCGTCTATCAGGGCTTGTTAATAAGCAAGATTTTATAAAGGCGTTTATATTCTATACCTTTTGATCCACAGAATCCTGTTTTATCGGCACAGAAGGAGCCATCTAACCCTGAGGGTAAATAAATGGGTGACATGAGCTCCGGGACGTATCCAGGCTCCTGCTTCTCAAGGTCTTGAGATGCCTCTGGGTCATTTTTACTATTTTAACATGTTAGTTTGGTTTATGAAATTCAAATTTTTGATCTACTTACTCTGACATGCCTGGTGACTTGCGATGTAGGTGATTACTTGCATGAGTAAACACCTGAGTTGCAAAGAACAGGGTCGAGAGAGCGAAGTATATCGTGGCCTTCATGATAGATATTGTCACAAATATGAGTTTAGAGACTATAGTTAGTGATCTAGTTTGAAGGTGGATAAGGTGGGCTATATTGATAGCCATCTTCGAAACGGGATCTACAGAGGTTGGGCATCCATCTACCGGTCCGTTTCAAACGCAAGTAAGGGTCGAATCTGTAAGGTACAAGCTGCAGCCGAAGTGAGGAGGGCAGAAGTAAGGGATTCATCAAAACTATGGGGAGTCCGACGACGATGCGAATTTAACACACATAAAGATATGGGAAGTGTGTATAAAGACCGGCACCGACTATTGGCCAGAAGGTCGGGGTATTTCCCAACAGCAGAAATGGAGACAGCATACATATGTGCTGGTTTGTCGATTGATCGAAGGTCCAGACTTTCTCCAACGGATGATGTTTTTTCTTTCTAGTAGTGACATGTGTATTCATCTCCCATTGATCTGGCCGCATATAAATTGGCCGAAAGGTGGAATCATTCGTTTTTCCTCGTGCAGATATCCGCACCGAGTGAAAAGCTATGATTTCGGGTATCCCCGTCCAATCCTTTATCCCGCCCCTCTGCAGTAACCGAGCCCTCGATACAATTTTTTCACTAACCAGAAACATTAAAACAACCGACCTAGCCGCCGTCACGTGAACCCACAAAGTTTCATCATAATTCTCAGCCTCCATTTCAATTCTCACGAAGGAAGGGAGAGTATCACCAGATCTCACCCATTTACTGCCCGCATATCGTTTCCCTCGCCTTCCTCCAAGCTTCTTGCTCTTCTTCAGTGGAGAGAAATCCAGAAATTACCACCAAAAAAAACAGAAACGATAATGGACGGCGAGTCCGTCGTCACGACCGCTCCCCCGCCAACTCGATGCCCCGCTGACCCCGCCTGCCGCCGTTCCTTTGGTGGTACTACGGCCCAAAAGAACCTCAACTCGCACCTGAAAAACGTACACACAGAGTACTATCGTACCTACGTCCGTCCCATCAAGGGCCCCAAGAGAATCAACCACGATGCCTACATCAGACAGAAGCAGAAAGACCCTGAAAAGGTCAAGCGACACAGGCTGCTCGCAAGGCTGAGAAAACAAGCGCGGAAAGAGCAAGTGGAGTGCATGAAGCGGCAGCGTAGTCCGAGTCCTCCACGAGCACCCGATCAAGGACTTCTCGCCATTGATATGGGGAACCCGTATTTTGTATTGGAGTCGGAATGCGGAATGTTTGTGGGACACACGAAGGGAGACCTGATGAGATGTGATGTGGTTAAAGTGCGAGATTTCATTTTCGATTTTCCTGGAGGTGTTGAGACTAAGGACTTGAAAAAAAAAATAGATGCTGGAGGGCCTGGCGAGCAATGCATCTCGCAATGTTGCTGCCGCAGCGAAGATCCGGAATGCTATTGCCGTTGCGCGGTCGCAGGAGAAGGAAGCTTTAGCCGCCGATTACTACCGATACCGACGCGCTTTGCAAGACGTGGAGACCTTTGCTGAGCGTCAAACATCGTACCAGGCAGAACTATCTCACATAAGGGAGCGACGGCTGGCACCAGAGGGATTCCTCGATGAACAGGCGGTCCAAGTACGAGTAGAAGAGCTTCTGGAGAGATACGCCCAACGCTCCAAGACGGGGGGTGAAAGCACAGGCTCCGATAATGGGAATCACGATAAGTTGGACGACCGGGACGGTGAAGGCGAGCCCGAGGTGATTGTAGGAGATAGCGAGATACGATAACAGCCCGAAGCAGTTGGCTGGGAGATTGAAATAGGCCTGGTTTTTAGTGTTTCTGCGTGAGACGACATTCCCATGTGGCCTTGGTTTTGAAAACTGCAAGAAAGCCCTGTAACACTCTATTCCATTCCAAACCCTTTTGAATTAGAAGCCCCACCTCGTCCTTGACTTGGTCTGCGGCATGTTGTGTCACTGATCAATTGATATCCTCAATAGCTGTACCAGTGAGATCAATTTGCGGATTCAGCCGACAAACGTTCCTGGAAGATTCTTCCTTCATGTTAAATATCGGCAAGGGATATGGTGAATGATCAATAATCAGAAAAACGTATCTCTAATTTGATTTATGGGAGCACCTGATCTCAAGAAAACAATTCCTTTGATCCGCGAGACGAAGAACCCAACCGGTGCCCACCTACCAGAGGGAGTGATGTTCCGCAGGATATTCTATGCTCTGATCAAAAAAACCCGTAGCAAATAGAGATCTGAAAGCAGAGAACGGTTTGAGGATAAAACCCTGAAGACATGGACTCGTAGTCAGGTATGAGAAGAGGTGTTGTCATCCCATCGCCTGTATTACAGAGCATACAGCTTTGGGAGGGTTGGCGAGTGGGAGCTAGCGAGTTGGGTGTGGTGACAAATGGGGTGAGCAATTGGCTGAACAGCCCTTCGACCCCAATCCAGTTCTTTGGCTCAATTAGTCGTTGATCAACCTCGCTGCCGGACCGTCAATCCCCTGCTTTGAGAGGTATAGATCTGTACTGTGATACATCGCGGGGTACTTCCAGTGACTAGGCTAGAATATGAGTGGACGAAGGGATTGAATAACGATCCATTGGATACTACAACTCCGCGGCCAATTACCTACTCTCTGGTTTATCCGATAGAAAAAAGAAACTCGACAGCATAGTAACCAACCTGATACAGGTTTTGATCGTGTTGGTCATTTCTTCCTTTATGCATGTAACGATCGGGCGAAGGATTACTGAAGTAGATAAACTTCTCTGGTCTCGCTCAAACTTCACTCCAACGGTGACCATCATACTACCTCCCACCTAGGCCTAAACACAGAAAAGTCCTTATGAATCAGTCAGTAGAAATGTTTATGCCGATGACCAATAGTTAGGCCTAACTATGCTCTTTGGACACAAGACTAGCCATAGCCCTTAAATAAGAAAGAGGGATAGAACAAGTACGTTTGTAGCCGAATATATTACTTAAGCAAGTATCTCATAATTAAGGGCCTCGATTGTAGTCCACTCCGCCCTTTCGTGGTTGGAACCTGTAATTGGGTCCATCGAGTCCGTCTTGTCATGGACGAAGGGTGCCTTAATATGGCCCACAGGTTTCGCCCACGACCATAGGCCTGTTTGAATCTATGTATTTGGGTTTTGAAAACCCAGCAATGTTTATCTCAGAGATCAAATTATCGAAGGCCTCTTTAGGGGGACTTTTATTCGAATGATGTGCTTTATACAGCCAAGGCCTATGAGTGGTCTTAAATTTCTCGGAGAATACAAGCAATAAAGTGAAAGAGAATAGCTTCGAGTGATCATTCATGACTAATTAATGTGCTAGGCTCTATTCGATTGTAGCTTCTTTTAATAGCCCTCATATTTAATCGATCTTAGTATATAGTCATTGTTTATGATCAGATACTGGAGAAAGGGGGGGGGGGGGGGGGACCCCTAGATCTGGGAATCTCGGCGCTCGCCTCGTAAGATCTAGATCTATAGAGGAACTCTATAAACCTAGGTTTTTTGGCATTCAGACTTTGTAGGTTGGTAAATTAGGAAATGACAGTTGGGAAACAAGCTCTCTTTTTATCCCTTTTCCTCATATGAAAAGGCCCAAAAGTGATTGAAAGGATTGATTCAAACATGATCTTTTTTGTTTGGGTAAAGTTAAGGCACGAATTACATGTGCATTTACCTACACAGAAGTTTTGAGTGTACGCTAATCCAAAAAAGAACTCGGGCTATAGCTAGGCCCACTACTACATGACATTGTATACATGTATTTTCGACTCATACTATAAAATTGATCATGACATTATAGGGATGTATTGAACTAACCTGAAAATAATTCTATTCTCGACATACACTAGTATCAAATTGAAGACTATATAAAGACCTAATAGTTATCAATGCATCTATAACGTATCGATAAATCACATCAAGTTACCGCAATGACCAACGTTCACAAATACAAACCGCGTATTATCGAGGTCGCCTTCCTCGGCGACCCACGGATAGGAAAGTCAAACCTTATAACAACCTTCACCAGTAACTATTACTCGGGCGAATACACAGCCACTTTCGAGTACACTTACACCTCCGAGATTATACTCGGAGATTGCTCTGCCGCCACGATATCTCTGCATGACCTCGGCGGTAGCCCCAACTACGACCATTTACGCGTCCTATTCCTTAATGTCCATACCAAGATCAACGCATTTATTTTATGTTTTGAAATTGGAAACGATCAGAGTATATACAATATCAAAACAAAGTGGTGGAACATCGTGAAACATGCGGCTAAAGATGTGCCAATTGTGGTTGTAGGGTTGATGGCAGATAAGGATCCGGAGGGAGGCTGGTATGAGGAGAAGGCGAAGGAAATAATTCTCGGGGTGGATAAGAATAAGAAGAAGAAGAAGAACGAGGAGATGGGGGAAGGGTTTTCCTACGCGCAGTGCTCAACACTGACAATGAGGGGGTTTACTGAGGTTTTCGAGCTAATTATTAAGACTGCGACTCAAGATTAGAAGGAAAGTCCAAACGACAATTACTGGGCTATAAGTTTTGCTCCGGATATAAAGGCAACATACACAAGAGGACAATACTAAGTTGCGCGGGGGGATTCTTTTAGGGTATTTAAATGGGATTTTGTATGTAAATTAAAAGTATTTGGGAATGACGGGCTCTGATTATAAATCATGGTTTGAAAGTATATATATATATATATTACCCAAGTATATAAGTTTTGCTTCTTCATTGTTGATTTTCGCATCCTGACTCCATTTTAAGCTTTGGTAGATTTTATATGTATTGTATATATACTAGCTATAGCTAGATATTGTAAAACCCTTTCTATACGACTTAATATGACAACTTAAAATGTTGAGGAAATTATTTCTATCCTCAAAACATTTAAATTATAAAGCTATCTCTTTACGTTACTTTCGATTATTAATGTCATATAGGTACATGTATGGCGTGGAGTGCGATCTCCCGGTATTCAATGTCTGAAATAAAGATTCAAGAGCCAAAAAGGACCAGTAATCTTTAGGTAAATGTGATGACCACATGAGCCATGGGTGACCTTGATGTATTGTACGGCTATAGCTATATGGCCTATTATATATCGAACTCCATCATTTGACACTCGAAAATGTGAATGATTAGATCCAGACGCGGCTGGTCAGACTGATCGTGATTTCCTATAATTACATGTATATATGTATGTAGGTACGTACAGCGGTGGGTAATAAGTCATCGGACAACCTAGCCACAATTTTGCCTGCAAACGTGTATTTTGGTGGCGTTCCGTCTGATGACTTATTACCCATCGCTGTACATGTAGAGAGTCAACAATTTGACCGCGTGCCAAGGTTACCATTCCAATCCGCAAGTTGGGGCCGCTCGGAAGTTTGATATTATTATTATTAGATATAGAGTACTGCGGGCCACTGCCGAACCAACTAATTTTGGTTAGTCACACTTGGCTGGTATCCGGTGCTAGTCTATTATCGGCCACAAATAGTAACTCTTGCAAAATTAACCACATATCAAGACAATAAAAGTATTCACTGATTTATACACAGAGAAACAAAGATTCCCAAACCGAAATCATACCGGGATTATAGTGGTAGTTACGAGAGGAAAAGCTCCTAGAGTAACAACGCACTATCAGAAGGGCGAAGAATATCTTTATATTTAGGAGTCTGAGCCCCATATATATGACCTGCATGGCCATATGGAACTTTCCATTCGCAGGCTGCAATTGAAAGTCCGCACAGTGATACAACTGCATATATTAAACACAATCAGTAATGCATTCACATTCCCAACAAACAAGACGCCCACCCTCCTTCTCCTTTCGAATTTCCCGCAACGCCGCGCCTTCTTCCTCATATTTTACATTCGCCACCTCCATTTCTCCCCACTATCGCATACGACGGAACCGGGCCACTTATCACGGTGCCAAGTCAGCACTAAATTGCTCCCGATCGCTGTCACGGGTACTATGGCCCTACTGTCCGCTCTAATCACCGAGTTCCACTACTTCCCATGGAATAAAGGCCGTTTATTCGGAACCTACGTACTTTACGACCCCGCCTTAAGTTTTCTTCGGTAGCTTCCATGAAGCTGACTCCCGCAGCTGATCCAGCTGATGACCATGGTTGGCGACGGGAGGACACTAGTGAATCGGTATACGATAGGCAGCTATACCATAAAGGTGATGAGAGTACTAGAACTATTCTTCAATATATTCGCGGGTGGGGAGCACGGGATACTTATAAGAATCCGCGTTAAAGCTCAGCCGATGGAGGATCAAACTTCAACGAGCACCTAATTATAGATAGTGTGAATCCCGATAGGACTCTAGCTCTGGCAGAGAGGTCGGCTTAGTATTGATGAATATATTACCCCAAAATGGATCAATCTTTCGCTGATACTATAGAATCGAAAGACGGTGAGATAGTGAATTGATAAACAACTATTATATTGCGGGAACTACTACAGCAAATAAATTTGTTTCTGTGTGTTTTTTCAAGGCTTCCACGTTTTATATTACCTATTAAAAGAGTCATTAATGGTTCCCATGGCCACCAGCTAGGTATCTCCTTTCCCGACTATAGTTCCATACACATATTGAGTGAAAACAGTCTGAGAACTAGGAGACTAGAAACCCACCAAGGTATAATAACTAAGATTATCCGTCAAGGGATACCTTGAATTCCCATGCACCATACAGGTACTGTATCTTTCTTCCTAGCTACCTCCCAGATCCCACTAAACATGTTCAACAAATCAAGGCTCCAGCTCCGCGCCGAGCACCTCTCCCTTCCTCGCCCACAACTGAGCTCTTATCCCGCAATCCTGGGGGCTGTTAAAAGTCTCCCCGGAACCCTTATAGAGATCTAGCTCTAACTAGTATAGTAGCGTTCCTCTATACTGACGCGTTCCTGGAAAACGTTCGTGCTTTACCCCGCAGCCCGGCCACCAACCCTTTCCTGACCTCGAGCTCGGCATCTCATGATACAAAGAACGACCACCGACACATGACGGATGACTCCCGTCTACAGGCATCATATTTAGGGATTTTGGCCACGACATACGATATATTCACGTCAGCGGATCAATTCTAATCTGTCAGGATACGTATTAGTCGGCGTCATATTTTATATGGGGATAGTAGGTTTATTTTCTACTGGTGATCTGGCGGAAGAGTGTAAACGAGCTCGAGTGATATTGCGTGAACCCTATCAAGCAATACTTGAGAGAAAACTGTTTCTGACGATAGTGTACTCACGATATATTTCTGTTTTTGCCATGAATGAGAGGACACGTTTTCGGCATGAGTGAGTGCTTTTCCAGGGTCAATGGTTACTTTAGATATTCATTGAAACCATAATTTTCGGAAACACTAATCGGCCGGCCGGCCGTGAATTTAGTTACTGGCACAATAACCATGACGCAATTGCAATAAGCGATATTCTTCCTTTCCCAGATGTAAAACAGATGTAGTTCTTAACGTTATCATCTTTGGCCTTGTAAATTTTCACCTATATATGTATACCCGACAGTAATAGAGTGATCAGACCACAGATATACGGAAGCTCACTTGTACCAAAGTGTTATAGCTTTGTAAATCTCTTCTCTAACCTGGCATAGATCTTTTTTTTTCTTTCTTTCTTTTTCCCCCATCTCATCAAGACGGACAGGATTCGAAGATGTCGAAAATTGCCACTCTTCATTATAAGTGGTCATCAGATCAACCCAGCCGGAACTCCGCCACTTACCCAAAAGTCGTCTCGTTGTGCATGTGCATGTGTAGGTAATATATCTTCGGTTAATTAATGTGGTGGGGAACTTGACGGTAATGCAGTAGTGAAAGACCGGGAAAGCATACTAGGAAACGTGCCAACAGCAGCAACTACAACTATGGACGGGCATTATTAGGTAGTTGATCGACACTAAAATAATCTTGAAGGCATAGATCAAGTGGCTAATTTCAGATACTGCATTAAAATGCCGGTGGGGAAGTACCAGATATGAACACTTTGGGCTTAAACTAATGTTATCTATCCTTGTGCACTATCACCATCTAGACTCCAGACACCTGTGAATATCTTGTAGATGGCTACATGTATATTAGATAGTGGTAAGCTCCTACTTCTGCCGTCGCCTTACCTCATTTCAATCTGGACCTAGTTTATTTCCTCATCGTTCGATCCACGACACATCACAGCTATGCATCTAATCATGCCTACATATTTTCTAGTACAATCTCCAGTACACGGTTAAGTTTTATTGGCCAACTACATGACAAGATTAATGTTGTTTAGTATATAATGTCGGGCTCAGCTTCAGCTAGTTGCGATTGGAGAAAGATACCTGATAATTTAAACCGAATCCTCAAACCTCGAGGGTAATAAGTGAGTTTCTATTTCAGAGATTGGCGAGTTAATACTATGTTCTTCCTGACGGCCATCATCCTGTTTTGTGCAGGAAAGCTCGACCCTTGCATAACATATCTTGATCTTTAGAAGATCATCGAGCTGAGAGGGGTAATCACTGTCCCTTCCTCGTATATATTAAGTCTCCATCTTGCATGATGAGATGAGTTGCATGGAGTAAATGTTTCTGCGACTACACAACGGGCAGCCAGTCAGAGATCAGCTACTGAGTCAGTCTGTCAGTTATCACTTCTTCAACTCTATGTCTCTTCCCTTCTTTTAATACCCTGTTTACACCTTAATTTCGGTTTTGGCCGTATTGGTGAACCACATGGCGGACGTTCGGGCCGAGAGCCAGGTAGTCAACGCGTTTCTTGATTGGAGATGTTTCCGAGGGCCGCCTAATTATCAGGGGAGCGGTTATTGCAGATCAGGAACAGCTTTGCCTTCCGTCTCACCACATTTAGAGTGCTTTAGTCAGTCCTTCTCATTCATAATTCACCGAACAAAGTTATAATATTTTAGCAGTGCGTCAATGGCAAAAAATGGAAATTGTCACCGACTATGAAACTCACTCTGCATTATTTCTTGGCTGTGTTCAAGAATATCGTATAAAGTGCTGATGTCTCACTATGTGGGAAAACAGTGATATCAAACGTACTTTATCTTCAATGTGCCTCTCTCGGTTTCATGCATAGGCTTTAGTTAAACGAGTTCTAACGAAACAAGAGCAATTCCTGGATATATTATACTATAGTTATTACGAAAACCGCTCCTGCGGAATTTCGGTTTTTCCTTGGGTCAAGGGAAGCAACGTGATCATGAGCTGTTGCTTATTGCGAACCACTATTCTGTAAATGGAAAGAAACGTGGTTGATTATGCATACGTAAATTGTTTTTAGAATACATGCTGTATCCTCGACATTAATCCTCTGGAAATCCCAAAGACTATAGATGCACACCTCGGCCTGGTTTTGTCGAGACCAATATGGGGAGGCATCCGAGCTTCGGAACCGCCGCTAGCGCTCCTATCCTATTTCCAACAAGCAGACTGTCGGCCTGGATACTTCTTCGGATCATTAAAAGTGCCCATAAGAAGTAGCTGGGATAATGCCGGCTATTATTGATCTTTGCCTTCTTGAACAGGCGTCTGGTAACAAGCACGTTCCGGAGCCCTATGTCAGGAACGTGAAGCTGGGATTTCGCACAGCTCCGACACGCTCTGGGCTGCAGTTACGGAAATCCTCCGGACATATGGTGGGATAGTAATAATTATTTCTTTCTTCTCCTTCTGAGTAATTCGAAAGAGGACTGTGGGGTGTGGTCGCACTACACTGCGGGGAACTTGCGGGGAAGGGGTAGAGACCTGATGCTTGAAAGGTTGACTCTCAGTTTGAAGAATCAATAATTTTAGGCGTCGGATAAATGAATAATAAGGGTCCATTCCTTATGTAGGAACACCACTTTGGCTCAGGTCCCAAAGGGAAGGGGAAAGTTCTACTTCTACTTGCGCCTTCTAAAAGAAAGCTGTTTTAAGCATATTGACGTTAGAAAATCACTCTCATCGATCGCGGGGTGCAGTGCGGAACCCATTACAACCTGCGTTAGACCTTTTGGAAAACCTTGCCTCACCGCTCCCCTCGAATACAGTTGTTAGCTTAAATATTTACGCCGTGTCGGTACTAGTACGAAACAATCGTAAACGAACACTTACTATACTATATGTAGTTGGAACTATTCATGCTGTGATTGATATTCCTTCATTCAGGCTTGGGTCGAGATCAAGACACAAGTAATGTGTAAAGCGAGAACCGTGACCGGATAGCTAGAGATGTGGTTACATTGTGATTCAACCACCACAATGATCGGTGTAAGCGTGGCCCATTCGACCCCAACCAAGAAGCTGAGTAGCATTCTAGGAATAGATATTCTGAAATATCTGATGGATGTCAGTCTCTTAATCCTCTGTCGGTAAATCAGGACGATGTCTCCGGTACGTAAGAATTCCAAATGTTTGAATTTATCGTGTTGTTTTCGCCGCCTAAGAAACGAGCAGTAAAGAGAGGTAGGTCTTAGCAGTACCATTAAAATCGTTCATGATTACTGTCCTTCCTAACACTGGAGATTAGTTAATCTCCAGGTTATCTGCTGCTGTAGAAACCAACTTAAACCATCATCTACCAGGAAATTTGTATGAGGGTTTGATTGGCATTAATTGCGATAGGATACGAACCTACCAACCTCATAAATCAAACGAAAGGCTTTTTTGTTCGTACGTTTCTTTCTATGAATGTACCCTTATTATTAGTCCTTGACACCCCAATGCATAAAGATTATCCGTGTAAATTGCTTTTTCCAACCCTGTAACCCTGGCCCTTCTGTGCGAGATTCACTTTGTCTACGTCTTTTACACTTCATGCCCCGGGATTTTATTTTACTTTGACAAGTAAGTAAGGTGCCTCACATGACCTTTCATGCTCCTTTAGAACCAGGTTGAAATTTTCAAACGCAAATCCTCATTGGCTGGAGTAACTCCTGTGGGAGATGATACAGCAGGACCCCACACATCCACACCCCCCCCCCCCCCAAAGCATCCGGATCATAGGTCTACTTAAGGTAAAACCGTTCGCGGATCCTTAATTCGAGTATTTTATCATGTTAAAATCCACATTAAATTACTGGATATATAGTGATGACGAAGCAAGGATCCGGATCAAGCTTGGTAGCACTCTGGCGAGTTGTTTATCCCTTGATGCAAGGTACGATTTAATGATCTTCTTCTGACCAAATAGGTCCAATTAGAGGATTTGAGGCAGAACTGAGTAGGTTAAATTATGGTGATATAAGCAAATAAAGCTTCATCCGTAGGCGACTTGTTTGATGGATTGGGATT